CCGTGACATATTGTAAAAAGATAAACAATATATTGTCTAAATTTAACAATATATAAAATGTTAAATAAAAATATCTAACTGTATATAATATAGTCACACTTAAAATATAATATATAAAAACTTTACTATATATATGTTGACAGAGCACATTATATATATATAAAATATTCTATTAACAAAAACATTATATTAAGGATGCTGTTGTAAGAGATTGTTAAGTTATGTGAGTTAGATTGTGACATATTGTAAAAATAAAAACAATATATAAAATATTAAATAAAAATATGTAATTGTATATAATATAGTCACACTTAACATATAATATATGAAAAATTAACAGTATATGTGTTAACAGAGCACATTATATATATAAAAAACATTGCATGAACAAAAACATTGCATTAAAGATGCTACTGTAAGGGATTGTCAAATTGTGTGAGTTAGACCGCGACATGTTGTAAAAAGATATACAATATAATATCTAAATGCAAATAATATATAAAATATTAAATAAAAATATCTAATTGTATATAATATAATCATACTTAACATATAATATATGAAAAATTAACAGTATATGTGTTGACAGAGTACATTATATATATATTTATGTATATAATATTGTATGTCACAGTCCAACTCACACAATTTGACAATCTCTTACAGCAACATCCTTAATGAGAAGAGAATGGAAATAGACCCACAAATTTCAAGCAAAGTTATGGAGGAGCTATCGGGATATATTTCGATGAGGGACATTTATTATTATTATTAATTTTTTATTCTTCTTTACCCAGCTACACCAAAGGAAATACAAACAAAAATACCAAATTGAGTCCCGTAAAGGATGGTCTCATGGTGTGGAAGTTGGACTTGTGACCATGAGGTCATAGATTCAAACCCCCGATGCCTCAGATCACCTGTATTCGCTTAGTGTGACTTATGTTCCATGATTCTAGATATGTTGATTTATATAAAGAGTTATAAATAGGCATGACCCTAACTTTAAATATATATACATAAGTCTACACATTTTTGAGATATTATCTTCCTTTTGTGTCAACTATCCTACCATCTTCCTATTTTTCAAACTTTATGTCTGTGGTACCACTTCAAGAGAATATAAGTCATTTTATTTTTAAAAGTGATAAAGATACACTGAAGCACTCTCCATCATATTTTATTCGATGAAAAGAGGTCTTTCTTAACTCGACTTCCTTGTTGCCTTCTCCCAATATTTTCCATCGGATAAACCACTAATAATATATTTATCATAAAAACTATACTATAATAAATATATATTATATATGCTTTGTATTGTTTTAAACCATTTTATATTAATAACAACTTAATATCTTTTATTTCATAATTATGTAAAATTTTATTTTTATAAAATAATATATTTTAATTATTTTTAAATTAATATATTCATAAAATCAAATTTAATTTATTTTTATTTAAAATTAAATTAATATTTTAATTCTATACAATCAATCACATTAGTATTATATAATATTTGTAAGTAACAAAATATCCAAAATAATTAAAATTCAAAATATTCTAAATCAAAAAAAAATTTCAAAACCCCCATCAAACATAACCTTTTTAAAAAAATAAAATTCATTATTTATAAAAATAAAATATACTATTGTATATATTTTATTAAAATATAAATTTTAAAATACTCAAACACATAATTTTATTTTAAAAAATATATATTAAATTATAAACCAAATATCGATAAGTCAATTAAAAAAATATATCCAAAAGATCTTTTGTCAAATCCAACTTAATTGATTTGAGTGTGTTTGGCAATTAGCTGTTACCAAATTCAGTTAGTTTATTTTACTAGCTGATTTAATTAGTTATTTGTATTAAAATGTTCGATCAAATAATTGTTTGATATTAGCTGCTTATATGTAAAATTACAATTGAAGACGTTTATATTTTAACTTTTAAAATTTTTAATTGTGTTTTTTTAGTTTTGAAAATTTTTTTAAAAAAATTATTAGTTATTTGAAATTATGAATGTGTTATAAAATATTTTCTTTATTAATTTTAGATGTGAGAAAAATAATATTTTTTATTAAAAAAATATGATTTTTTTTAATTAAGAATGATGTAAAATATAAAATAATAAAATTTTTGTAATATATTTCTTATATTAATTATTGATTAATTTATTATATTTATAATTTATAATTTATTCTATTTTATTTACTTTTAATATAAAAATAAATTAATAATATTTATGTTGTTATTTTTATGTTATTTTAATAAATATATATAGTTTACAAATAAAATTAATTATATATAAAACTAATTGATTTAATTTTGTAAAAATAAAGTTATAATTTAATAAATAATAGTATATTAAAATAATTTATAATTAATGCAGTAAAAAATATATTTATATGTATGTGAAATGCATAATAACATTTTAAGGGCAAATAAAGAATAAATAAAATTAAATTGAAAAAACTCTTTAAAAACGCTGGGTTATATAGCTTTTCATAAATTAGTTTTTTGGGGCCAATAGCTATTTCGAAAAATTAAGTTACCAAACACCTAAATTAGTTTTTTAACTGGTTAGAAGCCGTTAAATAAACTAAAAGCGCTTAAAAAAGCTGCATGCAATACTCAATCCTAACATGACTCGTTTATTATTGGTGTCGAGTTCGGGTTGACTCGTGTTGACCCATATACATAATTAAGTTGAGATTTTTTATTCAAATTAAATTAAGTTAATTTCTATTGGTTTGAACATAAATTAGATTGAATTATTGAAAATTTAACTTAGTTTAAATTAATTTATGATAAATTTATTAAATTATGATTATTATATATATATAATAAATATATTAATCAATATTAATATATTATAATCGGGTTGTCATGTCGGGTTCGAGTTGAAAGCCTTAAGCCTAACCCAACCCGTTTATTATCGTGTCGAGTTCTTGTCAACTCGTATACATAATCGAGTTGAAATTTTTTACCCAAATCCAATTATTTTGCGTCGAATTCGTGTTGCATTAATTTTTGTCTAACTCTACTCACTACTGTACTCATTTTATTATTATTTTTAGTTTTACTTTTTATGACGAATTACTATATCTATATCATTTTATTTCGATTTCATCTTGCTTATAAGTATTAAAATCATTAATCCATTCTTCGGAAAAACTAATAGTAGAGAAGAGAAGAGAATGGAAAAACAAATTTCAAGCAAATTTATGGAGGAGTCATCGGGATATATTTCGATAAGGGACATAGTTGAATCGTCGGATTATCAAGTTTTGTTTTTCAATTCCGTCGATGATATTCAAATCAAGAATCCTGTTGTGAGGCACGCCGCATTTCTCTAAGTCAAGATTGCATTGCCGGCATCAATGCCCTCAAAAAATCCGACTCGAAAATGATTTTTTTCTTCGGCTGTTGGATAAGTTCACAAAAATTGTTGAATTAGTGTATTGTTTAGATTTTTTTGAAAGATGATCACTATTGTATAAATTTAGGAGTGTATTCAAATGAAATTTCAATGTATTTTTTTGAATTTTGAAAAATTTATACAATTTTTTTAGATTTTTTAAGATGATCATTGTTGTATAGATCTAAGAGTATATTCAATTGGAATTTGAATGATTTTTTTTTTTTTTGGTTTTATAAATCCACAAAATTTATGCTGAATTTGAAAGATTTTTATATGAATTTTTTAGATTGTGAAGTAACTTTTTTTTTATTTTATTAATATATAAATTAAAGTTAATATATGTTATTATATTTTTATAGAATAAAATTAATAAAAAATAATATATATATATATAATATTACTATATTGTATATTTGTATTTTTAATTCTATATTTTTTAGTATTATATTATCATTATATATCAAATTATTTTTATATTTTTTATTAGTTGTTATTATTATTATTTATATAATCTTTTTACATAACCCATAAACATATAAACAAATAAAAAAAAAATACATAATTTATAATTTTTGAAATATTAAAATAAGAAAAGTAAATAAATGTAAGCTAAAGATTCGACGATAAATATATATTTTATTGTCACCGCAATGACTATTTTTTATGATAATAAATATTTTTAAATATTCTATTTATAATATAAAAATATATTTTCTAAAAAAATTGATAATAAATCATATTAATTTTAAATTATTATTTTTATTAAATTATAATATTATTAACAAATACTATCACTTATAATGATAATAATAATAGTAATAACTTTTAAAAATCCATCGAATATCTCTAGTATATAGAGAAATTTTATATTATATTATAAACTTTTCATAAATTTTCATTAGAATACAATAAAATCAATAGATTTTTTTTAAAGTACATGGCTTGTTAATACCTTATAAGTCTAAAATAAATACAAATGATTTAATTTAACACAACACATGATGTTGTTTAGCATGAATATATCGTTACACTGATCATTATAATATGTATTGTATGAATTACGTTAGTCAGAATAGTGCATATTTCTACTATATTAACATAGATTGTGTATTGTTTAATCGTTATTGAATTACAAAATTCACCTCAAACCACCGATATATATATATATACTCATTCCATCTATATTAACATTTGTCGATATCTACATATCTATTGTCTATACTTACTCACAGACAACTATGTATATGTAAAAGTATACACATTATATATATATTTTTTGATAATGTGAGAATTCGAAGCCACTATTCAAAAGTGCGCACTTGGTAAATCCCCGACCGAACTTAATACCTTGTAAGCTAGGCCCGACAAGAAAAGTCACATTAGACGAATCATACATGACGAATAGACCTGGAGACGTCGGAGTTTGAATCCATGACCTCACGGTCACAAATTCGCTTTCCACGCCTGGCCATCCCTCACAGGACAAAAGTAAATTTCTTTTAATTTTGCAAATATATATATATACACACGGATTTGTTATTACACCGATGAATGTATAATATTTCGCAATAATTAATAGATTTTCGTATAGATATTACATTTAGGTTGAATCCAATTCAATACCAACATCTTCAATACTTTTGTTTAATTGTGATTATGGGTACCATCATTCTTTCTAAGCATAAAACCATCAATGCATAGATATTACTTCAAAAGGCATCAATTTTCATATTTTCATATAGAGCAATTGTTAGAAACCATGGCATTGTTCGACGCATACGATAGAAGTTTCCCTCGAGCTATGGTAAAAGACACAACAATAAATTCGTAGAATAAATGGATGACTTACTTGAGTAAGTGCGCAAGGTCGGGGTCATTTAAATCCAGGTCCAGCCACCCGTTCATACGCATGTACTCTACATAGTGGTCCGGCGGCTTCACAGCATGTGGCTTTTTTGGGGCGAAACCATAAATTCTTTCAAGGTCTCGAGAAAGCCAATGCAGATAAGCACGGTCCACGGGAGGTGCAATCTTCGGCATCACCTCCTCGTTCTTCTCTTGCTTTGCAGGTTTGTTTCCCATCAATACTAACCTTTTCAATGCATAACAATACAAGGTCAACAATAATCGAAGATGGTTTTGATAAAATTTGTTGGAAAAAAGCTCTGCACAATTAGGGTGAACAAAATATCCGAAATTTGAAAATCCAATTCGAACCAAACTGAAATTTATAATTTGGTTCAAAAGTTTCGGATTGGTTCAGACTGAAAATTTTATAAATTTCGAATTTTCGGTTCGATATACTAAAAATCCGAAATATAATATTTTAATATATTTACAATTACATATTTAATAGAAATAAAAACTTAAAAATTAATAATAGTATTTTAATATACTTATTTTTATTTATTATATATATTTAATATTATAAAACAATTATAAAAATATAAATAAATTTTAAAAAATAATAAAAAACTAAAATTTTGGATCATTTCGGTTTGGTTCGGATTGATATTTTTAAAAAATTCGGATTTGGCAAAAGTCCGAACTGAAAATCAAATGCTCACCCCTATGCACAATAGATCATGCTTACAGTGATATACAGATAAATGATAAATGCTGATGATGGTGATATCTTTACATGACATAGCTGATAATTTATCTATAAACAAGCTTTGCACAATAGATGATCTTCCTCGTGGTGTAAAATCAATACGACTTAAGAATCATGAGGCTCAAACCCGACAAAAATAAAGATTGATGCAATGTTTGATTCTCATGTAAGTAATAGTAAAAAATAAGTAATCAATTTGATTGCACTTTTCATTGCCCGGTTAAGATCTAGATTGTTCGATAAATGAAAAAGACAATTTACATGTAACTGTGAATGCAAGGATAGGCAGCAGAATTACTCCAACAAATAGAGATAAGGATAAATCAATAACTCTGAGGGGTCATCTAACTCTACTGCTTTCATACACAGTTCACATTTGTTAGCAAAATCCTAACTTTCCTATCCTCAAATCGAAGTGAGAAAACTTGAGCTCGAAATGGTTGAGATGATATCGAAAGCTATAAATTTCAACATAAAGACAAGGTGATTGTACATCTATTGTGCAATGAAAAGATGCAGGCAACTGACAAAGCATTGGAGAAGATTCATGGAGACCGGCGGTTAGCAGAAACATTGGGGGAACCTATTTCTGAGTAGTAATATGGCTGTGGATCAACATGAATAATGTTACAAGTTTTCAGACTTTTCCATATCGGAAAATTCTAGCTATGGATAATCATTAGCTCGTCCTGCTTCTCTAGATTATTTGCGATTCATCACCATAGCTATTGCAATCCATCCTTTTTCGAAGCACCAAATGAAATAAACATTTTATCATAAAACAAAGCTATACGTGGCCGTAAACAACTCCAATTCTATCTAATCAATCCCTAAATAAGCAACTCTACAGAATCCACCATTACACTTGAAGGTGAGAAGATTCTATCGTAAAACAAAAGTATACGAAGTTATATATATATTCGCATCGTACTATATCTCACACTAATTCGATTTCACTCGCATTGCGAAAGTAACAAACCAGCGCAACTCCAAACGATCGCGCCAAAATTCATCGAAATTTCTTGCCGCAGATTCGCCAAATTACAAGCATTCACAAATCTATTCAGTAATTACCTGTAGAAGAACGCAGAATTATGGTCGGGATGACAAGCAGTCGAGGACTGGAGCGAACTTGGCCGCCATAGAATGACGAGACGGATGGATGCTTCTGGATTTTATGCAGCGAGAATATAGTTTAGCGCTTTTAGGTCATTGGTAGCAACCACGCTTTTAAGTATAAGTTGAGATTAGAAATAGCGCTTTCAAGAACTTCAAGAGGCTATATAATTCTTGCTTCTAGTGTTGTACATTTTCATCGTCTGCGTGCATTACGAGGTTGTACTTTTGCCTTTTGCCCCCTTCCGTTTTATATCCATGGCTGGTTCATTTATAATCTCAGATTATTGATGCCGTGGCAGAGTACTGGAATTGGGTGTATGAGGCCCTCTGCTGAGGATCGGGCTACGGGGAACCTAAATTTGTTAGGGGAGGCTGGAATTTTCACGTTTTTGGGTATGTTTATGTTGTTTTGTTCACGTTAATCTTCAGCCCAATCTTTTCCTGAATTTCTTCGGTTAGGGTTTGGGTTCCATCATATGCCGTGTTAATTGTTGGTTTTGGTTTTAGTTCGGCAAATTAGGGTTCGACTACGGTTCCGAATAATTTCGTATTGTTGACTTTAATCAGTTTAAAATCTCCTGCTGGGTTGCTGCATACGATCTGCTTGATGCTCTTCCTCTAACAACGGTAGCATTTGCAGGGTAGTGCTTGAACGACGGTAGCCATGGACGAAATTCCATCAATGTTAACTAATCCATTCCAATTTGACTCGCTCTCGTTTTGAGTCTTCGATATCCAGTTGATCTCAGGTCAATTTGTGCTCCTACCGCAAGCAAAGGTAAATCGATTCCTTCTGCATTTATGTTTGTTTTTTTTTTTTTTTTTTTTTAAGTCTTATATATTGATTGATTAGGGTTGCTTTGCTGTTTTGAATATCTAATCCATAGTTATCACTTGATGATGAAAGTGGTTGGTGAAACTCAGGTTTTCTATATGGATTTGGTAATTTATCTATGATTCTCACCTACGGTTAATAGGTTGGTTATCTTTAACAATGAAAAAAGGGTTGTAAGAATGCAGTTGCAGTGTCAGTAAGGTTTAATTATTTAGACTAAATTGGCATCATCTTCTACACAAACATTTTCAATTTTCTAAGGTCTTGTTCCCATTAACCATTTGAGCCACGACGCTTTTGACGCCTATGTAGTGTTGGCTATAATGGAACTTCAATATAAAAAAAGTAGAATTATGAATGTAGTCATGTATAAATGCTATGGAAGTGGCAATTGGTTTGTGTGGAGATTGTGGATATATTTTTCAATAGTGCGCCGTGGCGCATGGCACAGTCCTGATACTGTTTTACTGGGCATGGTCGGACCATTTGAGTAAGAGTCGAACAGACCTTAGAAAATTGAGAATTTGTGTAAGAGATGTAAACAAGATATTGGATATTTCTGAAAAATATTTCGCAATTGATTTACCTGAAAAAGAGGTTTTCAATCTATTTTGAATCTGTAGCACAAGTCATCTATTTGATAGATACCGGATTGTAGTGAACAATAGTCTATACGGACAACTCACTTTGAAGTGACTATTCACTGGATACAAGTGTCACGTTACTTCACAGTAGAATCAAATTACAAACACCTAAAGTTAGAAATAGTGATGCTGCACCAATTTCCAACCAAAAACCGGCTGTCTTGTCAATAGAAATGACAGTAGTCGCTACTGGATGATGAATGGAATATGGAATTTTACTAGAATTCTTTGAAAAATGTACTGTCATTCTGTTAATAATCTTAAAAGAACACCCAACAACTTCAATGAGGCATATGCCTTTTCCCAAGTGCCTTGCCTATTCATCACTTCATCAAATAGATACACAATTGTGGATACAAGTGTTTGATTGGTAGACAATTTCTAGAATAACCTAAAATTCGGCTACGATAAAAGATTATGTAAAACCATCGTAGGGACCCAACACTGAAATTGCACAAATGTCAATCTACCAAAAAGAATCAATTCACATAAAATATATCTCACAAATCCGTAATTCCGGAGTCTTAATACAATCTTCTACTAAAAACCAACGTTAGCTTACTCATTGAAAAAAAAAACAAAAAGAAAGAAAAAACAAAATCAGTAAAATTCCTTTGGAATGATGATGTTCATCTCTTCTAATCTTCTCTCCTCCTTCAACAGTGCACTCTAGCTCTCAAAATTCAGAAGTGGGTGTTGATTTTGATTTTTTTTTTTGGCATTCCAGCCGTGCACCTTCTTCCAATTTCCAGCAATTTATATTTGTGTCTATCCACTTAACCTGGTACTCCAACTCCAATTTTTTACCAAGAATTTATTCTTTTCTTTAATGCCCTTACTTGTTCTTTAAGTCATCCATCATTTTTTCTTTAATTCCCATATATTTTAAATCTTTCTTTTGACTCTTGATGTTCCACAACAAATTATGAAGATAAGTGCAATTAATATACAAAAATATGCAAGAACTTGTTGCTCATTAGAAAAATAATGAGTGAAGGGAAAATGCCAACCAAGTCTAAGTTGTTTGTTGTGCTGCATGATTTGATTCCTTCGTTGGAGAATTGAATGCACTTAATTTGTGCTTTAAAATTTATAGGTTGACAATGGTTAGTACCAGAGGCAAGAAAATAACTAGTAGCTCCAATGACACTGTTGGGGAGAATGAAACTGCCAAAAATGCTTTAACTGAGATGCAAACTTCTAATTCACCGGTAGCAAAGTTGGAAGAATCAAATAGTAGTATCCAGGTAGAAGATGAACTAGAAGCAGCAGTTGAAGATGCTAAAAATGAGATATATGAAGAAACAGATGACAAAGAAGAAAATGAAAAAATGAAGGAAGTAGAAAACGATGATGAAAATGAAACAGCTACTGAAACTAATGGTGATAATTTGGAAGCAGAAGAAACACTTGCTTCTGAGGATGATGGGAGACATGATCAAGATGTAATACAGGAGGATGATAACTCTGAAGACAGTGAAGAAGATATTGCCACGGCTGAAGAAAATGTTTCAGGAGGTGATGAAGTTAGTGACGGGGAGGAAATTGAAGAGCAATACTTAGGTGTGGATGGGAGTGAGAACGAGGATGGGGTTAGCGAAGAAGACATTGGAGGGGAAGATGCTGAAGTGTCCAATGAAGACATTGGAGGGGAAGATGATGAAGTGTCCAATGAAGACATTGGAGGGGAAGATGATGAAGAGGCGAAGGAAGGCATTGGAGGGGATGATGATGAAGAGGCCAATGAAGGCATTAGAGAGGATGATGATGAAGAGGCCAATGAAGGCATTGGAGGGGATGATGATGAAGAGGCCAATGAAGACATTGGAGGGGATGATGATGAACGGGTCAAAGTGAGTGAAATAGAGGCAATGGAAGAACATAATCAAGCAAATATCAAAGGAAAAGAAATAGTAAAAGAAGATGAAAAGGACACTAAAGAGCACAATACAGTGGAACCGAAAGCGAGCTTGAAGAAGATTAAAAAATCAAGTCAAAGAAGGAAAAAGAAGAAACAAGCTCCAACTGAGAAAGAAGTTATCTTCAGAGATAAGCCTGAATCATCAAGCAAGAAAAAGGCTAAGAAGAAAATTGAGAGTATGGGAATGATTTTCATGTGCAGTTCTAAAACAAAGGATGATTGCTACAAATATAGGGTTCTTGGGCTACCGGAAAGCAAAAAGGATCTTGTGGTTAAGATATATTCTGGCATGCGGCTCTTTTTGTATGATGTTGATTTAAAGTTGCTGTATGGGATCTACAAAGCGGCCGGACCTGGTGGTTATAATATAGAACCCAAGGCATTCAAGTCACAGTTTCCATCTCAGGTTTGTGCTGTTCTTGCTGAAATTTTTTATGCTAATGATCTTTCATATTTTTATTTTACATATAGGATAAGTTTCTTAATTTAATTTAGTAGATGAAACAAAGCACTATCTTCAGAAGGAAAATGTGATTAAGTAATCAATTTCCATTCCCCTTTTGCCTCAAGCATGATTTTTAGGGGACTACTGCCCTAAAGAAGCATCATCTTTTGATGGTATGTTGAGTTTCCACAGATGATCATCTTGTCATTACTAGACAATAGGCATGCAATTTTGAGCATGTAGTGGGAGTCACTTTTTGGGTGTTTCATGTTATAACCCGGAATTAACTCATTCATCTAAAACTGACAAATTATTGGAGACTCTCTTTATTGCATTTTTATAGATGGCATCTTAGTTCTTCAATCCTGTATTTTGTAGAGAACTTCATAGTTTGGTGTCAAATACTGTGAATTTTCCTTAATTTTTCTTTGGTGGACTTGTTTGACGTAGAAACTTGTTCCTTAGTGGGCCTGCTTGTTTAGGAGCTGTATCAAAACATTTTCGTGTAATTCTATTTGTTTGTGATGTTGAACTTAGTGAATTATTCTGACGGTCAAGTTGATGGAGCAATTTTCTTTTTCTGTGTTGTGTCCCGTCGGCATGTGGCTAATGTTTGAAGTGCTATGGTATGAATATGATAATGAATCTTTATTTGTCAAATATTTTCTTATGATAAGGGTAGACTTCGATTGCTTCCTTGATCCAAGTAATTTCCTATTATTTAATAGAACTGTGATATTTTCAAGAAGATGGCCTTCACTCCCTCCCCCACTTATTTTCCGTTTACAGCACATCTACAATCTGATCATGGGAAATTAATATGATGTGACATGCAAAAGCTCATGATCTTATAATTCACACCCATAGATTCAGCTATAGTTTTGGAGTCATTTTTACACAACTATTTGTTCAAACAAAATTGAAATAATTAAAATAGGAAGCTCAATTTTGTATAGAGCTACGGATATTTATCAATTGTTGATGAGTGCATTGACGATACTATATATATATATATATATATAATATAGTACTATTCTACTAGAGTACTATCTGAGTACCTTGAATGATTTGAAATGAAAATCGAAACAAGGACAATAGTGAAATTGTGACATTGACTTAATGTACCCTAATATCTGAATCAGGTTCGATTTACTGTTATGGAAGATTGCTTGCCTTTAGCCGAGGAGAAGTTCAAGAAAGTCATCAAGGACAACTACTACACAAAAACCAAGTTTAACTGCAAACTGACTTCAGAACAGGTAAATTAATTTACCTCCTTTCATTCCTTTATCAAGTGTTTCTGAGTATCAATACGAAAATTGCACAATGTCTTGAAGGCATGCTATATAACTCGCCTGTAGGTTAAGAAACTGTGTAAGCTGTTTATAGCTTCAAGTAAAGGGCAGAAGTCCACACAGTTAAGCAGGAGCCGTAAAGAAGTAAAACCTCCACGAAAGACGAAAGATTCTAAGCAGAGATCTGGTGACAAGAGACGCCTTAGGTCGAGGGGAGACCCTCAATCCAACGAGCGTCCTCGTAAACGGGCAAGGGAGATAATCATGCCGGTGCCACTGCTGCCGCCAGCTCCTCCTCCATACGCCATTGGCAGAGCTTCTGAAGTGGAAGCTTATCGTCGGGGTCCATATTTGGAGAGCCGTATAAATCCACTTCCCAGCCATCGAGATTCTTACAGAGATTTGAGGTATCCTCTGGCAGACTACAGAGACGGGCGGGGCGAGTATCTAGAGAGGCAATATCTCACCTCTTATCCCGATCGGGGTTTGAATTTGGAGCCTCGTGATACGTACAGAGACCTGTATAATCGTAGCGGCGACGCTTACAGAAACGGGCACGATCCCTATCTGGAGCGCCAACTGTACCCTGACCATTACAAGAGGGATCCGTTGCCAGTTCGTCCCGAGGTTTACAGAGATGAACGAGGGCTTGAGCTGCGCGATCCTTATCAGCGAGAAGAACCATTGGATCGTCGCGACCTGAGGCCGCGACACCATGACATTGTTGGATCAAGCTCCGGCTCTGGCGCAGGCTCCTTTGTTCCATACCGGGGGCGCCTATCGTATCCCGAGCCTGTTTATTATTTGGAGCGGGAACCTTCTCAGTCGAGCCGAGTACGTCTCTATCGACTTTAGGCTGTGAAATTAAACTTGTAGCACAAAATGAGGGGTGGGGGGGGGGGGGGGGGTAGGGGTAATAAAATCTGGAGGCTCTGCTTTGTGGCTACTTTGTTTTTACTGCACTGAGTAGTATTGTTTTATGTTGTTATTCATATGCCTTTTTAAAGTGATGCTTATTGTTATGTAATAGTGATGCTGCCCTGCTTCTTGCTATTTGATGGTTTTATTGATGCTTTGGATCTTTTATAAGCTCAGGTAGGAATTAATAGTTTTGTCATTTACATAGATGTTTATGAAGGTCAGAAAATTTTTTAAAATAATGAAAAATATTATTCGATGATGGATTTGATTTTGGATTTGGTTTTGGTTTAAGGAATGTTCTGAAAATTGTGATATAAATACGAGTTAAAATATAATTGATTTTATATAAAATCAAAATTAGATATTTTATTTGATGTATTTTTGAAAAAAAAAATTATAAATAGTATAAAACAAAATCAAATCATTTAAACAAACAACACTATTTATTTTTTATTTAAGAAAATAATTGATATTTTGTGAAAAAAAATAATAATAATAAAATTATCAAATACAAAAAGATATCAAATAAAATAAAATATATTAAAAAGGAAAAATGCCATTTATTTTGAGATATATAATAAAAAATTAAAATAATTTTATATTAATATAATTATTAATACAACAAATAAATATATTACTCTCTCCTATGTAAAGAAAAAATAGAAAAAATGTACTTGTTTTGTCCCAAACATTTGTAAATGATGTGATTAGAAAGATAAATGATTATGGGTCAGAGAGAATATTTTTTATTAAAATGAGAAAAAAAAATTAGATAAAAAAAAAAAAAAAAAAAAAAAAAGAAGAAGAAGAAGAAAAGATATTGATAATAAATTTAGATGATAAGTTAAAAATAAATTTGAATAACAAGTACTTAGTTTGATTTGCAATTAAAACAAATAAACGTAAAGTAACGGATACAATTACTAACTACCAAAATAAAAAATAAATAAAAATCAATCTCGTGTAAGTTATTACAGAAAGTCTGCACCGTCGATGTAGGCAATGTCACCACGTGGCAGCCATCCGTGCATTGAAAAAGCTTCACGCGAAGGAAGGAGAAGCGGATAACACTGTATATTCCGACGAGCCTTGACAATACTCTTCTGCCACTATCCATTCGCTCATGACTTAATTAGCCTAGCTTAGCTTAGCTACACTCCTCTTATCTTCTCCACCCTTCGATTTCCTCTCCAATTCCATGGCGCGGGCGCTGATTTCGTCCCCGACCTTCCTGGGAACGCCTCTTCCATCGCTTTCCCGCCATGGATTTGTCCCGCGGCCCAGGCGCGTCTCTACCGAGGTGAAATTCAGCTTGCAGAACCTCCCGCCTGTTGAAAATTCGATTGATTTCAATGCCATGGTTGAGAAAGCTGAAGCTTTGCTCTACACGCTCGCCGATGCTGCGGTGGTTGCCGACGGTGGTACGGCTGCCTCCGACTCTGCTGCTGCTGCTACTGTGCAGAAGAGCGGAGGGTGGTTCGGGTTCATTTCTGACGGCATGGAAGTTGTATTGAAGGTAGATTAGGGTGCATATATATATATATATGTATTATATGTATTTGATATCCCTTTCCCCTTTTTCAATTTCTTTATGTTTAACATGATGGCGTAGTGGTTTTCTATATTGCTTCGTTTTGCATCCGTGTGGATTTGGCCATTTGGGGTTACATATAGAATCGTTACAGGTAGTTGTTTGAATGATCTTTTTACTAAAATGAGTGGATAACTAAAACACTAATTTTCTTGCTATGATTTCTTTAGTGTGCAACGTTTTTGCTTCTTTTAGTTGGAGAATTTCACAAATTTTAAACATTTAGGGACAAAATTGAACAAAATTTATTTGTGGTTTCACAAAGCGCTACAAATCTCTTGTACTTAAAAAATTGTACAAAATTTATTTGTGGTTTCCCGTCTAACTCCTCGGTCATCCTTATTCGACCGTGTTTGAACTGCGCGCATCCAAACTGAGTATAAGTTTAAGAATCTTCATTTCTAAACACATTAGGGTTGTGTTCTTTTTTGTGGGTTTTACTTCCTCCAAAAATATCTAACTATTACTTTCTATTTTTTATATTATATTATAAATTTATTTTACATTCAAAATATCAACCAGAAACAAACACACCCTAGATTACAAATATACTCATTATTCTTAGTTGTTTTTTTCTTATTTTAAGTTTTTTTTTTTTTTACTGTTTTTAAGGTTAAATATTAAAAGAATTAATATATTTATAATTTTAAGAGTTTAGAAATAGAGATTTTGAAATTTATTTGTAGCTTGAAGCATATAGGTTAAACACCGTTAAACAAAGAAAGTAAATGAGTCAGACTTAATTTTGAAAGTAAAGGGCATTTGACACAATTTCCTAAAAGCGCCTGGTAGGTTTTGTGCAATTTGGCCACCATTTAGGTGTTATAGAATATGAACAGCAAGTGATTTTTGATTGGCATGTAAAACTTCATGTATAAACATTTGAAGTTCTCGTGACATATAGTTGATTATTCTGAGAGATGATTAGTGTAATAATTCGGGTTTAGCGAGTGCAGATCTTATTGTTACTAGCCACTTCATTTAAGCGATCGTTTACATACAGAAGTTGTTGTCTTTGTGGAGCATAACAACTTAAACTTTTCCAAATGAGATAAATCTAAACTGAATGTTAATTTGGAATTGCTATCATACATATTGAATGGTTATTTTGTCTAAAAGATTAGGACTCATCCATACTAGTAATAACTTCACTCAAGTACCTTCAAAATGCTCACATCATTCTTTTCTGCTTTCCCATTCCTGTTTTTTTGGGAATTGTTAAGAGCTTTTATTTTGATATCCATCGATATTTCATTCATAAAAGGTGAAGAACCTTGTATTTGTATTTTCTATAGAAGATGTTTTCGGGATAACATAGAAAGTGAGCAAACACCATATAACAGAATAATAATGAACATATAAACTGCTCTCTAACACATTACTAAATTACATATTTGTGTCACAGTATTAACTGACTAAATGAATACCTGGTTTATTTATAAGATTCTTAAGGGCGGTCTCGCAGCTGTTCACGTGCCGTATTCTTATGGGTTTGCCATAATACTTCTCACTGTTATTGTAAAAGTTGCCACATTCCCTCTGACAAAGAAACAGGTAACCATTTATTCTGCAGCTTTTATCTCCACAGATTCCCTGCATTTCAGCCTTACCTTTTTCTTCTCTATGTAAGTATACAACCATATGACAACATGTGTATCATTGTGAAATAAAGGTTGAGTCAACTCTAGCAATGCAGAATCTTCAACCAAAAATCAAGGCGATTCAACAAAGATATGCAGGAAATCAAGTGAGCATTTGTCTACCTTTTATTTATTTATTAATTTTTTTTCAGTCATTAATATGGTTGCTGATTATTGATGTAGTAGAAATAGGATCTTGGATAATAATGTATTTATGATTGTTGATGGATTGTGTTAAACAAAGAGACAAAAAGTATTGCTTCTAGTTTGAAGTTGTGGTTTGTTTCTGGTGCTCATGATTTTTTGAGATGGGAATTACTGCCAGATTATGTGGATTATGTTCCCATTTATGATTTTGATAATGTAGAGTTTTTGGCACAACCTGCTCGTGTAAACTATCTCGATACAAAGAACTCTTCAACCTGCAAAACCATAGAAATAAACAGTTTAGCCAAGTTCAGCACATAAGTCCATTAAAAATCTATAGATACTTCTGGATCTTCAAAGTCGACCAAAACATAACTGAATCTTAGAGCTTTATACATAGATTCCCAAAAAATGAGGAAATTTCTATTTTCTCCTTATCATGGTTAACTAGCATTATTCCAACATAGTTTGTTTGCTGTCAAACAGTGTTAATATGAGTAAAGTTTTCTCTTCATCGTTTCATGATGGTTGAGTAAGTATTAGTTACAGGACATAGTGATTTTACTCAACAATTTACATTTGTTTTGCTAAAAGATCAATAACAACATTAACAACCTTGTTTCCTAACATATCTTATCAGTATGACTTCAACTTCATTGGGGGTTGATAGTGAGATGAGATGTTCAGACATAATATACTGTAAAAAACTTTGGTTTAAACATTACTTCCATTTTACCATATTGCCTTCAGAACTAAACCCCTTTTTTGTTACAGGAAAGAATACAACTTGAAACTTCTCGATTATACAAACAAGCAGGAGTCAATCCTCTTGCTGGTACAATTTTTAATCTACTTATCCTGTTTTGTTAATTTATTTTATTTGTCTGGGTTAGCTAAATATGTTATGATATATTCTACTATTTTAATCTCCATTACATAGGACATCTGGCATAATCATCACCACTCAATAGCTTTTTAACTCAACATGCTAGTGTGACCATGTATAGGTTCCATGTTTACTTTCTTGAGGAAACAATATATTACTAGAAATTACTTTTTATTACTCTCTCTGATATTGAATTCTATCTCATTTGGTTGGGCACGTGTTTTTAATAAAATTGGAATAATTGTTTTTTTTTTTTCTTTTATATAGTAAAAAATACAAAAGTGATGATTGTTTACTTAAAAATGAAATGCGAAGGTTTTTTTTATGACAATCCAAAAAGGAAAGTGAACATTTAGATGATAAGGGAGTATATTAGTAACCTCTTTATGTTAGTATTTTATGTCTAGCAAGTTTCTGGTAGCATAGATGTGTGAGGATAGTCTAAGAGTTTTGAGGATGTGTTTGATTGGATTGTGAATGTTCTGGATTTCAAATTTTTTAAAAGTTGAAATTGGGTTTTGGGTGTGATGTTTCAAATGAAGAATAGGTGGATTTAATTGAATGGAAAATGGGTTTCGAATAGATGGTTTTGAATGGAAAATATTTTACTGTAGATTGCATAATAAGAATAAAAGATTGAATACACAAACAAACATGCCCATTGAGGAGTTTGAATTTAATGTGCTTAGATCACCTAGGAGCAATTTGCCAATGAATTGATTGCAGATTGGGGATTTCTTCTTGCTATATGTTTTCCACTTTTTCTAGAGCAATCTACCCAGAACTTTATCCTTTTTCAACAATAATTTTGTTTTTTTTTTTTTTTATGTTATACCTCATTGATGGATGACAATAGGTTGCTTCCCAACCCTGGCTACAATACCAGTCTGGATAGGTTTATATCAAGCCCTTTCAAATGTCGCAAATGAGGTACAGAAAGAGCTTGCTCACTGCATTTTGATTTTACTGTTGAATTTTCAAATAGATCAGTTAAGATTTCCTTTATTTTATCCATTTGAGTTATTTCACAGGGACTGCTAACTGAAGGATTCTTTTGGATTCCTTCTTTGGGTGGCCCAACAACAATTGCAGCTCGGCAAAGTGGAGCTGGAATTTCCTGGTTGTTTCCATTTGTGGTAACTAATGCTCAATGATCTCAGCCTCCGATGACTCAAATTTTCTGTTTTTCCCCTGCATTTGTTTCTCATGAGATCTATCACTCTTATCCTTTGAATGATTATTTTCCTGAAGAAAGATCTGATCAAGATGATACATGTCTGCTAATGATAAAATTGTTACTGCATTCATTGGTTTTATTTTTTTTCATCCTTAAGCAGCATTCGTGAACAATATGAATAATAATTTTGTAGGACGGGCATCCACCACTCGGTTGGTATGACACTGCAGCATACCTTGTTCTACCTGTTCTTCTTATTGTCTCTCAGTATGTCTCTATGGAATTGATGAAGCCTCCACAAGTAAGCTGCAAGATTATATTAGCTTTACTTTATATTATTTTTGTTTCCTTTATGTTGTCCTTATATCTTAATTCTGCGTTGTTAGACAGATGATCCATCACAGAAGAACACACTTCTGGTGCTCAAGTTTCTTCCCATTATGATTGGTTACTTCTCTCTGTCAGTTCCATCTGGATTATCAATATACTGGTAATGCTGATCATTCAATCTTAGTAATTTTTTTATGCGGTATATTTGTGCTGAAGTATGGAAAACATAATTATTTTAAATGGTTATACATGCAAATCTTGTCTGCATATGTTAGATCCACCCCAGTGAAGAAGTTTGTAAAAGTTCTAAGAGAAATGTTGAGATATATTAATAATGACATAGATCTATATATAGACCTTAATGTAATATAGTAGATATAATATTTATCTAAAATATACAGTGATCCTCTGTCGCAATGGTGAAAACTTTAATAAATTGAAGATTTGATCAAATTAGGATTTTAATGGTCACATCCTCAGTCGCGGCGGAGGCGGCAACAATCCTCTATCTTTGTAGCAACATCAAAGTAGAATTTCTAATGACGGCACCAACGATTCTCTGCGGTGGCGCTAAACCCATAAATTAAATCCTAATAGGCAGAAATTGTTGGGGTGCAAACCCAAGTCTCACATTGAGAGTTGTGAAAAAAAATTACACACCTTATAAGTCCTAAGTGAACTTCACGGGTTGGCCCAGTCCCAACAGAAACTTCGGACAAGTAATTAAATATCAATCCTAGTAGAGGCTACTTATCCACCTTGATTCCCTCCACTAATACACCGACCGAAACTATCTCCTAAGATTACTCATTCAGGATTTCCTACACTTCCCCTTAAGCTAGTGTACTTAACAATATTCTCATGGAACATGTTATACAATCCTTTTGTCACCACATATGTAAGTTGAAGTCCTGTTGGAAGATATGGAGTACAAATCAATTCACGTTTTGGTTTAATAAATTCAGTCTATCTCTATGTGCTTTGTTTGATCATGTTGAACCGATTTGTGAGCTGTACTTATAGTAGATTTGTTGTCGCAATATAAATTTATTGGTTTGTTGCATCGGATCTTCAAGTCTTCTAAGATAATTTTGATCCATAATAATTCACATGCCCCTAGTACCATGGTTCTGAACTTTGTTTCATAGCTTAACCATGCCACCGCACTTTTTGTTTCTTGCTTCTTCAGGATATTAAAGTTTCCATGAGAAAGGTACACCTGTCACACTTAAGACCCTGCAAAATCTGCATCGGTGTAAACTGCCAGATCAATTGCAAGACCTTTTTTGAATAAAATTACCTTCCTTGGATGTGCCTTAAGTAATTTAGCTCTCGATGAACTTTTCTAGGATCATCCATAAACTAATAGATAACACTGACTGAATAAGCTATGTATGGTCTAGTGTGTGCGATATAGATGAGCTTCCTAACAAGATTCTCAAAAATAACAAAGATAATCAAAACTAAACAGATAGCAAGATTCTCAAAAATAACAAAGATAATCAATCAACAAAGCTAAAATACTATGCCAACCGTTAATTAGAAAATGCATGAGGAAGATCTTTAATTCTTCAATGTGGAATCACAATATTTCTTTATATATTGCTTCTCCATCTTCTTTAAGCAATCCGAGTTATACGACAACAGATGATAAAAATCAGCCAAAAAAGCTTTTAACCTATTCATTAATATAGACTTGAGATTGGACTTCTTAAATTGTTGGCCTCCTGTACATTGGAGAAAAACTCAATAGTTAAGCATCTTGACCACACACCATCGAACTATACTCTGTATCATCTTTCCTGCATACATAGTTGGATGTAAGTTAAAACAATTTGATGTCTCATACATATCCTCCATGCATTGCAGATATCTTTTTTAGTTTTCCCATCAGTCCTGTTCGTGTAGTTCACTGGTTTTTCTGCTTTCACTGGTTTGTTAGGTTCACAAACAATGTACTTAGCACGGCACAACAGGTCTGGCTAAGGAAATTGGGAGGTGCAAAGCCTGTTGTAGGTGAAAATGCTGGTGGGATAATCAGTGCTGGACGTGCAAAGCGATCAGGCACTCAGCCAGAAACAGCTGGTGAAAGGTGAGCTGATTCTTTAATTATCTCTTTTAGGTTCTTTACTTTCTGTTTTTCGTTTCAGAATGTTCCCACTCGATAGAATTATTTTTCGAAACAGGTTTAAACAGCTAAAAGAAGAAGAGAAGAAGAAGAAGAACGCTGCACTTCCTGTGGATGCTGTTCAAGCTTCGACTTCGTCAGATTTTGAGTCAGAAGATGACTCAGAAAAAGTAAGTGTATCAAAGGTAAACTTGCTCATGATCTAGTGAAAGTTAGGTGCTTAATTTTTTAAATGGATGAAAAAGTATGAAATTTCTTGAGGATATTTTACTTGAGTGAATATTTATCTATGCTTGTGATCGAATCTAACAACTACTGAAAATAAATCCTTTTTATCCATTAAATGAGAGTTGATGATACATACTATAGGATTTAAAAATTGCTACTACAAAAGTTGTAGATATGTAAAGAAGAAAAAATATATACTATTTATATGCAACGACTCAAAATAAAAATGTTAGTTATCAGTTTACCGATCCCCAACACTATTAACTACATAATATTCATTTCTGATTAGGACTGTATTTAAGCTTGCTGTAAAATGTACTTTGATGTTTGTAGCTGGACAAAGAAGTTCTTGAAGAGTCGTATGCTTCCAGCAATGTTAAACAAGTTCCACCCGGGCCTAGGAGAAGTAAGAGGTCAAAGCGAAAGCGTGCGGTATGAGTTATCAACTTTTGTTGATTACATTAAATCTTGTATATTTTGTGCAATTTGCAAATTGATATATAGGGGCCATTTTCTTGGGGCCATCAATTTTAACGTACAAATAAGCTATTTGTTTCGTTAGGTTGAGGATCTGTTGTACTCCCTGCTTGAATGCTCATTCAACTTTATGTCTATTGCTTAATCTGTACAAAATCAGAATTTATAATTTACTTGCTCACCATCAAAACACAGAATATTTTGTTTATCGATATAGGAAACCTGAGCTATTGAAAAAAAAAAAATGAGTCATTTCTAAATGCTAAGTAAAATTTTGCAGATTGATGACATTGTTATTGCCGAAAATCTAAGTTTCCTGACATTGTTAGAATCAATTTCATGTGCAATACTTGATCTGTATTCGTGTAATTCTGTCCCAGAGGCTTGTAGATTTCGAAAGCATTTGATTAAGTGAAATAGATCGGATAAGGCTAGACATTCTCGACGAGTGAATTAGTACTGCTTTATATAGCGAACAACTCAGTACCAGATAATGCCGAACTCTTTATCCCGCGAGTACAGAATATTTTACAAAAGGACCTAGATTCTTAACATAGAATTGACTTACTGGTATACCTAACCACCAATACCTATTGAGATTCATACATATTGATTTGTTCTACATGTTTTATTTCTGCACTGCATCATGACATGGTAGGTGGATGCTGATTTCCAATCGGGCTTGGTCCCGATAGTTTCTTACGGCCCTTGTTCTCGTTCACTGTGCTTTTCTGCTTACATGACATGAACACATACTATTTCATTACATCTAACAGAACATCGAAAACTAGGATAGCAGAACTAGATTAGAAACACTTAAAGCTTCTTACCAATGCTTTACGACCTCTAGCTTGCGAGCGACCCTCTTCCCGGCTAGTCTTTAAGCTAACTGTCACAACATAGAAGCTCTCTAGTTAGTTAAAACATGATGCATTAAATACCAGTTTACCTTAGCAGCTGAAGTAGTTTATGAACTAACCTGATTTCGACCCGGGACTCCTCGGGCTGCCAGCATGGCAGTGTCGAAATGCAGTGAGTAGGAGCCACATCAAGAAGAGTAACGAGAAGAAACTCTTTATTCTTGTCATCGTTGGTACGAAGCCGACTTCCCAAAGATAGAATGGATGGACACAAAGTATTTATGACAAGAAATGTGTGGAATCCCCATCCTCCTATCCACAGTGTGTCTGCTAATTATTACATAGCTTGAAAACTTAGGATGTTTTAAGGCAAGGCAATGTGGTTTGGGGATCCTATGTTGCCGATGTGTCGGTTAAATAACCATTTTATCTAAAAGTTTAAAGTAGCCCAGATATACATCATTAATTGCATATTTCATAGTTTTTCAACATTATCACACGCCAGTCTTGCATTATTATTTTATTTAAAAGTTTAAGCTAGTAGGGATATGCATTATTAATTACATATTACTCCCTCCATTCTTTTTTATTATTTTCGTCTGTCTCACTCAAAAGTATTTATTTCTCTTTTTTAGTAAAAATAATTATATATAATAGCAAAAAGTTTTACACATTTTTATTGACCAATAAAATACTATTATTTCTTAATTTACTATAAAATCCGAAAGGCCGGGAGGGAGTATTATATAGTCTTTATAATAGTGTCGATGTTGTTGGGATAAGGAATCTTGATCTGTTTGTTCTCATTGTGTGTTTTGACTTTGTGTTAGTTTCCATGATGAAGTTGAGTTGAATTCTTTCATCCCATCATTGCAGCTTCTACTTTTAGGCTTTGCATGAGGTGGGCTTTATTTGATTTTGGTTAAGGGACTTTTCGGAGAAAATGAAAAGTAGGAGGATATAATAGTAATAATAATTATTGCCGCCGGTATACTTGGTGTGTATGTTCGACTCGAGCTCGAGTTCAAACTTTAGGACATGATTTTATGTTAGGAAAGATCTGGAGGTGTCGAGAGTTTAAACTTATAATTTTATAATGTGTTTGTTTGAGGATTTGGAATTTGAATTTGAATTGAGATTTGAATACTAAAAAAAAGTATAAATGTCTGAAAATCCTTCAAACAAATGCATCCTTAGCGTGACGAGTTGATTCCACACCTCTAGGACACTATTATTTAGAATGTGTTTGGTTGTTGTTCTGGTTTTTTCATGGCTGTTGTTGGTTACTGCAATATGTAGATAAATAAACAATGAATATTCTTCTAACATTAACATAATATATTTTGTTATTCTTTATTAATTGATATCTTATTATATTTATTTTATTGAAATATAATTTTTAAAATATTTTTTTATTTTTTTAATTATATATAAAAATTTAATTTAAAACTATCAATAATATATTTAATCTAAAAATAATGAAACAATATCATAATACAGTACTATCAATTTACTAAATTTTATTATTTTAAATATTCTGTCACTAATCAAATGTGACATATAATACATATTAAATATAAAATGAATATATGATATGATAGTTTAAAATAAATATATAATATGATATTTTTTAGAGAGAAAATACTATACATAAACACAACCAAACAAATCCTCTATATTTATAAAGAAAAAAAAGTTTAATGTTAATTTTATTTGTTTATTTTTAATATATATATATAAATTTTTGTGTTAAAATACTTCTTCGTCATGATAAGGAGTTCAAGTTATTGTAAATACGATAATTTAAAAAGATTATAATTAATAAATAATTAAAAAATTTATTAATAAAAGTAATATATATTTAAATTAATTTAAAATATGATTAAAATATATAATTATTTTTCAGAAATAAAAATAATATATTTAATGTGGAACAAAATGAGTAATATTTATATGAAATATATTAGTCTCACTATTTTTACTAAAATAAACAATTGATACTTTTGAATGAGACAAATGGTATAAAAAGTATTTGAGTCGGAACGGGCACAATATATTTTGGAATAAAGTTTAACAAGATACAACATTCATGCTTGGGTGATTATTTAATCTAATTAATTTTGTTTATTTTGATATTTTTATAAATAATGTATTATATAACCATTATACTTATTAGAAGTATATTTATTTATTTATTTATTTTTAATGCATTATTTATATGAAAAATTATCAAATAAAAATAAATACACCCATTTTATATGTTTATATATGCTGTGTCAAATAATAATTGATAGTATATATCTTTCTTACAGTAAAAAAATTATAAAAAGTAAATATAATTTTTGTTTAAAAGGAAAAATAATAATTTTATTATTATAACTAAATAAATAAATATAAATATAAGATGAAAATGGGGTATTATATAAAGTTACAACTTTAATGTGATATTCTCTTCATTTCATATAAAATGTTCTCAATTTTTATTTTTATCTATAACATAATTTTTTTAAATATAATTATATATTTTAATTTTATTTTAAATTTTATAATTTTATTAATTTTAATTAAATTATTTTAATTATTTTTATTAATATATTTTTAATTACTTATTTAAATTATACTGGAGTGTGTTTATTTAGTTCAAACTTCAAGTTTTTATATTTTGATTTTTTATTTTTAATTTTTTTTTATAAAATATTTCATTATCTATTATTTTAATATCAAATTTAAATTAAAAAAATACACGTAATTCTGTATAAAAAAGTATGAAATAAGATATTTAAATATAATTATATATTTTAAATTTTATTAATTTTAATTAAATTATTTAATTAATTTTATTAATTAAATAAAAAAATAAGATATTATATTAATTTTTAAATAAAATTATATATTTTAATTTTATTTTAAATTTTATAATTTTATTAATTTTAATTTAATTATTTAATTATTTTTATTAATATATTTTTAATTACTTATTTAAATTATACTGGAGTGTGTTTATTTAGTCCAAACTTCAAGTTTTTATTATTTTGATTTTGTATTTTTTAAAATTTTTTTTCTTACAAAATATTTTATTATATATTATTTTAATATCAAATTTAAATAAATAAATAAAATGCACGTAATTCTGTATGAAAAAGTATGAAATAAGATAAAAGTGGGAGGGTAGATATAAAGAGAGACGTACACATACATACATAAATAATACTAGTACATAATGAGTAGCGCCAATAAAAGTAATTATTGAAACAAACAACTGTTACACGACGTGGCATGACGTCACATCACACTATTGTCGGATATTGTAAGAACAACATATTAACGTGTTGAACTTTTGATGGTATTTGAGATCGGCTCGTTGAGAAGTTGATTCCGACTCTGAATTTATTTCTTAAAGAGATTCGAAGGGTGTGTTCGATTGGTGATTGGATTTTTAATATACTTTTTTTTTTCTCAAAAATATTAAGTTAAACACTTATTTTTTATTTTTATATTATATTCAAAATTAATTTTAAATTCAAAATATCACATCAACGTCTATTTATATCACATCATACAACTATTCAAATTCAAAATTTTTACTGTTGAAATTCCAATTCAAAATCCAAAAACACAACCAAAGTGAATTCTTTTTTTTTTTTTTTTAAACTCAATTCGTTAAAAAATACTCTCTTTGTCTGGGTGAATTTAGGGTGTGTTTGTTTGGGGGATTGGATTAGATTTTCACTATTCATCCAATTTTCCCTCCCCCAAAAATATCAAATCAAACACCTATTTTTTATTTTTTATATTATATTAAAAATCAATTTTACATTCAAAACATCACATCAACACCTATTTATATTACATCATACAAATATTCAAATTCAAAATTTTTACTATTTCAATCCCAACTCAAAATTCAAACTCTCAAACAAACACACCCTAACTACTTTTATTAATGGTTATAAGAAAAGTACATGCAATATATATAATATGTTTTTGGAGAATAAATAATTTATTTTTTTTATTATTTTAAATTTAAATTTAAATTATTTATTTACATAATTTTCAATAAAAATTAATTATTTTTTTCTTTTAAAATATTATATCAAAATATTATTTAAACAAAAAAATTAGATTAACACCGAATTTCAAATCAATTTCAAATCATAACTATTCGTACAACAGTTGAACTAAACAATAGTAATAATAATAATTTGAAGAGGAAAAAGAAATCTCTAATCCCATTTGTTTACTTTATCTTTATGTTTTGATTTTAACTTACTAATTTAGATATAATAATGTTTTATAAAATAAAAACAATCTATTCAATATAAAATTACGACAACAATATAATAAAATAAATAAATATCAAATTTTATATAACATAGTTGAAGTTTTTTTATTTTATGTCTTTTACAGGTAAGAAAAGAAAATTAAGGTTAATAATAATTTAAAAATAATAGCATAAGTTTTTTATTAAAATATATATATATTTTTTTTATTATACAGGATTTGTTCGCTTAGTTTTTTTTAGTGAAACGATTCCTAATAAATACTATTAATTATAATACAATATATAAACATATTAACATAATATAATATACATATATTTTATTCATTCAAAAAACTTCAACAATTCAATATAAAATACTTTATCCGTCTCATTAAAGAGGTTGTCATTTTTCAAAAAAAGTTATCATTTTCTAATTTAATAATTGTATCGACTAAACATAATAAATATTCTTTCAACATAAGCTATATTACATAGATGTATTACTTTTATACTATCTCCAAGTGAGTAATAATTATTAATTTTTTCTTTTATAATAAAAAACATACAAAAATATAATGATTTTTTACTTTAAAAAAAAAAGTGAGAATATTTTTCGATGACAACCCAAAAAAGAAATAAATATAGATTTAAAAGACGGATGAAGTATTATATTTTTATCTTTTTTACTCCGGCCTAATATAATACTAATATTAAAAAATCTACGTACAAAAAATAACGGTAACTTTTCAATGGGACGGAGAAAATATTATTTTTTATATTACCAATACAATTTTCATATATACTAAAAAAACACATTCATTCAAAAATACAAAATAAACAAATCCACAATTTCTAGAAAACTTAAAACAAGTATTTGTATATATAAATAATGGTAAAATAATAATAATAATAATAATAACTAGTAACGTTAAGTCTCCATTTCCCAGATCCATAACTAATTTCCATATGAATCCCTCCCTCAATCAGCATCACATTACATTACTCAAATCTCCATCTACAAATCCTTCACCATTAAATTACCAAACAATACCTCCCTAAACTTATTTCAAGACAATCCAAACTCGTTCGGGGGAGGCCGGAGGCACACCTGGACCTCGTGCTCCTCCGGCCCGGCCCGATATTTCGGAACTTTGATCTCGAGTATCGTCCCGCTCTCGTCGAAGTAGGCTTCCAGCTTCGCATTGTCCGGGATTCTCGTCGGGAGCGGGATTTCCCTCTTGAACTCCCCCGGCGGGCAGTGCTCGGGGGCCGGGTCGGTCAGCTTGAACGTGCGGTCGCATCTCACGATGAACGGCATGCACGCCGCACTCACCGACGAGATCTTAACCACGCCGTGCGTCACGTTGTTCCACCAATGGACTTTCACTCTCTCCCGATCGGTAAAAGGTAAAGTGACGAGTATTAAATACCCTTCCTCGTCCTCGTAAATCGTCTTCGCGGCGGTGACGGGTCCGTACGCTGCGTTCCGCATCACCCCGGTGAACTCGTGCAGCCATGACGGCTCGGCCGGGTGGAACTCGACGTCTTGATGTCGATCGGCGCTCCCGTTGAGGTTGTTGTTCAAGCAGCCGTCATCGTCGGAGAAGAATTCCTTCCGCTTTTTTTCTGCACCGTTTCCGTTCGCAACATTCGTTGTCTGAGTCGATAGATTTAGACCCGAATTATTCGCCGGCTTCTTCGTCGGAGGGTGTGTGTGGGTGTGGGTGTTGATCTTTAACGGGGCGAGCGGTCGTTCGAGCTCGAAATCGGTGTTCGGAAGGTTCCTCCATGTACTATAGTCTTTCGCATCGGACGGGATTGAGAAATTGAGATCTCGACCCGTCAGTTCCACCCATTTCTTCTGATCTTCATCGTCGAGTCCCATTAAATCGGGCGACGGAACTAATTCGATCCCGTGAAGGCACTGCGGATTCGACAGCCCCCTGTACTGCTTACGCTGCATTTTGTGCGATCGAACAAACCCTTTCTCGACGCTGAACGGAAAAGGACGCTCGCCCTGCCGGGAATGTCCATTCATGTAACTTCTCAACTGCATTTTCCCCAGCGAATTCTCCGGCCTCTCCTTAAAAATCCACATATATATATTCTCCATGTCGTGCTGCACGATGAAGGCGTCAAGCTGAAGATCATTCTTGTCGAAACCCGATATCCCATTACTGTCATGAACCACGCTACATTTCGATTTTTCCTTCAAAACCGGCTTGAAGTAGAACGTGAAAAAGAACCAAGCACCCCACACACTGTCCAATCTCTTGGCGCATTTCCGACCTATTTTAGGCAGATCGAGGAATTTATCCGAATCGTTAACTTGGTGTCCTCCAAGTCCAACATCAAGAATATCGAATGCATCGTGAAACGGTGGGGGAGGGCTTCTCTCTACAGACAACGGGAGATTAATGTCCGGCGGCCTCGAAAGAATGATCTGCCTGTTCATTTCCCGGTCGGGATCCTCGTGCCCCGCCGGAGCAATCGAATCCATCGACAAGAACGTTGATGGATGATAATTCTCAATAGTTAAGCTTGTCAACAGATCTTCCCCCATTTCCTAGGGTTCTAAAGTTCTCTATCAATTTCGTTTTAGATTCTAACAATCAGCAATTCCACCGTGTAAATTGAAATTACTGAAGAACCCTAAATCAAATTGGGGGCGACGCCTCTACAGAAGCCCTAAAATCAGGAACCCTAATTCTACCACAGCAGCAGCTCTCATCCTCATCGACACAGACAATCAACTAACTATTCAGCTCGAGATTAATTAGGGTTAGCAATAGCAATAAATTTCACAATCCGAACAAGGTGCAATCAATCAGAAGAGCAAATCTAGAACATAAAACCAGGCGAGATACCAATCTCTGCAGTCGATCAAAGGCTCCTCAAAGAAATGAAGAATTTATAAATAGAACGCGGAAAAAGCGCCAATAAACACAGGGATTTCGAGCTCGAAAATTACCTTACGGTGGAAATCCACCCAACGAAGAAGAAGATCTTGATGGGACAATGCTCCGTCTGTGGGCAATGTGATGGATGACGAACTGATGATATTTACTTACCAAAATGGTCAAATTTTGCGGTTCGGGAAAATGGAGAATTCTCAATTAAGTCCTCATAATTTTGATTTTTATTATTCACTCATCCAAGTTTCATATAGTTTTCAATTAAGTCCTCAGAGTTGCATTACATTTTTAAAATAGTTATGAATAATACTTTTTTTTTTTTTTTTTGCAATTACACTGTATTTGTTTGTCCAAAAAATTTTCACTTAGACTGTTCCTAATATATACAATATAATATATGTTGGTTGGCTTTCATACAAATAAATAGATAATGTGTATTTCTGTTAATTGACGGTTAACTAACATGGTATTAGAACCAAACTGAAATGTTCAGTATTCGTATAATACATCGGAATTGGGCCGGTGCTAAGCCAATTCTCATGGATGAATCTGTGTCATGTTATTCAATATTGAATAGACTACTCATGTCAATAATATACATATTCTTTTTGAAAGCTCTATTGAAAGAACTCTAAAGTAAAGCGTACTTGCCCTAAAGTAATTTGAGGATAGATGATCCCGGAAGTCTGTCAAGGTGCACATAAGTGAGGACAAAAGCGCGTTGAAATGACTCGTATTGATTTGTGAAGCCAAACTATAATCCCGACACCTCTAACTTTGCGTAACTTGCGGACTGGAGTGTCACTGTTCGAGTCCCACATATATATTAATCAAATAATAACGACATAATTTGATTATAAAAATCTAATATAACTAAAATATCTCAACAATATACATTTTATTCTCTCAAAACACAATTTCTTATGCTTCAAATTTTTTTTTTTTTTATTTTTTTATTTTTTAAAGACACTAACCAAACACACCCACGATTATGAATTATTATTATTTTGTTATTTTTAATTGGTCAAACATATAGTATTAATTGTTTTAAAAAATATGAACCATTATAATTACTCTCAAATTTACACTTATTTGAATCATTATAAAGACACTAGCTTACACATCAATAAAGAGTCTTTACATACTAATTATGTGTTTGTTTGGGGCTTTGGATTTTGAGTTGGGATTTAAATAGTAAAAATTTTGAATTTGAATAGTTGTATGATGTGATATAAATAGGTATTAACGTGATATTTTGAATGTAAAATTGATTTTTAATATAATATAAAAAATAAAAAATAAGTGTTTGATTTGATATTTTTAAGAGAAAAAAATAGAATGAACAGTGGATTGGAAATCCAATTCCCAAAACAAACACACCCAGTGTCATCCAATACTATTAAAAAACAATATAATTAACTCCACAATAAATAAATATACTTTTAAAGTGTATGAATTTTCAAATAATTGTTTATAACACATATCCCACTTGAAAAATTTGCATTATTTTCTTTGTGATTTAAGAAATGTGCATTGCTATTTGAATAGTTTGTATTATTTTTCTTTTATAGTCTTAGAAAGATGCAATCTTTCCTTATTTTTGTGTTTATATATCAATTTGAATATAAACGAATCAAAACAAATTTTAAACTTAAAACTTTGTATTTAATGAAAAATAAAAGCGAAACACAAACAACAAGAACAATACAGAGGATTAGCCCCTATCACATCCTTATTGTTCAAAATGGATTGTAGAGATTACCTCGACTACGGCTCGGCAAAGAACAACCACAAATAGTCTAAAACTCACAAAATAGATCGATTCCTATCTGAATCAAATGAAATTTGTTGTCCACCAAGAATACACCGTAGAACTCCGTGAATCTCTCATCTAACACACTAAAAGAACTATCATACACAATCTATGGAAAAAAATTCACATTAAACCCTCAATCAACACTAAGTGAGAGGAAAAAGATGAGCAAAGATAAAGAATATACAATCGCAATGGAATGTTCTGGAACCGAAAAATAAAAAAGAGGGGCGGCGCATATAGCATTATATACACATGGACGGCTCTAGTCACGAGCAAGAAAAATGCCCGCCCAGGGCCCAATATAAATAGGGGGTCTGTTATATATTTATGTTATATATGTATAATTTTTATGTATATAACTTATTTGATATATGTAAATATTATTCTATTCGTCCCGGCTACGGTGTCATTTTTATTGTAGACATGAAAATTTAAGAGGAATATAATTAGTAAATAATTAAGAATGTATTAGTGAAAATAATTATCGTATAATAAAAATATTTTTATATTAAGATTAAGATAACTAATTAGTTTAATTAAATTTAAAAATTATAAATTAAAATTTAAAATAGATTAAAGTGTATATTTTTATTTTTATTTTTTAAAAAAGTGACACTAAGTGAGATAAAGGGAATAAAAAATATATATAATTTTGTGGTACAAAAGTGGATCTTTAATAATGAAGTTTTGAGTTCAAACCCCCGGTGCTTCGAAAATATTTAATTTTCATCTAAGAAAATGATTTTATATAGTTATTTATTTTTAGTATAGATAAAAAATATTATTTATATATTAAATATTTATAATAAAATAAAATAAAAAATTCATATCTAGAAAACAAGCAACTTCATGTTAGATTTTTTGAACACATTTATGAATTGTTTGATTAAGATATTTTTCCCTAATTTTTTTTTTTACAAGTTAACGTTTATTTTTAAAAATATTATATTTAATATATATATTTAAAATATTACATTGAATCAATTACTTTAATTTTAAAATATTAAAAATCATATTTATTTTATTATATATAACACGGACATATTGAAAAAAAACAAGGTTATGTAAATAAAAAATATGTACAATAGTAATTAATTCCACGTAGATGTGTTTGAAAACTTCGGACAAAACATACGCGTGTACTTAGACAACAACAGCTTCCATTATTTACATTTCCGCCTTTATGTTTTATACATATTAAAAATAAAATAAAAAATCTAAACTTTAAAATAAATATATATATTTTTAATAAATTTAAATAGTTTATAAGTTCCAATTTATTTGCCAATTTTTATTATGATATGGCCTTTTAGGTGGGATAATGTTTTATAGCTATTTGATCATTTTGTCCTTTTTTTTTTTAATTTTATAAATTGTATTGGTACGAATGAAATATATATATATATAAAATTTTAAAAAGTACAAATATCTTTAGAAAATAAAATAATAAATAATAACAAATAAATTGAGACATAATAATATAATATATTTGAATGTCTTTTTTATTTTATTTTATTGTAACATGCATACTCTGAAGACTAATAAAAAGACAAAGGGTAACCATTTAAATAAAATAAAAAAAAATTAATTAATTAATTAATAATTCAATACAAAATATTATTTTTATAATACAAACATATTTTTTATATCTAATATTAAAAATAAATTCATCCAAAAATGAACTAACACTTACTTTATATTTATTAAAAAAGACAATTGATTGGTGTGTTTGTTTTGTGAAATGGTTTAATGAATTTTTGTTTTTTTACGCGAGTATAAGAAATTGCTTAAGTAATACCAAAAAATAAATATATACTCTTTACATCTCATATTTATCTATTCATTTATTTTTTGCACGGACTTTTAGAAATATTAGTATTATATTGAGATGTAGTAGAAATAAAATTAAAAAGATTAAATTAATCTTATTAGTATTGTACGATATAAATGTAATGATATTGTGTAATATATTGTAAATTGGAATGATATTTGTAATGTTGGGCAATTACTAAAAAAAAATAAATAGATTGTTAAGAGACAGATCAAAATAAAAAAATAAATAAATTATTAATGAACGGAACGATTATAATATACTATTAATTTTGAAGGAAAAATATGTGTATGTATATTTTTTTCTATAATTTTTTTGAAAAAAGAACACACTCGATATGTTCGTACAATAAAATTGATAAAAATAAATATATTTTAGAAAGGATTGAAGGAGAGAGAAATAACAGTACTCCATTATTGTTGTTGGTGTGTGTTTAAGTGGATTTGGATTCCATAAAATTTGATTTGAATTTTTATTTAAATAATATTTTATAAAAGTATAGAATTTATTTGTCTATTTTTTTTTTTTCCTAATGCTCAATATATAAATTTTTATTTTTTCACAAAAGTTAATATTTAATATAAAATTTTATGTTATATTATTGACACTACTCTTTTTATACATATATATATATATTTTTTGAAAAATACAAAGTTCATATAATAAAATTTTGAATTTTTTTTTTACTATTATAATTTTATCTTTTTCTATAAGATATTATTTACATCGAATTTTCAAATACAAACCAAAAGAGTCCTTCATAATATTTTAAAATTGTAGCTAAAATATCTAAGCGACTGCTTCCATCTCACCAGGTCAGCTGTCCTCTCCCTCACCCAAAACCACACACACATACATATTATATTATATATATATATATATATAAATACTCATAACATTAAATAATAATTCAACACAACTTGTTAAAGTGTCATTGCTTTTGTTTACTAGAAAAATTCAACTTGATTATTTGTTACTCTTCTTTTTAAAATTTAACACTTCTTTAGAGTCAATTGGATCCATAAAAATAAATAAATAAACAATTTTACTGCCCAAATTCAACTCACGCAATATTCTCTTCATATCATTATTTAAATAATTTAATTTTAATATAAATAGGTGTTGATGTAATATTCTGAATATACAATTAATTTTTAGTATAATATAAAAAATAAAAAATAGAGATTTAATTTAATATTTTTGAAAAAAAAAAGAGATAGGTCAGTGTATTTAAAATCCAGTCCCAAGCAAAGTTTGAATAATCATCTTCAACACTCAACCGTATTTATATAGAGACAGATAGATACATACAAATATGTAAATGTAAAGGAGCAGCGGTGACCTGACCTTCTGCCACCACTTCCACGGCGGCGCACGGCGGCCAGAGCATTCGTATAAGACAGCAATGGGTCAGGGGCTAAGCTGCAGAGCAAGTGACGAGCACGAGCTACTTGCTGCAATCCACCATGGCGATTTGGAAACCGTTGAGGAATTTCTACAAACAGATTCAAGTTCAACCATTAATCTCCATCGCTCCGCAGCCTATGATCGCAACTCTTTTCTGCATATCGCCGCTGCTAATGGCAAAATCGAGGTGAGAATTCGTTCATTTGTTGCTTTTCCATTCATCATCTTCTTCGTCTTCATAGTTCACTCTGTTTTTGCTTTTTCCCCTTCGAAACCCTAATGCTTCGTATTTTGTGAATTTTAGATCCTTTCGTTGCTCCTCGACAAATCAATCAAGCCTGATTCATTGAATCGACACAAGCAGGTCACGATTGATGAATGTAATTGGATTTTGATTTGGATTTTTGATGGCTTGTTGAGGTATTTGACGACTGATTTGTGCAGACGCCATTGATGTTGGCTGCTACGAACGGGAAGCTCTCCTGCGTTGAAAAGCTGATTGAAGCTGGAGCCAATGTATGTATGCTTTAATTTCCATTCAATTCATAGAGCAGTTCAAACAATTTAGATGAAGCAAATCATATAATTCTAGCGATTCCAATTAACCTGAAAATTTTGGGAGCAGATTCTGATGTTTGATTCAGTAAATGGAAGAACGTGCTTGCACTACGCCGCCTACAACGGCCACTCCGATTGTCTTCAGGTCATTCTATCGGCGGCAAGAGATTCTCCGGTTGCCAATTCTTGGTAGGCTATGCTTATACGCTTTTGTAGCTTAATTCATATTATCTCCATCATTCAAATATATTCTAATTTTTTTTTATTTTTTTGTCATACAAAATTATTTTTGTTTTTAGTAACAAAATCCTACTTTTTTCTACTTTTTCTTTACCCAAAAAAAATAAAAGTTTTTATCTTTACATAATTTTTTTTTTAATTTGTGTCGGTCAAATGAGCATACAGTTAGATCACGGAGGGAGTAATATATAAATAAATAAACGATTCATACCCTTTAAAGAAGAGCTTTTATGTGAAACGGTTATTTAACACAGTATTAGAGTCGGGACGTCCCAACATTGTTTACGTGCAAGATTCGTATGTGACGTAAATTGTACATGAGGTAAATGTAATGTTTGACTCTATAATAATTTCTCTTTCTCAATTTAAAGTAATATTTTTATCATTTCGTTTATCCCACTTCAAAGGATTTATTTTCTATTTTTTTAAAAAAAAAAATCATAAATTAATACAAAAATATTTTTAGTTAAATTACAAACATACCAATATATATACAATTATTTTATACATAAAAAAAGTTGGCAAAAATATAAAAAATTCTTACATACTTTTAGTAAAATGCTATTATTTCTTAATCTGCGCTGCAAAATTACAAATGACCCTTTGATTGGGACAGGAGGGAGTATATAAATAAATATATTATACATATCTCTTAAGTTTTAAATTTTTAGGTGAGAATTTATCGCTTTGATGGAACATAAATATGTATCGATTGTTCCGTATCATTGCATTGTTCTATTCGAATTTTTCAAGAGATTTGGCAAATTGAAGTTCATTTTGAGATAAAATTTGCAGGGGATTTTCTCGGTTTGTGAACGTTAGAGACGGCAAAGGGGCGACGCCTCTGCACTTGGCTGCACGGAGGAGTCGCCCCGAATGCGTTAATGTGCTATTGAACAATGGAGCTCTCGTTTGCGCCACAACCGGTAGATACGGGTAATCTTCTGACCTATGATTCATATGTTATTCGATTTTGTCTTGTTCGATTTCTTATTAGATCTTTTCGATACCATCGACAGGTTTCCGGGAAGCACTCCTCTTCATTTGGCTGCAAGGAGCGGTTCTATCGACTGTGTTAGGGCTTTGCTCGCTTGGGGCGCCGATCGACTTCAGATGGACAATGCAGGGTACGTTTTTTCTTCGATGTCCGAAGTAATAAATGACAATTGAGGTTGAATCAACGGAAATTCTTGCTCATTGAGCTATAACGTCGCGTAGAAATTTGTGTTGATTTAATAGCGTTGAGTAATTTTGTGATATTCGGGTAATTTGATTTAGGCGAATACCGTATATGGTTGCTTTGAAGCATCACCATAGAGAATGCGCGGCTCTATTGAATCCATCGTCCGCGGAGCCTCTCATTTGGCCATCGCCTCTCAAGTTTATTAGTGAACTTAATCATGATGCGAGAGCGCTCCTCGAGTGCGCTCTCATGGAGGCGAATAAGGAACGGGAAAAGGAGAAGGTGATCGCGAAGGGAACCGTTCATCCGTTGCCATCTTCGGTAGAATACGGGATCGACGACAATGCATCCGAGGTTAGTGTTTTCTCGACATCGAAATATGTTCGTTCATAAGAAAATAGTTACAGTGCTGACCGAGACAAATCAGCATAATGTTGATTTTCCATAGTCATTGTATGGTTTCGATTAACACAGTAAAGATACGTTGTGTTAATTGAAATAATATGATGAAAGTTCGTATTTATGATATACGGACATATTTACTGGGCTGGAATCAATTATAGTATCTGGGGTATAGATAGTTCTACTCCATCCGTCCCATAAAAAGGATGTCAGTTTTTTAATTTTTGTCAGTCTCAAAATAAATTTAATATTGTACTATCTACTAACATAATAAATATTTTACAATTTACGATATATTACACAAATGTCATTAATTTTATACTTCGTTTGTCCTAATTCAAAGTACCATTTTTACCATTTTCATGTGTCCCATTTTAAAATATTTCTTTCATAGAAAAATAATCATACACTGATACCAAGATACCCTTAATTTTTACTTAAATTACCAACATAATATTACACGTACAATTACTTTATACATAAAATCAAACGGCAAAAATGTTAAAATCTCTTACACACTTTTACTGACTAATACAATATTATTATTTCTTAATATGGAGGGAATATTATTATTTTCTGTTTTTTTTTTTACTACAAACCAATAAAATACTAATATTAAAAAATCTACGTGCGAACGAAAAGCAAATGATATATTCTTTTCACGGGATGAAAGTAGTATTAGTTTTATTTGCTGCATTTGTATCATATTAGCGTAACTTGTATGTTGTCTTCAATTCACCGATGCGTTGTCAGCAATTGTAATTCCCGTCTCTTGTATAATATCATTTTGAATAGCGCGACAATATTTTCAATCATTTCGATTTAACACTTTACAACGGTCTTTTACACAGGCGAGCGACGCCGATCTATGCGGCATATGCTTCGACCAAACATGCGCCATCCAAGTCGAGGAATGCGGCCACCAAATGTGCGCGCAATGCACGCTCGTCTTGTGCTGCCACAACAAGCCCGACCCAACCACCGCCTCCCCGTCCGTACCCGTCTGCCCTTTCTGCAGGAGCAACATCGTGAAACTGGTCGTTGTCGCGAAGGCGAAACCCGAGACCGATAAAGAACAAGAACCCGGTTTTTCAAAGCCTCGGAAATCTTGGCGAGGCAGGAATTCGGGCGAGGGAAGCAGCAGCTTCAGAGGTTTATCGGCGATAGGTTCGTTCGGCAGAATGGGCCGCGGCTCGGGCAGAATTGTGGCCGAGAACGAATGGCTCGACAAGGTACAACGTGTGGCTTGAGATTTTGTGGCTGGAATATGAAGAGGCCATTGTTTTCGTTGCATTGATCTTTGGTTGTGTGTACATTGTATTGATATTGTGTATGTATACATACTTTGATTGGTGTGGATTTGGATAATAAGCAAATGGATACTTGCAGGTTTGTGTGGATTTGTTGTTCTTGATTAGATTGGTTTGTATGAATTCCTTTTTTTTATTATTATTATTTTAATTGCAAAAAAAATCAAATTAAATATTCTCTTTTTTCCAAAACTATAATTTTGGCTGTGTTGGGTAAAAAGTATGGAAAAAAGACCTTGTGAGTGTACTAATTTTTTAGTGGCAATTGTAATAATAATGTAAAAGTAAGGTACTTTTGTAATGATACGATTATTTATGAAAATAAGATTATTGCTTTGGGACGGACAAAAATAGTAAATAGGACTATTGTTTTGAGACGGACAAAAATAGTAAATAGGACTATTGTATTGGAACGGAGAGAGTATTGTGTTTCTTTTTATTAGTTTTGAAAGAAATTTGGTTTAAATTTTGTATTAAAATAGTGTTCGATGAAATCTTTGTAAGACAACAAAATAAAATGTTTTTTTTTTTCAAACAATACAGAAACCAAATAATAGAAAACTTGATGGTTTGGAGCAAAGAAGCACACTTGATTATCGGTGGGCTTGGATTTTTTCAGGACTCTTGAGCAATAAATAAATTATAAATCATATAAATATACAATTAAATTGTACTTTAAAAAAAGAAAAAATTTGATTAAAATTAAAATTTAAATTTAAATTTTAGAATTAGATTTGAATAACCGTAGAGAATAAAAAATATATAAACAATATTTGAAATATAGTTTCAAAATTTCATAGATATAAAAAATATCCAATAATAATTTGACAAAAATTAAAAAATATGAATCCCTCTTATACTTGGAGATCCGCAACCATTTTTATATTGCACAAAAACTCACTCATCACTACTTTTTAATTTAAAATAAAAAGTTATCACAAGAATAAATAAACGTTTAATCAAAATTTAATTTCACTATTAATATAATATCACTTTCCCTTGAATTTAATTTCCCTATCTTTCCTACTCTGACATTCAATCTGAGCCGTTGATTACTAGAAACCCTATAGATGATGATGCAGTAAAAAAAAATCAAAGTCGATCCGGGAATAACTTATTGATGTGCGATTGCTTGTTCTCCACGTAAGGTGGGACAAAACAATCATACAAAATGCAATCAAGAGATACAGCGATGCGCTGTCGTAACAGAAGTAGAAGAAAATCGAACAAGTCAATCCAACACAACACTTGGCAGGATAAGATTCTAAATCTAAATCTAATCAAGTTATGGAATTACAAGATAGATGAATAGATAATATACTTGTTCTTTTACTTACACGTAGCTGCGCACCAAACGGTCATAACTGTCAATAAACAATCGATACCAGCACTATATATATATATATATATATTTTTATATACACAGGTAGCAGCCACAGTATTGAATTTGAAAAGCACATCGTATGCTATTTAACAGTACACAGTATTATTGTAAACAACACATTGTATTATTATTATAATACAAATACAACACATATATACTCTTATATAGCATACATGTAATTACAAACAAACAACACATGTCTTTATTACACACGTGTTGTATATAATAAAAATACATGACTCAATAAAACTAACCCCCAATGCGTTCAAATTGCGAATAAATTTTCAAATCTCAATTTCTAAATCCATTTTAAAAGTTTATTTTTATTATTTTTCAAGTTAAATATAAGAAAAATAAATATATTTGTAATTTTAGAAGTTTAGTATATTTAGGAGTTAGACGCAGAGTTTATGAAATCATAAGGAAATTTGACGCAATTTTAAAAGTACAAAAAATTTGGCGCAATTCCATAAAACCACAAGTGAATTTTATGCAATTTAGCATTATATCCACATCAACTACTCACAAATTTTAAACATACAAATTTCTAAAAACTTCATTCAAAGAAACGTCACATCTTATTATATATCAAACATTTTCCTATTCCAAAAATTTTTCAATACTCGAAAACTTCCATCACAATTAGGAAGGGATAAATTTACCGAACATACCGAAATACCGATTTATTATGCCGTATCGTGTTAAAAATACTAAAAATTTTGATACGGTACGATATCGGTATAAATTTTCGAAAAATTCAATATTTCGGTATGATACTGTACCGATATTATTTTTATTAAATAATTTAATTATTAATATAAATAATAATTATTAATATTTTTTTAAATTATAACAAAAAAATACGTAAACTATTGAAAATTTATTGGTTTTTTCATAATATATATACTAGTATCTACCAAAATCAAAATTTTCGATATAAACGGTATATACCAGTATCGTATAAAAATTGAAATTTTTGGTATAAACGGTATATATCGGTACCGTACTGAAAATTTCGGTATACCAAAATTCGTTATATTGAAACTTTCGGTACGATACCGGTATGTATTTTAGTCATACCGAAAAGTTCGGTACGTTATCAGTATCGACCAATATTTTTGGTACGGTACGAAATGCTATCTCTTATCAAAACAGAGCCTAGTTTATTCTTTCAGAAAATCATTGCAAGAAATTAAAAGAGTGGGCAGCCCCAGATGCCTGAATTATCCAGAAACTAGAGCCGAACACGATAAAAATGACCTAGTAAGCTTTTTCACTAGCCTTCGGCGATCAAGAAAGCAAAGATCACAGAATCCTAATCAGGCGTACTCGTGAGATTGATTATTCGCTGCGAGGCCTAGCCTAGTTATTAAGTTAAACACACTACCCTGTGTAATTGTCTTAATCTAAAATTCAAGACCTGTCCAAGAATTTCTCAAGTTTAAATAATTAAATCACATCTGATAATCTGATTCAATTTCATAATTAAAAGGCACCAATTGAAAATTCCCAATGTCAATATTTTACTCAAAGCAACAAAGTAAAAGAATATTCAAAACTTCAATATGGTCTTGAATCCCCAATCTAGCATTAGCATTGAATCCAGGAATAAACTAGAGTGTTCTAAATGAAACCTCTCACAATTAATTCAAGAGATGTTACGGACTCTACTGTTTGGTGTCGGCTTTCTTTTTCTGCCAAAGCCTATCGAGTGCACTGTCAGCATCACCCTGCAACATAAAATCGAAAATCCCATAAAAAGCCACTCCACTAGAAGTCACAGTGAGAAAGTTGAGCAACAAAATCAAGATCTAGGTAGTCTCAAACACAGCAAATAAAATGATACTTTATCAATAGATCCAATAAATGAATCCCCTGCTGTGAACTAAACTACTATATGATAAAATTTAAATTCCAAGAGTTTATGTCTAGCCACAGGGCCTTTATGTTATTAACTAAAAATAACTCTTTCTTGGTCTGAACTCTGTACAAACAACTCTTTTCAGTTGTAGAAACTGCTTGATCAAAATAATCGTATATTGTCCAGGCATGAACTCCCTAGTATATGAAAATCAATTTAGAAGCATAATTTGAAATTATAAAAACATAAAAATAAAAAATAAAAATGATAATGCCTTAGATATCGGTGAGAAATATAACCACAAAGTAACATTACCTGCGCACGAATAAATCCACAAAGAGCAAAGGTGGAGAATTGGCCAGTGTATCGGCCAGTCTCGTCCAAATGCCCAACATTGATCTGGACAGAAGCATGATCCTTGGAGGTGATCAGCCTATTTGTGGCCGAGCTGCAACAATGCACACATAAGAGACAATCAGGTATGAGCTCATTGTAAGAATTGAAAATGGTTTTCTGAAATGTCTGATGCCATGTTCATCATATGGATTAACCAAATCACAGGTCGCATTACAAACAAATATAATACACATACCACTTCCTGGGGATATAGAGATCCATGTTTTGTCCCTCCTCATTCTGCATCTTTGCCGACTCCTTTCTCTTTCAGAAATTCAGAGTTAAAACACCTGATTCAATAACATATTTGCTGTCAAATTCACAGTACTGAAATCCAATTAATAAGGTAAATGTAGTTATTCAAGAATTCCATAAGAAAATGTTTCAAACAACCTCTTCGCAACATTCAACACTGTACAAAACACCAAATACAACCAATATTTTCAATTGCAAAAAGTTCAAACGCAAAACAAAACCAAATAACAAGTAAACACACCCGACAGCAAGGACAAACCGGACATAAATCAACAACCTTTAAACGAAAAGGCTGGGCCGCATTAACACTCAACCAAATATTCCCAAAACAAACGATTCATCGATAATGTTATACTCCGTTCGCTAGACTTATCCAAGAATTACTTAATTAATTCTCAAAACTATCAGCGGATCCACAAATAAAACACGAAGATGTGGTCCAAATTCAGTTCATCGCTAATCTCAGGAAGTACCTTCTGCGCACAGCCACACAATGCGCAACTCCATACAAAGGAATCATTACAAACTAGAATAAAATTAACGCAACCAACTCTCAGGGGAAAAGCAAGAGAACCAAAACAAACAAAAAACGCCATATTTGATCATCCAACAAGAGAAGATATTCGTAATCGATGCAGAGAGATGCGTACCGGGAGGGAGATGGAGATTACTGCTGCAGAGGACTTGCGGCGGCTTCGGCTTCAGAGTTTATACCAACTCCTAAACCCTAGAAATAAATAAAATAAAATCGCCAATTGTTTACGAAAATAAAATAAAATAAAATATAAATTGAAAATGTTTTGGGCCGACCTTATTATTACCATCAATCCACATACATCTGAAAGGCCTTGTATAGAAGTAAAATGAACTTTTTTCTAATAATAAAATGACCTTAGAATTATAGATTGCCTTCAAATTCTTTTTTAATTTTTTTCCTTATTATTATAATGTTTATTTTTATCTTTTATAAAAAAAAATAAAAATGAAAAGTACTAAGAATACACATGAATGTATTATTCCACCAATACTTTAATGGTTCAATACTCGTGGATTTGCTTTAGTTATAATTTAAAATTGATTTGAAATAAATATTAAATTTAATTTTTTTATAATAATATTTTAATGTGATATTTTGCGATATAAACTAATATATTTGTATTGAGAAAAAATAAATAATATTGATTTTGGCCCATACTATGGGTCCAATGAAATTTAACCTGGCCCATATAAGGGCCCAAATGTCTTTGCCGTTAAAACTCCAATTTCGACCCAACAAACAGATATACAAAATGAAAATAATATTATTTTTAAAAAATAAAATAAAATAATCTGAAATCTAATCCTTCCTCAACCTTCAAACCACAGAGAACACAAACAAACAAATTGAGAATTTCTTTGGAAGGGAACCCCTTCCCTTCTCTTTCGCCCATTCCGAGCAATTTCCCGGCGGTTCCTTCTCCTCCGGGGGTTCTGGCCGACTATTCTTGCAGAGGTTTAGGGATTTGTAGTTGATGGTTATGGCAGTAAGAGCTTCCATGGGAGGGATTAGCATGGCTTCCTCGACCGGCCCCCCCTCAGCTCCCACGTGCAATAGAGGGGCCATTTCTGTGCAATCACTGCCTTTCAGACAAGCTTTCTTTGGCAATGGAGGTAAGTAATTCTACGCCTTGTTGGTCAATGTGCTGTGCTTTTACTGTTACTGAGCTGAAATACCGAATTGAGTTGTAGATGTAACCCTTTCCATCTATCGCCTCTCAGAACGGTTCGAAATGGTAGTTTTAGGGTTGTTTCTGCTTTTAATTTTTTGTTTATAGATTTTCTCTTTTTAAATTGGAGTTGATTGTAACGTGATAGCTTCGTTTTTACATGGTGTGCTCTGTGGAAGAGCTTCTAATTGATATGTGAAGAAAGGTTTTCTGGCCTGGTGTAAACTGCACAGATAGAAAGTATGATATGATCGGATATTACTGTGGATTGTTTACAAATTTCAATTCTTTATTGTCTAGGTGAAAGAGCAGATTTTTCGAATTTCTGATGTTAATTCTTTTACCGATTGCCTTGAATCCTTGATAGTGGGTCGAAAAGTTCGATATTGGCTTATTTTGCTTCTTTTCAGTTATAAATTGTTGATGTTGTTCTGTATGCTGTGACACTTTCTGCAAAACTATATGATTGGTTTTACATAATACTCCCTCTCTCCACAAAAAAGTATCTCGTTTTATCATTTTAGTTTGTCCTCTAAAAGTGTGTTCATACCTATTAAGCAATAAAGTTCAATTGTTCTTTCATCTATTTACACAATTGTGGCTCATGTACTAACATATATCTTACACTCAACCTATTTTAATCCGAAAATTATATTATTGACTCTATAAGGTTGTGTTCTTTTGTGGGTTTTAACACATTTTAACTATTCAGATTATTTTTTCCCCTAAAAAATATCACATCAAACAATTACTTTTCTTATATTATATTACAAATTTATTTTACATTCAAAATATCACATCAACCTCTATTTATATCACGTCACACAACTATTCAAATTCAATTTCTTACTATTAAAAAATCCAAACCCAAAACCTAAAACCCACAAACAAACACACCCTAAAAGTTTCAATTTTACCACTAAAAAGATTAAAAAACAACATTAAAATACTATTTTTCTTAATCTCTGTATTTAAAAATTTTGAGCACACTTTTCGTAGCCAAACTGGGTAATACCTTTAGCATTCAGTTGATGGTAATGAGTTTAGAGTTTACATATATGGAGTATATTTTTTAGTTTAGAGCCTATATATGTGCAATGATGTTATGCTATTTTTACTTTTACTTAGTTATTGAATTATTATTTTTTTTTCAGCTATAATTGTGTTAAATACAAATTCTTCTTCCTGTATTTATGTTAAGAGTGTCAATTTTCTGCAGTGGGTGCCCCAAAATATGCTGGATTACAACTTTCTTTTTCTATTCGATCAAGATGTATTGGTTGCAGAAGGAATGCTCTTGGTGCTCAAATGAATCTGTTTGATAGGTTTGCCAGGGTTGTCAAGGTATTTATGGCATTCTTAGGATTCTTTTGCAAGCTATTAGCCTTGTTGATTAACTAACTAAACATGATTTAATTGGTTTTTTTCTCTATTTTTAAGTTTAGTCATATGCGAACGCGATCATAAGCACGTTTGAGGACCCAGAGAAAATATTGGAGCAAACTGTTCTCGAAATGAATGATGATCTGATCAAGATGCGTCAAGCCACGGCACAAGTATGTTTATATTGTGATATCTTCTTTTTACATATTGTACCCTTCCTGTAACTTAATGGCACGTTCAAACTTATATTTTACACATTATTGATCTTTATATATATATATATATATATTATATTTCAGTTTTTACAAACTTAAATGTATAGATTTCCGGTTGCCATGTGAATGAAAAATATATATATCTATTATTTTTAGAATAAAAGGGATCTGCTCAGTTCAACCAATCCTTTGGAATTAAAAGCTCATTATTGATTGATGACATCAAGATACTATCAGCGTAAATGTATTTGGGTTCTTAATCCGTACTTGAGACTTGCACATCAAAGATGGATAAAAAACAGAGCATGTTGTAGTGTACATAGTCTATGGATGATCGCATTTCTAGGCAGGAAAATGATACTTTATACGGGAGCTTAAATATGATCTTCCTAAATTTTTGGTTTGTGATGAAGCAATAAGCTTGTCATAAAATGGTTTCTCTGTGCTGTACATTGATTTAGGAGAACTTTGATATTGTGTGGATTGCTTTGGAAAGTGACTGGTGAGAGAATTTAGCTGAAGCTTGATCAAGGGCTAAGATGAATGATTGATATGGATTGCTACGAATAAGAAAATGTTAGAGTGCATGGCTGCATGATATAATCTATTTCTCTTCGTAGGTATTGGCTTCGCAGAAGCAGTTAGAAAACAAATACAAAGCTTCACAACAGGCTTCTGAAGATTGGTGAGTAACATCAAACCTGTTATTAACTCAACTTAACTTTGTCGTGGCTGTCACTTAAGCTTCACTTTAAATGCAGGTATCGCAGAGCACAGCTCGCTCTTGGGAAGGGTGATGAGGACCTTGCTCGTGAGGCTCTCAAGCGCAGGAAATCTTATGCTGTAAGGAAATTTATCTTTAAATGGAATTATATTTATGCTTTATATATAATGAATTCAGTTACACGTAAAATCAGGAAGTTTTCCGATTGATGCATTGCACATAATATCTAATTGGTAAATGGATGTCAATTTTAATACAAAAGTCTAACAAGCTAATTTTGTAAGCTTGGAAATTTTTTACTTAAAAAGACTTTTACCTAGCTCTTTATATTTACATGTCATTATTTTATATAAATGCCTTAATACTACTGTAGTGTTGGTCTATTTATGAGGCTATCACTCACATACTATTAATATGTCTTGGCTTTCTATTCAATAAAATGCGAATTTTTCATTTAAAATTCTATAAGCTGCTCATTGTAAGAAGTTAAGTGGGATTTTTTCCCCCTTGATTTTTGACACTCAAACTTTATGCAGGACAATGCAAATGCTTTGAAGGCTCAGCTCGAGCAGCAAAAAAGTGTTGTTGATAATCTTGTATCCAACACACGGGTGGGTTCCAATACTAGTCCCATTTTGTTTTGGAATTTAAATAGTGTCTTTTGAAATTGTCTTACTATCAATGGTACCCATTTAATTTGTTTGTTTTTGTACCTCGCTGGCTTGGCAGTTGTTGGAAAGCAAAATACAAGAAGCCAGATCTAAGAAAGATACTCTTAAAGCACGAGCACAATCTGCAAAGTTTGTTCTTGTATATTTTGTTATTGCCCTTGACGGTGGACAGCTGCTTTTTTGTTGACTATATTTGTCATTTATTTTAGGACTGCCACAAAAGTGAGTGAGATGTTGGGGAATGTAAATACTAGCAGTGCTCTCTCGGCTTTTGAGAAGATGGAAGAAAAAGGTAAGCCGATCTGCTAAGTGTTTTGTTGGAAAATATTAGCTATTGTTCCTGTTTATGATAGTGTCAGTCCCTGTTTAAATTGATGATCCTTTAAGCTATGTCTCGATATGTTGCAACCTCAACCACCTTACCAATCGGCGCATATATTAAAGAATAATAATTATAATAATAATAGAAGAGTTTCGTTATGATAATTTAGGTATTGTTGAATACATAGTTTAGAATACATTCTCTGACCTGACATTCCAATTCCCATATTACTCATCAACTAAAAATAGTTGAACGACAATTATAACTTGAAAGATTAAGACTGGAAAATGTCATATGTGTACACCTAAACGAATTAATGAACATTGAAAGAAGAATGTAATTGAAATTGACATTTTTCACTCCTACTTGGACAGGCTGAAAGTCCTTCATAGACCATGTGTCTGTCCCAACGTAATATGTGGAAATTATAATTGCCTAGCATTCCCTTGGACAGTCTCTTTTCTTGGCTCTCGGCTAACTAAGAAAATTTATTTTCAATTTTCTTGTAGTTGATTTTGGTCTTGCAAAACATAGTTTTGAATAAGATGGTCTTGGGGCTGGGACAATATTAATCAGAACATTGTAGGCTTTGATGGGTTTGTAATTTGGATTGCTTTGGTAGTGAAAGGAGGAATGTGTATATGTTATGGATCGACTAACATCTTCCAAATATGGGTCATCTGAGTGCAATCTATACCGAAGATACAGCCGACTTATCTAGATTAAATATATGTAAAAGGATGCTAGAGGAGGCATTATGAATACGCTGGCATATTGATTTCAGCCATTAATACAGTTACTTTTATTTGTAGCAGAACACATGTGCACTTTTTTAGACAAATAGTAATGAAGCGAATACAAATTCAATTACTTTTGTATATTGATTGAAAGATAATCGCGTGTTGAGGTAATTCATGTATTTTAGGTGTGGGTATATAGGCGATATGTAAGTCTGGATAAATCTGTAAGGGTTTTTGCAAAGCTCGGTATACTGTAGAAATTTTTGCATCTGTGCCTCAGATTCTTTTTTTCCAATACTTGGTTTGGCAATTGCTGGTCGTAGTTTGTTCATGTTGCACCCTTTAGTTTTTCTCGAATGTATTATTTCCATCAGAGTCCTTGTTGTCACTTTTCGAATCATATGATAAGTCATGCAAGACAGGGTACAATGGACCATTGCCTAAATGATTCACCTTTTTTTTCCTTTTCAACAGTTTTGGCAATGGAATCTCAAGCAGATGCTCTTAATCAGCTAAGCAGTGACGAGCTAGAAGGAAAGGTAATATCGCGAGCTTAAATAATGAAATCCCGTCAATCTTCTAGTTTCCCCTTTTTCATTTTCCATTAGCTTAACAATGTATCAATGCATGCCAAGATAATGCTACAAAGGGTTGGATCTTTTCAGAGTAGTGAACCTCCTGCCCGTCTCTCATCTGATTTTGTCATAATCGTCATCAATTCCTAAACTGGTTCTTGTCAATCACTTACTACATGTAGTTTTCCACATGATCGTCAATGCCTTTTGACATATCAATTATAAGCATGTGTAGCGAATCTGTATCCATTTCCTTTGGTGATTAATTTATAGATTATATGAACTACAGGATATAGAACCTTCATCATATAAAACTCAAACGTTTTCGTGCAGTTTGCTTTATTGGAGAGTTCTTCAGTCGACGATGACCTTGCCAGCCTCAAGAAGGAGCTATCTGGAAGCTCCAAGGTATTTTATTCAATTCTCTGATTGATCCTCTCTAAAGTACATAAGCCACGAATATTCCAAATTACAAAAATATAACCGTAAAATTCAGAATTTTGAATGCTAAGCATGAATGAGTTGCTCCTTGTACCTTGTTTGGTTGTATTACACCGAAATAGTTTTTTTATTTTTCCGTATTTTGCTCTTGGTACAACCTAAGATTATACATCCGACATGATTGGACAAGGCTAATTTAGTACAAACTATTTTGTATTGTTCTCGATGGTGGGTAGAAAGGAGAGCTTCCGGAAGGGAGATCAGCAGTATCAACCAGTTCCTCGATGAAGTTTCAAGATCCGGACATCGAGCAGGAACTCAACTTGTTAAGACAGAAGGCCAAGGAGTATTAATACTCGCCCCTTCTTACTTTAGCAGTGATTGATATATCGCACTTGGATTGGATAATGTATTCTTCTGATGTTTTATATTTTTGTCCGAAAAGGTTTCCCTTCCCGCGCTTCATAAACAGGTAAGAATTCTCTATCCCGGTATTGATCATCTGTTAGTTCTGTACATCAGCTTTTATATCTTCAGTTAAATAAAGCTTTTAGGCCTTCGGTGTCTTGTTAAAGTCTCTTTTCGATCTTGGTGTGGATTTGTTTGCTATTCTACAAGTTCCTGATTGTCGATGACTTAGAGTTTTATTTTAAGAAAAAACAAAAAAAAATTGAGTGATTATATGAGGAATGATTTAGCAAAAATGTGATAATATGTCTGAGCAATGTTGCTATTGTTGATTGGGAATGTTTATTTGTCAAGTGTTGTTAGTTTTTTATGTTTAGATTGGTTAGGGTGCTTAGGACTAATCAATAATGTTACTTTTCGTATAGTATATTTCGTCCTTTTCAACTCTAAGTATTTTTTTTTTTTTTAATCATTTTTGTCCGTTACATTCAAAAGTATATATTTTTTATTTTAGAAAAAAATATTTTTTTTATTTATATTATAAATATATCATTGCTCATACAATAAATAAAGTCAAATGATAAAAATGTTAAAATTTCTGACGTATGGCTCCGTGTGGTAACATGCACCGTGGGGGGTCAATTGGGTGCATAAACATTTGTGTTACCTTTTGATAATAGTATTTGTTACAAAATTAAATTAATATATTTATATTTATTATCTTTATAATATTAGTACTTAATAAAATAAGTAGAATCTTTTCATTCAACAAATTTGTTTAATTGTTTATTTAGCACAGCTGTATTTATAGATTATATTTATTTTTTATTTATAATAATAATAATAATAACATGAAAAAAATAAAAACACTACCCCAATCTTTTCCTTTTCTCTTTTAAATAAAAATAAAGAAAAAGAAACGCATTCACCCAAAAAAGGTGAAGCCTAATATTAGCACTAGCTTTTGCATTCAAATTCACACCTTATTGAGAAAAGCATTAAACAAAATCCAAAAGAGAAAGTTCGAATTCTACACTATATAAATATTATCTTCTGCCTTAGGGTTTGTTTGGTTTGGAAATCAAACAAATATATTTACAATAAAAACTCACAAGTTCTTAATAAAAGTATATGATTCCTTTCCATATATTATTAAATTAAAATTCAAATATAAACACAAATAAAACAAATCCTAGATTCTTGCAAAGATCCTACTACTCTTTTTATATAGAACCTTATGGAATTTTGAGAATTTAAAAACATTTAAGAAATAACAAAAAATATACTCTCTCCGTTACAGGAGAGTTGTCTTGTTTTTTATTTTGGTTTGTTTTAAAATAATTGCCCTATTTTCTTATTTAGTAACCGTGGTTCTCATTTTACAACAAAATTATTTTTACTTTTTCACAACTATTCATAATTATTACTCTAACCTACTTTTTAAAATCCTTCAAAAAAGCAGTGATAATTTAGTGTTTTACATTCTACATTGTATCCACTTTCCATTAAATACTATTAAATCCTAGGGCTTTTTAGAGAGAAGAATCGTGATGAACGAGACTGACTACTTTGATTGTGCGATGTGTCTGCTATTAAGTTAGGCATAAATCGTCAATGTTTCCATAGATTTGAAGTCGATTCTGTGTGTTGGTTGCGTTTCCTTTGAGTTCGCTAGTGTGGTTAGGGTTCGGTTGTGTGCGATAGTTGATTTTGTTTGTTATACTTGGATAAATTGAGTCCGAGCTCCTTGTTTTCGTATATATAAAAGATTCTTAAGTTTTTGCAGTGCTTTGTTTGATTATGTTGTAAATATTATGTTTGGATTATGACTTAAGTAACAACAAGTAGTGTCAGAGTTTTAGGTAACTAACCAGATGCTTCTTTCGAAAACTCGAAATCGCAGTTTGTTTTATGATTTTTTCTTAAAGATTTGAAATTGTGGTTTCTGTCTGTTTTTCCAAAACTGAAATTGTGTTGTTTGCTGCTTTCTTGGGCTGTGCAGCGGTTGTTTATATTCGGTGCATGAGTTTTCTACTGAAATTTGAATACAGTCTTTATTTGTATTCTTTACTTAGCCATCTGCTAATTTTTTGTATGTGCAATGGTTGTGTGTTCCTTTACTTAAATTGTCTGCTAATTTTTGTATGTGCAATGGTTGTGTGTTCCTTTACTTAAATTGTCTGCTAATTTTTGTTTGAGCCTTGCCTTTACAACCGAATGTGTCATTGATTATAATATAACATTTAACTTTAAATAATATGAGATCTTTTGAACATATTCAAAAATTAAATCCATTTGAACATAGCTCAAAACAAACAAATCATCATACTTATGTGGAGCTAGACCATTTACAACAAATAATAAGAATAATAGTAATTAGGTAGACTGATATTTTTTAATCTTGTAATTTGATTTCGTTTTTTATTTTAATTTTATAACTAGAGCCTTTCGCAAATAAAATTTTTTTGTACTTTTAGTCTTCACCGCTTAAACATCCGTATCTTCTTACAAACCACATAGATATCTTTGATGCCAAATGCCTGAAGATGCAAAAAAAAAATCTTTTACAAAACTAATTTGCAATAGATTTCGCTATAATGACTAAAATAATAAGGTCATCCGCAACGGGTGCATCTCCTCTTAATGCGCCACATTATCAATTTTTAAATTTATATTAAATTTATTGTTATATTTAAATTTTATAATTTTTTATAATTCATAATATTTTATAATCTACAAAATCATACCAATATTGAATATATTTTATCAATTTAAATTTTAAAATATATAAATACAATTAGTATATAATTCTATTGAACAAATTAATATTAATAAATTTGATTTAATTTATTAAATAAAATATAATTATAATTATAATGTAATATTTTTTTTCAAAAAATTTAATTATTATTTTTATATTTTATTTTTTAATTAAGCAATAATAATTATAACAATAAAAATACAAATTTGATATTAAATTAAAATTTAAAAATAAATTAAAACTAAATTTAATTAAATAATAAATAATATAATTTTTTCCCATAATTTTTTAATAAATCAAAATATTGACAAATAATAATATAATATAATAATTAAATAAATAATTAATACTAAAAATAAAACTATAATAAAAGTATAATATATATAATATAAAAATAAAAATTTATTAAAAAATTAGGATGAATATTTTATTGCCAATAAAAAATAGAAAAAAATATTTTCGCTGACATGACAGATAAAAAAAATAATATTAATAATAAAAAATAATAAAAATACCCAAAATAGGTATTTCCATCGCCGATGATCTAAGAAATCATTTAAAAAAAAAAAAAAAACACAGTTTACTCAATCATCATAATAATAATAATGATAGTTGTTGTCCGCTACAACAAACATCCAAAAGCGCGCAATCAATCCCACGCTCAATTCACTAATACATATATATATATTTATATATATTTTATATATCATATATAACAAATTCAGCTGCGGGACCACAAAAACATCTTCCGGCAGCCGCGTGCGGGCACGAAATGACGCCATCAACTCATCATCAGACCCTGAAGTTCTTCCCGACAAAGGTTTGTCCGAACTGCCAACTGGCGGGGGCAATGTTCCATGACGTGGAGGTTCTCCGGTCACTGCCGGTGACCCTGAACGACAGTGACTGACCAATCAAAACCGAGTTTGACTGCCAGTTCTGACCCCAGTTCCGGCTCAATCCCATCCACCCTGTCCTCGACCCTTTTACACTTGCTCTCACTATGTCGCCGGCGCCGGCGACGTTCGTTATCAGCACCAGGTTGAAGTACCGGAATCCGTTCACCGTGAACCTTATCCCTCCCTGCTTCCGGCATGCGACCCTGCCGGAAAATTATTATTTTTAAATAAATATTAATTATAAGGATTTAAAAATTTGAGGTAATAAAAATACCATCTTCGTTCTGACTATTGTGTCTTGTGTAGACACGAAAATGAATTTAAAAGAGATATAATTAATAAATAATTAAAAATATATAAATAAAAATAATTTTAAATTTAAATTAAAATAATCAATTAATTTAACTAAAATTAAATAAAATTTTAAATTAAAAAAATTAATATATAAAAATTAATATGTGATTAAAAAAAAAGAAAAAAAAAAAGAGTATAAATGAGACACAGCAGTAAACTGGGACGAGAGTAAAAAGTAAGAAAGCGCGTGAACGGAATGCGAAAATTAAGGACAGGGTGGCAGTACGGCAGCGCATGGGGGCGTGTGATTTTCCATTGCCTAGGGTCTGGTGTTTGACTGGCCCACACGTGTCGGGTTTCTATTGGTGTTCTCCTTTCTAAACGACGTCGTTACGTTTTTAGGGAAATAATTCTGTCAAAATGTCAAATTAAGTTTTAAATTCAGTAAGGGTGTGTTTTTTTCGAAGAATTGAGAGGGATTTGTGATATTTACACACACACACACACACACAAAAAAAAAGTTTTTTTTAAAATATTTAATCAAAATACTTACTTTTTACTTTTCATATAATATATTAAAATTTAATTTACATCCAAAATATCCATCAATATTTTTTTTCTTAAAATTTTATTATTTAAATTCAAATCCAAACGTCAAAGCCCCAGACAAATAGATCCTTAAGGGTGACTGGGTGAGTCGTGTGTGTTTCTTTTTAGATTTTTATTATTATTAATAATAATAAAAATACATAGTACTCTGATATTAAAATTTTAATTATATTTAAAAATTCATATTAATAGTTATTTGTATTATACTACATCCGTTCGATCATAAGAGTTTCATTTATTTTTTTCTTGTTAATATTTGAATAATAATTATTATATAAAAATATAGTATAAATTAAGGGAAAAAAAAAACTAAAATACTTATATTAGTGTGTTATAATAGTTCTCCCTCCTCCGTCGTTCAAATCTATTCTTACTTTCCTTATTTTATTGTCATCCAAATTTATTCTCGTTTCTTTTTTAGTAAAAAAATACCATTTTTTTTTACCAAAAAAATTAAAAAATTTTATTTTTACATATTTTTCTTAAAATCCATGCCCGGTCAAATGAGCACACAATTGGATGACGGAAGGAGTATTAAAATAACATTTGTTTAACCAATTAAACAAATATAAAAATATTTTTAATTATAAGTACAATAACGCAAAAAATAAATGAGACTTGAAACCAGATAAAGAGAATAGTAAATAATTATTTTAGTTAAAAAAAGTTTTCAAAACTCAGCCTACAACTAGTCGTGTGGATTGATTTTAGTTTTAAATTTTGGATTTAGATAATATTTTATTTTATTTTTATTAAAAAATCAAAAAGTTTCATTTAAAATACAAATCAAAATGGTTGGTACTTTTGTGGTTATTAATAAATAATTAATTTTTTAGAAGAATATTTTTTTTATACACATAAACGGAGTATTTTGTACGTTGATTTATTTATGTAAATATATGTGTATTTAATTCAATAAATAGAGACAAACAACCCACCTGAATGGAATTGAATTTCAACGTGGAGGTGGGGGCCACAAGTAAGAACCTCAATTGAATAAACAATAGGAAGAATTTATGTATTAGACACCCTTCCGTCGTAACCCGTTGGTATGTCTACTTTATACATCAATTTTGTCATAATATTAATGGTAGTATTGTAATTATTTGACCCGCTTCCTCAAACTCTAAATAAAATTTACTGTTTGTCTACCTTTAAGATTTTAAGTCTGATTTTATTTTATTTTATTTTTTTTTTTCTAAAAATATCGAATCAAATATCTAATTTTTATTTATTTTATTACACTAAAATCTAATTTTATATTCAAAATATCACATCAATATATATTTATATCACATCAAATCAATATTTCGATTATAAATTTTAATGTTTAAAATCAAAATCCAAAATCAAATCCTCCCTTAGTGTTAAATACTGTTGTATAATTTTGAAAATGTGTACTTAAACCAATTGTATGTGTGTGATATGCTAAAGGAAGTACTATATATATATATATATAATATTATATCCGTTCTGCTTTAAAGTTTCATTTACTTTTTGTGTGTTGGATCTTTAAATACTGTTTATTTAATTTTATTTATTTTTTTAATAAAATATTTATTTTCTTAAATTCTGGTGAACAAAGAAGTACTTACTAATTATACGCAAAATGAGACAATTTAGCTTGAAGGAGTTGGTAAAAAAATTTTTAAAAAAAAAATTGATAGGAGAGGAGAGGGGAGGGCGGACCTGCGGAAAGTGACGGGGACGATTCCGGCGCGGTACTGAGCGATTTTGAGGAACATGGGCATGGCGAGGTCGAAGTGCGGCCGCGGAGGATTGCACCACCCGCCGTCGTCGTTCGGGAGGGCGTAGTTCGGCGGGCAGAAGTTCGTCGCCGTCACCATAATCGACGGGCTGCCCGCGTGGCACCACTGCCCGTCGTCCACGCACTTTATCTCAAAGCACGCCCCGCAGCTCAGCCCCTTGTTGAACAGCGCCGTGCTCAGCGCCGCCGTCTTCACGCCGTACCCTTGGCTGTACAGATTGCCGTACCCACACGCGCCGCCTGCATTCATTAATTCATTCAGACCCCCACCATTTTAATAAATTAATGCTCTTTCGTCTCAACCATATTTGAAATAAGCACGAGAATAAAAAAAATAATAAGTATTAAATAATAAGTATTACTTTCTTTTGTTTTAAAATCTTATTTATTTTTTTATTATTAATTTTTAAATATTAATTATTATACGAAAACATAGTAAAAAAAAATCATAAACATATTTTTATTACTATATTAAAATAATATTATAATCACTCTGTTCAGTTGAAATGTTGTCATTTTTTATCTTTGTACTTTTCAAAACAAGATTATTATTTTTTAATTTAATAATTGTACTATCTATCTAACATAATAAATACCTTTTCAACTTACAATATATTACACGAATTTAATTACTTTTATATTACATAATACTAATAGAGGTATTTTTGTTTTTTTTACTATAATCCATTATAATATTAATCTTTAAAAATTAATGTACAGAAGCTAAACGACAACCTTGCACCGGGATGAAGGGAGTAATAATATTTGTGCAAAAAAATATACAAATATGAATATATTTTTAATGAGACCTCTGAACCGAACAAAGAGAGTAGCATTATATTTAATTGACAATAGAGGTAAAGGTATTTTTTAAAAACTAAAATATATTTAAATATATAATTATTGTGAAAAAAATTGAAAATTAATTATAAAAATTGAAATAAGAATGTTGTTTTAAAATTATTAAATAGACAAAAATAATAAAATGAGACTATTAGACAGACAAAATATAATAACAATATTATTATATTTTTAATAAATACCCATGGTGCCGGAGGCGTCGCTGCCGCCGTAGAAGGTGGCGTGGGCGGTGTCCCAGGCGCCGCCGGAATAAACCCCCGGAATTCTGGCGAGGACTGGCGGCGGGTAGAGTGAGAAAATTGAGAGAATGGTGAAGACTGTTAGTGCGAGAAAAGCCATTTAATTTCTGAAATTAATTTTAGGTGAGTTAAAGGTAGCGGGAAAATAAATGGGGAAGGGAAGGTGGAGGGAAGAGCCCTACTTATGGAGGGACGAACGGCTTCAGTGGCAGACTTGTGATTTTGGTGAAAACTGTTGTCCTCTTTCGGGAATTGCTTTTTCTTTTGCACTAAACTTTTCATATTTATATTTTTTGAAAAAAAAAAAAAATTGTTACATTTAATTTGTCAATTTTTTTTTATTTTTATCTGTCCAATATAATTTATTATTTTTTTTATGTAAATATAATTATATATTTTAGTTATATTTTAAAATTTATAATTTATAAATTTTTTATTTTAATTCAATTATTTAATTATTTTAATTTTAATTTATAATTATTTTTATTAAATTATAATTATTTTTACTAATATACTTATTAATTACATAATACCTCAAACTCCGTAGTTAAGTTAAAATGGACAAATTAAGTGGAATAAAATAAATATTTTTTCTTTTACAAAAATTTCTATTGTATATTATTTTATTATCAAATATTTTCTATGTAACAAATAACACATTTTTATATTTGATAAAACTTATTTATTTAAATTATATTTAATAAATATTAATCAATTTAATTAGCTTTGTAACATATAGCTTATCATATAAAATTTACTCAAAACTTTTTTATTTATATCAATACTTAATAAATAAATATTTTATTTCCATTTAAAACTCTACCTTTATTATAAAATTAGTTTCTTTTAACCATAAATAAATAAATAAATAAATATATTTTTATTTATTTGTATTATATAAATATTTATTATCTACAAACTAATATAATTATTGAATATATTTTTATCAAAATATAATTTTTTAATAAAATAAATATTAATTAATTAATCTTTCATTTTATAGTTTTTTTTGAGATAAATTGTTATCTGATTTTTACAAAAAAAGTATAAAAATAAATTATTGATCAACTATTTGTTTATTTATTTTATTAAAAAAATATTTAAAATATTTTACGTTTTTTTTATATAAAATTTGCGTAATTTAAGTCTTTATTATAACCAAACATCAGTTTTGATAATAAGGGTTTTGTGCAAACTTTACATTAATACAAATGGATTTCACGTAAAGTATTTTGTGCATTTTTACTAAAAACACGTTGAAGTTTTATATAATTTTACCCAATAAAATAAATATAAATTTTAAAGAAAAAAATATTTAATATGATATTTTATTTTAAAAAATAAATATTTGATGTATTTATTAAAAACATATAATTAATAAACTATTTCAAAATTTTCAGAAGCATGCATTGTAAACAGAAGTTACATACAAATACAAACTTAAACCCTACATATTGGTACATGATTTATAATTATATCCCATGCGATACTGAATAATAAACTTATTTTGCATATATATATATATATATATATATTATTTTGCATATATAGATATAATAAATTATATACTTAGTACTCCCTCCGTCTTAAATATCGTGTAACATTTATTTTTTGGTATGTCCCAAACACCCTCCAATATTTTCAAAATAGAAAATAATTAATTATACTTAATCTCTACCTCACACTTTATCGCATTACATCACCCAAATAAAAAAATAAAATATGTATTTATCTCTTCATCACATCACCTAATTTCTAAATTATTTATGTTTAATATCCATAATGATTATAAAATTTTAAAATTTATAAGTTAAACCCTAAGATTACGTCTACACTACGAACCAACAGAGTCAAAGACAATGGGTTTGACAATATTTTTCTGGCTAGCGTAGCCTAGGTATTATTTCTGTGACTAAATTTATTTTCAAAGTTTTATATCACACATTTCAATGCAATCATATTCTTTCTCTTCCATCGACCACCACGACTAAAACGATGCGAGGTTTGTTCAATCAACTCATTTTAAAATGGTGTAATTTTTTTTTTATAACTATAAAAAAATATATTTTTTCCGTCCACCTAAAAAGTATAAATATTTTTATTTTGAAATGTTCAATTACAAAGTAAATATTTTATTAAATATTTTTTTTTTCTACAAATACTCTTATTTTACATCATATTATTACTTTTACATAAAAAAACAAAGGCAAAAATGTCATTACACTACTTTTAACTATCCACTATAATTAAAATACTATTATTTCTTAAATACAGCGCCAAAAGTAAATATTTACTCTATATGTGGACGGAGGGAGTATATAATATACCATCTCCGTCCGACTCTTTTTTTTACATATTGATATTTGAATATTAATTATTATATCAAAATATAGTACAAATTAAAAAATACAAAAATATTTTAATTAGTGTTATAATATTAATAGGATATTTGTACAAAAAAATTATACAAATGTAATTATATTTTTAATATTAAGTACAATGACGCAAAAGGTAAATATATTTTTTGTACAAATATAATTATATTTTTAATATTAAATACAATGGCACTATTATTTTTTATATATTATCATTTGGGGCCACATATATATGCCTATATATATATGAACCCTCTTTTTATATTAACATATACAATTTCTATTTTTTGCAAATATTTAAACAGATCCAAAAGATAATGTAACTCATTAGAGAGCGGACAATGGAGTATAATATATATATTTATCAATAAAAAAAAACTAGTTATTCAATAAAAAATATTTTTCTTCCGCCAATCATAATGTAACTGTTGTTTTTGTGTAATTGTAATTAATATTAAAAATATTTTTATATTTGTATAATTTATTTTATAAATATTATTGTATTTATATTATTAAAGACTAATGTATGTATTTTTGTTATTTTCTATTTATTTGTACTACATTTTAACAAAAAAACAGTTATATACTTTCTGATTGAAGGCAAATAATAATTATTTTTTATATTACTAGTACGATTAAATTTTTCTTATAATTTGACATTTTTATATATATATACAAAAAGCATTTTTCGGTATTATTTATTACTCCTTCCGGCAACATAAAGAAATAATACTCCATCCTTTACTTGAAAGTGTTACATGGTATATATTTTTGTCTATTCATTTGCAAAGACTTCTAATTATTTAGTAAATGTAATTTTATTTATTCAAATCATATCATTCCGTCCGCTGAAATCATGTTAATTAAAATTATGATAATTTTATTCACTCAAATTTTTATTTATTTTATTTTAACAAAGATAATGCTTAATTTGTCATTATTTTTTGCTATTTACCTCATCATTTTTATATTATTTTTAAATATATTTTTTTTAATATTCTCACTTTACTTATTCATTTTAATATTAAAAGATTATTATTTTTAAATTTTCGTGCCTGAACAAATTTTACATATTTTTCAGACAGGAAGAGTATTATTTTTATCGATAAAAATATTATTTTTTAAAAAATTATTTAACAATTAATAAAAACTACTTACAAATTTTCAAAAATATTTTTATAAATTTCATTAACAAAAAGATTCTGACAAGTGATTTTTTTTTGTTTGGATGATTATGTGCTTGTTTTGTGAGATTGTGAGGTAAAAAAAGAATTTAAAATAAAATATAAAGAATTGTGGAGAAAATATAAAAATAATGAATACATATAATTTTTTAATTTTTTAATTTTAGTAATTTTTAAGTTTAATATAAATAAGTATATAGTGATATAATATTTGAAATATAAAAATTAAATTATAATGCTCCATCCGTCCCAATACAATAGTCTTGTTTACCATTTTTGTCTGTCCCAAAAAAATAATCTCATTTCCATAAATAATCATATCACCATAACACTATCCCTACTTTTTCATTATTATTACACAATTACCACTACTTTTTACACTAAAATACTCACAAGGGCAAAAAAGTTATTTATCTTTATTTTTTACCAACTACCAATATAATATCGATATTCCTGCCCAACACAATAAGACTATACTTTTGGAACAAATGAAGTATAATGTAATATTAAAAATAAATATTTAATTTATTTTTTTAAAAAATGATAATAATAATAAACAAAAAAATTCCCAGACAAACATAACTATAAATTTATTTATTTATTTATTTAAAGAACGGGAAAACTAATTACAGTAAACAACAAATCACATGGTTGCACCCACTTTTCTTGATTTGCAATGCAAATTAATAACACCTTTGAGAATCACGTGCATCCATCCATTTCATTCCCCACCATTTTTAAATAATTAATAAAGTTATAGGCCTGCTCCAGTAAATAATTATTGTCATTTTATTATTATTACTAGCGGGACATTTTATTATTATTACTAGCGGGAGCATACCGTACGATCAACCAAAGTTTGTTAGTCCCTCCCTCCCGTATATCATGTCTATGATGTCGTTTCTGTTCGTACCACATACTATGTCACTTTCATTTTTTCGAAAAATTATTACACATTTTAATCTCATTTTAAACCTTTTAATTTTATATTTTTTAAATTTTAATTAAACTAATTAGTTATTTTAATCTTAATTTATAATTATTTATATTGTAAGATTATTATTTTCACTAATACATTCTTAATTATCTACTAATTACACTCATTTTAAAATACCGTGTCTAAATGTAGCACGGTATATGGAACGGAGGGAGTATTATTTTAAAATATATTATTATAATTGTTTTATTAATTTTATATTTATATCCAAATATTTTAATAAGTTTAAAAATAATAAATATTTTATAAAAATAATAATAATTAAATAAATAGCAAATAATTTCTTTTAAAAAAAAACATTATCATATAAAATAAATTAAAAAATAATTTTATAAACTTCAAATGAATATCTAATAATATAAATTATGTTTACCTTTAATATTTGAAATCAAATATGTAATATAAATAAAATAATATAATGTTAAAATAACAATTTAGCTTATTATAAACAACATCAATTAAAAAATATATAAAAATTATATATATATTTTGGATGTGTTTATAACTTGATTCATTATAATAAATAGTAAGTTATTTATATATATATATATATATACTATTTTTCTTTATAACGTGGGAACCGGCGGAAAAAAAACACACTAGGCGAACCATGTGTGGCAGGTGACCTGAAATGTCAGAGGTTTTAACCCATGAATTTGTAATAGATAGTAAGTTATTTATTTATATATAAAATGAGCTATTTTTAAATAAAAAATATTGTTTATGTAAAATTAGTTTGTTTGATTTTTGTTTGAATAGTAAACAATGATATTTTTTACATAAAAATTAAATACAATACATATCTATAAAATAAATATCCATGAAAAAAAAAAACTCAATTTTTTCTATAATAAAATGTAATATGAAAATAAAACTATTATTTATATATATAATAAGAATTTTTGCTTTTACAATAAAATCAATTCTCTAATAATATGATAACTTAATTACAATACTTTGATAACAAAATTGTAACTCTCTAATGAAAAAAATGATAAAAATAATATACTATTATACCTTAATATAAATTATATAATTGTTCCCATTTCTTGCTTTTTCGGGTTTTTTTTTCTTCTCTAACCTTCCTTTCTTTTTGTCTTTTTGTACCATCCATGCTACAACTAGTTGTAAAAGCAAATCACTATTGAAAAAAATTAAATACAAAATAAAAAATAATACCATAAATAAATTCAAATTTTTATTTTTAATTTTATGGCTTTTGCTTTGCACAGAAAAACACATCATAACAAATATTTTAAAAAATGACAAAGAAAAATCTACAAATTATAAAATCTATATATATATATAATTGAGAGAATATGAAAAAAAAAAAAAAAAGTAAGAAAAATTATTTGAAAAATAGAAAGAAAATTTTACAAAAAAATGTGATTTAGTCAAGCATATTTAAAAACACAATGTAAGAATAAATTTTTCTCATTAACACATAAAAATCTACTTAAAATCATATTTTAAGAAAACAGTCAATTCACCTTATTTATAAAAAGTGAAAAACGATAAAATAATTTATTTTTTTTTAAGTAAAGGAATGCGATAAATTTTCGAAAATTTATTAAAAAACTTAAATTTATTGAAAAACTTACTTTAAGAAAACAAACTTCTGCTCTTCGGTAGCAATATTTTCTAGTAGAAATACTTTGCTTCTACAAAATAAAACATGACTTATAAACTTTCGGTTGCTTATGTCATAAAAAAAACACCGTATAAAAAGATTATATAAAACTTTAAAAAAAATTTATTCAGAAATTTAAATATATTGAAAAACTTACTTCAACAAAACAAACTTTTGTGACAAATGTAAAAATTGAAAGAAACTTTATTCAAATACTTATTTAAAGAAATCTTCTTTCCCAGTGACAATCTTCTCTAATAGATAGAGTTTCAGATCTATTTTTCTATAAAACTAATCCGTAAAAAACTATATATCAATTATTATATAAAATAAAATGTATCTTCACTTTTAGTAAAAACTGTATCTCCACTATTATATAAAAAACTGTAAAAAAAAAAAAAAAATTAAAATTCTGATATTATAGAATTACAAAATTTTAAAGAGAAGTGGAGTCCATGAGCTCTTTTATATATATATATATATATATAAAATATATGATATGATTATTGCTATCAAATTTTATTTAATTTATAAAAAATGATTAAGATAATATAAAAATGTGGGAGGATGACGGCAGGTTTGTTCATGGATTTTCACTGTAATTTAAATTTAAATTAGCGATATAAATTTAAATTAGCAATGCAATCAACGAAATTTGTTAGTTATTTTAAATATATTATTATAAATTATTTTAATAATTTTATATTTATTTTTAAATATTTTAATAAGTTTTAAAATAATATTTTTTTATAAAAATAAGTAATAATTAAATAAATAATAATAATTTTTTTTGGAAAAATATTATCATTTAAAATAAATTAAAAAAAAATAATTTTATAAATTTCAAATGAAATATAATTTAATAATTATACTAACGTAATTAATATTTTTACAATTTTCAATATTGTCGTTACTTTTATATCACATAATTTAATAAAAGCATTTGTCTTTTTAACTGTAAACTAATATACTCTGTCCTTCTCAATATAATAGTCTTGTTTACTACTTTTTGTTACAATTATTATTCACAATTATTATTATTTTTTACACTAATATAACCACAAATACAAAATAAATTACTTATTCTTACATTTTAACCACTACCCATATAATATTTTAGGAGAAAGTGATTAATACTTAATATTAAAAAATCTATTTTGCAAATAATGTTACTGGGCGTAGTGATATCTTTAGCCCTAGACACAACTGCCGCCGCCTTTCTTTTTCTTCTCTTCCCTTCACCATTTTCCTTTCTACATATTCCTTTCCCTTCTCGCTCTTCACCGCCGGTGAATTTCAGTTGACGCTTGTTGTATTTTTTATATTATTATTATTATTATTATTTTTCTTCTCCTGTCTTCTCCTCTTCCTCGTCCGACTCCACAAACAAACAGGTATTGCGTACTGTAACTGATTTGATTGAACAATTATTAGGTTCTACTGTACATGTATATGCTGTAAGAATAATTCGACATAGAAGTTTGGTGATTTGAATAGCCTTGTTTGAAATTGACATGTCGAAAGAACTTCCAGAGGAGGAGGAGATTGCTGATTTGGTATATATTTTTATTGATTTTGATGCTTAAGAAGCAAGCTGCTGCGTTGTATTTCTGGTGAAGTTATTTCTTAATTGTTTTTGTGTTGCTTAGGCGTTTGTGTAATTTCATTCATGTGAGTATTAGGAATTGATCACCATATCTGTGTTCTTAAGAAATCTTAAAACTATGAACAGATAATGAGGAAATTGTTTGTGTAGATAGTAATTTTGTATAATTTATTTACACCTTGGGAAAACCTTTGGATTTTGAATGTATGTTTGATATTGTACAGATCACATTGCTAGGCTGTAAATTGATGATTTGAACATTTTTGAAAATTCCATCTAAATGCTTATCATCATACTTGTGTGCTTTGGGTATAAAGCATGAAATTGCTGAGAAATGATATGAGGCAAAGTGAATTCAACATAGAATCAGATTTGGTTTCTATTTGGTAAAATGGATAATTAAATAGAGAAATGTAATATAGAAATACAGCAATAGGATCATATATTTGAAAAAAGATAGGAGAAATGCATTGGGAAATTTGGTCGTGTTCTTTTGTGGTTTTAGTGCATATTTTTATCTAAATTCGTTTTTCCCTCGTAATATATCACATCAAATAATTTTTATTTTTTTTTTTACATATACTCCCCTCCGTTTCAATACAATAGTGTTGTTTACCATTTTTGTCTGTACCAAAACAATAATCTCATTTTTATAAATAACCATATCACTGTAAAATTACTCTTACCTTTTCGTTATTATTACACAATTCCCATTACTTTTTACACTAATACACTTGCAAGGGCAAAAAAGTCTTTTACCCATACTTTTTACCCATTACCAATAATAGTAATTTGAATACGATGTTTTGTAAGAGAAAATAATATATATTTATAAAAAACTACGGAAGTTGAATAGTTAAAAAATCAATTACCGAAATGAACACACTAAATTTCTAAGCTTTCATTTATCTCTACTTTGTGCATAGAAGAAAAATGAATCAGACAATTAGAAATAATTTGTTTTTTAATTTTGATTTATTTAACTCAAACAAATAAGAGAAATTGATATATTTTCATTTCTCATCTCAGTTTCTCTTTACCAAATTTGAAAATTTTCCATGTTAGTTTGCTTTGTCAAGCATAATTGTTCGTTTCCAAAGTTAAATCCTTGTTAAAAGCTTCAATACAATGAAACTATGTGTGCAAACAATGTGATGTAGTTGCAATTTATTCGTAAGTTATTCTTATCTAAATAAAACTCTTTCGATTTGCCATTTTGATGCAGGCTTGGCAGCTTCTCATAAGAACATTTCCGAGCTGGCTTCAATATGAGAGAAGAAGACATAAACCGGTGCCAAATTCAAGACTGGTACCCGAAATTCTCGTCCATATCCATCAAAACCATAATCCACGAGCTTCCGGAGTCTTTCATCCAGTACCTTCTAGATGATTCCGGAACATTCCTACTCCCGCATTCAATCACTAACGACGACGCCCTCCCGAACCGAGTCCACAAACCAGAAGAAGAAGAAGATTTTGTCGCATTGGAAGGATCCGAAGATGAAGCAGAGGAACCGCCGCCGCCGCCGTCTTTCCCCGAACTAGAAACCGCCGTTAAAGCCTCGATCGAATCATTAGGAGGCGCCGTTTTTCCGAAGCTCAATTGGAGCGCTCCGAAAGACGCAGCGTGGATCAGCTCGACCGGGAATCTCAAATGCACAAACCTCGCTGAGATCGCGCTTCTTCTAAAATCATCCGACTCGATCGTCCACGACCTTTGCCATGCATATGACTCGTGCGTCGATAGCGAGATTTCGTCGAGGCCCGCAAAGTTGTGCCTCGCGCTCAGGAAATGGTACCCGTCGTTGAAGCCCGAGATGGAATTCCGTTGCTTCGTGCACCGTAATGTCCTCTCGGCCATTTGTCAGCGCGAGGTTACCAATTTGTATCCGGTTCTTGTCGAGAGAATGGATGAGTTGAAGGCGAGAATTCATGACTTTTTCGTCGAGGAGGTGCGGGGGAGTTTTGAAACCGAGAGGTATACTTTCGATGTTTATGTTAGAAGAGATTTTCGGGTTAAGGTTTTGGACTTCAACCCGTGGGGTGCCCCGACGCTTCCTTTGCTATTTAGTTGGGATGAATTGGAAGAGATTTGTGGATCGGGTGACGGCGAATTGGAATTCAGGATTGCCGAGAATCGGTGTATTCGGCCGGGGCTGAAAACGGCGGTCCCGTTCGATTATTTAGATACGAGCCCGGGGAGTGGATGGGATCAGTTCTTGAAGAATGCTGAGGAGGAAATGAAGCAGCAAACTTCAGGAACTTCTTGATGTCTATTTTGATTTCAATTTTTGGTCTGATGATGGTATCCCTATAAGAAAATATTATTTTTTACCGAGCTTTTTTTATCCATAAATCTTTTTTTTTTCGTTACTAATGACATTAGAGACGGAATTAGAGATAAAATTACGTTAGCCAGGTACACTATAGAAACGGAATTCCGTTACAAATATATTATTATTATTTTTTTAGTGTAAGTGTTTTTAGTTTGGATATATGGAATGTTTTGTGTAAATTATATTGATGATTTGTTGAAAATATGTGCATAGTGTTATTTATGTCAGGATTTTATATCCTCAGGGCCAGTGTAAATATGTTTTGTTTTTTATTTTTGTAATAAGTAAAATAAAATTGAGAATGTAAAGCTGTGTTTTGTAACTAAAAACAGCTATGTGATGATATTAATTTTAAAAAAATATTACCATAAATGAATAGTGTGAAAAGTGAATTTAAATAGTGGCTTAGTCACGTGTAGCACATTTGTCTGTGTATATATATATACAATAAATATATTTGTACAATATATTTTTTCAAAGTATATAAAAACAAACATCCACTAATTTGATAGCTCAATTTTGAAGTTTGATTTATGTTTTTGTGCTATGCGATCATAGTGATTTATATATATTTTTATATATACACAAACGGTTGTTCTTATCATATTTGTGTACTATACAATTTAAATTGAAATATTTTTCTTGTTTAAAACACTAGCATATGCTGACATAAATATAAATAGAAAGGACTGATTCCACATGACACTAGAGGTGTGTTTGTTTGGAGATTTTTTTTAATTTTTACTGTTCATCCAATTTTATTTTTATTTTTTCAAAAATATCAAATCAAAGTCGACGCCTATTTATATTATATCATTCAATTATTTTAATTCAAGTTTTTTACTATTAAGATATCTCAAAATCTGAACCCCAAACAAACACACCCACCAATAGTCCTTGCAGTATATATAATTGAACTCAAACATATTAATGTCAATGTGTTGATATTTATAATTTATGTGTTGTGAGCTGATTAATTTAAATAAATACTTTAATCAAGCCAAAAATATTACATACATTACATGTTATATTATAACAAATTCAAATAAATACAAAAAGACTAAAAACAATCCAAAATACAACCGATATATTGTATTACCATAACTCATCAATAGAACTGTAAAACAAAAGTTCGCGAGCTCGATTTGGCTCGGCTCGGCTTGGTGCTTAATGAGGCACAAACCAACAAGACAGAATGCATGTAAATATACAGTATAGTACAATATTGTGTCATATAGAAGCATGTGTCGGTGCAAATTTGTACCGTGCTACTATTATCTGACATAATATATATTGTATTATCATGTGGTATCAAATATGTGTTCTACATTGCTGATTGAGTCGAATCAACACCAAACCGACTCAACCAACATTTCATGCGATGTTCTGTAAAAGTAAATAGAAACACGCTCACGACTCAACCAAACTCCGGCGAAAGGAGGCTCTCACTATACGTGACACCCTCAACCTCCGCGCCGCTCCCTATACTATAAACCTCGTGGGAATTAGGCGGCTTATAAAGTATCAAATCCGAGCCGAGGCTCAATAGAACCCCTCCATTCTCCGCAACAAACAACAACTTCGGCCGCACAAGATGGCGATGCCTCCTCAACAACAAATAGTAAGATAAACACGCCAACTTCGTCCAAGACTCTTGCGCGCCGTACTCTCCCATCACCCAAACATCCATGTAAGAACCATAGTCGAACGACGCACAAAGCAAACCCCCTCCGGAAACCACCCCCAACATTACATGCTCGACATCCTCATTTCTATGCCTAGGAAGTTCGACCGAAGAACAAGCTCCGGTAGCAACGTCGAATACAATCAACCCCCAATGATCCGAGCATGTTAACCAATGGATAGCTCCATTGACAAACACGCCGGGATTGTTCTCGGCGGCGACGGCGGCGCCGCCGGACCATTCCATGTCTCTCCATGAATTACGCCTCCAACTATACACGTTCACTCTAGTTTCATACTCATCTAGATGATTACAAACAGAGCAAATTTCCATAACTTTGTAATCATCTGTTGATTCGGCGTAACCGAATCCGTACACACTCCAAAGCGTATCTGGATAAGAAAAGGGCAGTTTTTTCGATTTTCTAGTGGCTGGATTCCACAGAACAATGGTGTAATCGTCTAAAACTACGCAGACTAAACCGTTGCACGATCCGATAATTCGAATCGAATCGCACGAATTGTAATCGAGCACCAATGTATCCGACAATGAATTGCGTTCATCGTCAATCCTAGGGTTTAGTACGAAGGTATGGAAATTCGTAGGGAGAGGACGGCCGGAGCCGATGAGGAGGCGGTTATGGCAACCTACGTTGCTTTTAGTTGAGATTTTGAGATGAGTTTTGATAAATTCGGTGGTAGAGATCAACGAACGCCAGGATTTCGAAACGCACCTGAATTTCAAGAGGCTTTTCACCGGCAACCATGGCAGGATTTCCGCGATGATCTCGTCGGGGAGATTGGGCAGAGTGACCGAATCGCCGGTCGGGAAATCCGACAATTCGGTCGACGCACGCTTCGAAGAGCTTCCGGTCGTCATTTGAGGGACAGAATTGAGGTCGTTGCCATGGAAGTCTATCGAAAGAGCTCTCTGAGTTTGACTTCACTGAAGAAATCCATCTTCGTGGAAACTTTGACGCAGGAATATCCATTTTTAGTCTTAAATAATAAAATTCAGGGAAACGGGTCGGATCTTTACTTGGGCTTACCATACGGGCCCACTTGCCTAGTCGCCTCTTAAACAATTTATTGTCTCTTATTTTCAAGAGATGATGGGCTGATCTGATTTTATATCGGGCCCGAGCCTATGATCTAGTTCAAACTGCGGCGGGCCGGACCAGCCCAATTTTTAAATATTATTATTTAAAATTTTAAAACAAGTTAGGTAAGACAAAAACTAAACTATTAGAATATACTTTCATTTTTTTTTAATATATTTATAAAATTATTATTTTAAATATATTTAATTTTATTAAACTACACCAAACTAGACCTCCGATATTCATAGGCCCAAGCCCAATACAGTTTTCAGTCATGGACTGGCACGGCCCGTAATTTTCCAGACCTATACTTACCCAAGTACGATACCTTGTGATTATTATTATTATTATTACTCCTCCGTCCATATCAAAATATCCATTTTTTCATTTTAATCCGTTCCAATAACAAAACATCCATTTATTAGTACAATCTACCTAACATTTTATATTACACTTATTAGTACAATCTACCTAACATTTTATATTACACAAAGTCATTACTTTTATATCACACATACTAATAAAGTTATTTTATTCGTTTTTTTATATCACACATACTAATAAAGTTATTTTATTCGTTTTTAAAAAGCAAAAAGCAAATCGATACTTCTTTATGGGAGGGGACAGAGGGAGTATTATTTTTCTGTTATTTTTTTACAATTTCATTACAATTTCATTCTCAATCAGCCGAGGATTAGGAAAAAAAAAAAAAAAAACACACGGTAAAAATTATTAATATATTACCCCCCGAAATATATTAAGGGTGTGTTTGTTTGGGTGTTTGGATTTTGAGTTGGGATTTGAATAGTAAAAATTTTGAATTTGAATAGTTGTATAATGTGATATAAACATGTGTTGACGTGATGTTTTGAATGTAAAATTGATTTTTAGTATAATATAAAAAATAAAAAATAAGTGTTTGATTTGATATTTTTGGGGGGAAAATTTTGGATGAATAGTGAAATTTTGTGCAAATCCATCAAACGAACACACCCTAATTGTAAAAGTATTTCTTAAAATGACTACTTTTTTAATTAATGTGAAAAAGTGAAAATAATTTTTTAAATAAAAGTAGAGAGCTTGTTACCGAAAATAGAAATAAAATTATTTGGGACGGACAAAAATGATAAAATAAGACTGTTATTTTGGGAAGAAGAGAGTACATTATTTTTATATTTTCTACACGATTCTTCATTATTCACGTCAAAAAATTCTTCTTGAAATTATCTCACAAAACAACTGCACCCGATCCTCACAAAAAGGGTCTAAAAAGAAGAGTGAACCACTTTAGTATAATTTCGATCAATTCCTTTCTCCCATCGTCAACTACTTCCTAAGCATTTGAATTCCATGTGTATCTTAAGAACACACAGAGACAAAGACGAAGCACTGAAATTACCCTGAATCATCGTCTATTGACACAATAACGCAAATTAACAAAAAAATGAATCATATTCATGCAAAATATATAAACTATCATCATGCTCCACTCCATGTTAGAATGCCATTTATGTCGTCAAAATCATTCCATTTGCAGATAAATTAAGCATTTCACCTCTCACCATGCTGAACAAATACGAAAATTAAGGTAACAGATGCAATCTAAGTTTACTTACCATCAATAGTCCACAAACGACACACCCGATCACCTGCGCGCCAGAAAGACGAAAAAAGGAACAAAAGAAAACAAGTAAGAGATCCAGAATGATACCATATGTTGGAGATCAAAGTGATGGGATCGGATCCAGTTGCTTGATGGCCTTGTTAATTGAGTTAGTTGTTGTCCGAGCTCGACACATCCGGCCAGGTCTCCAGAAACTGCCATATAGATCAGAATGTACACGCGGCTGTCTACGCAGCTCGTCAAGATTATTCAACAATCAAAAGATTTTATAATCTGATCTACTCAAAATTGCATCTGAATAACTGTGATTAATTGAACTCAGTCTACTAACCAGTGATACCGACAAAAGAAGAATCAGTCTTCTCAACTGCACCAAACTCACGTTCTAAAATATACCGACAAAAGTGATTGTTGTGTAACTATATAACAATTGTCACCAACAAGAAAATGTTTTTACCAAACATATATGTGCATAAGATGATTTTGGTTCTCCGGCACATTGTTTGTTTGTTCATGATTTCAATCACAGATCTATACTATTCAGCCCGTACGGTTTCCAATAAAAATACAATATTTACTCACACAAAATATTATATTAAAATACTATTTAAACAAAAACTCAAATCAACGCTCAATTTTAAATCAATTTCAAACCACAACCAAATAAACACCAAATATGAAGGAATCTATTACATTTAACCATCCAAATATGCAGGTGAAATGGGGTGCATTTACGCCGACCAGCTAAAAACCATATCAACGAAAAAAGCATAAAAAGGGTATGGGTATACTTTGGTAAACAAGAGCGAAATAAAGTTAAAACGAGACGATAACAATTGTTTCAACCAAACTGCAATTGCCAAAGATGAACACATTAGCATCTGATCACCTAACAAAAATGTGTATATAACTATATATATGTGTGTAAATAGATAAAAGATTGAGGGAATTCAGGAAGTATTTTGTTTAAAAGAATACTAAGGAATGTTATTCGACAACACTCACAAAGAAAGTTGAGGTAATTATTATTCTATTAGGCCATCTGATCAATACCAAGAAAATTATTAAGTAAAAAAAAAGATAAAGAATAGTAACTATACATCCATGGAACAGGGAACTCATCTGGACAGTAAATTCCTGCTGAAATAGCGAACCAGAACGTCGGTGTCGGCTTTCTTACACTGCTTCCACCTGCAGGTAAAATTTTATCATGAAAATCTTTTGTTATTAACCATCGACAATGAACTGATCTTCCTGGTTATCCTCCTCGACTCGTGCATCGCCATGGACCATGCCGTTTACATGGTGCAAGTTTTGCATCATCTGTGATAGATAATGGCCACTTCCTCCAGAGTGATCGGAAATCCCAGGATTTCCGGTCCACTGTGAAAGAATTCCGACGAATTGAGCCGTAATATTTTGTTGCTCGTGTAGTATTCTGGCCTGAACCTGTACCATTTCTGCTCGATGCCGACTCAGCATCTCGTCCATCTTCTTCTTCCACTCTGATCTCCTCCTGTTCTGTCTCTCTTCCCATTCCCTTCTGTGAATTAATCCTTTTTCTCTTCTTCTTCTTTCCATTTCTTCGTTCTTTCTCTCGATTCCTTCCCATTCTTCCATCCACTGCCTCCTCAACTTCTCCCGAATCTCTCTATCAGCTTCCATTTCTTCGAGCTTCTTTTCGCGATCTTTCTCCATTTCGTTTCGAAGATGCTCCCTCCTTTGCCTCTCCTGTTCCCTCTCCACCTCGTCCTGTGCAAACCGAGCCTCCATTTCCTTCAAATGAGTTAACTGGCTGATGACAAATCCCCACGCTTTCTTCTCCAGCCCTTTCGACGACTTTCTTTTCTTTTTCACATTGGCAACGTTCTGCCCAGCATTTGTGTCTTCTTCTTCCCTCAAGCTCCCATCGCTTTTATACCGTCTCTCGTGCCCGTCTCCATCGTAGTTGAACTCCAAATCCATCACCCCATTAATCCCACCTACAAATGCCCCCTCACCCTCCCCACCCTCCCCCAAACCCCCAAACTGCACCATATCCAATTCATGGCTGTCTCCACCTTCAAACCTCCCATTGCATCCATTCACCATTCCAATTCCATCATTTCCCCCAAATGCAATTGTAACATCACCGAAAACCTCCTTATACCTTATGAAGTTTGGCCAATGGTTAATCCCTTCCATCCAATCAAATTCCTCATCCTCACTCAATCCCCTCGCGGATTCTTCCTTCTTAATCTTCTGCTTCACAAGGACGTACTGATGCCTCATGTTCTGCACCTTCGTCGATACATCCTTCCATGTCCATTGCCAGGGGTACACCGCGGGATCTAGGGCATGGTGCTTGGAATTCACGTACACAGCGATTGGTCTGTACTTCTTCTCCCTAGTTTTCATCTTCGATAGTGTCCCGTCGCACGCCATCTCCCCATACTTGTCTATCAGAGTCCTCTCCTCCGCCTCAGTCCATTTCTTCCTCCTCGGCTGAGGCGTCATCACTTCACACCACCACCAAAACTTACACCACCAAAAATCGTTGAATTTCTCATCTAATTACAGAAATTATAAGAAAATTCGAACATTCAGTGAAAAGATAGATAGGCACTGGATCGAGATTCCAACCATGGAGGTCACACAGCAGCTGCCAGCCGCTCCGCCGCGCAACGTATGGCCGCTATCTAGAATTGAAATTAGGCGCAAACTGAGGTCGAATTCTAGAGGTAACCGGCGGCATGAATCGCGAGTGCAGATTGACCGCAGTCGACGCAGTTTGGGGAAAGAGAGTGTGTCTCGGAGATATTTGGATCCTTTCCGAAAATTGGGGGAACGTGAATAAACTTATTTTTGTGGGATCGAAGAGAAAGTTCAGAGATTATCACGGACCAATCTGAAAACAAGCGTGATTATTTCTCCGTCTAACTATTTCATTAAATATATTTTTTTATCAATACTTTTTTTTTTTTTTATCTGTCACATTATTATTTTTATATTAAAAAATAAAAATAACTTATTTTTAATTAGACACGATAATTAAAATATATATGTTTTTTGTTAATTTTTTTTTAATTTTTAGTTAAATTTATCTCATTATTAAACAAATTTAATAAATTTAATATTTAATTATTATTTTTTATTAATATTTATTTACAATAAATATAATGAACTTTAGTACATTTTCTCATTATTTATTTCATACAAAAAAAAAAAATATTTATATAAAAATCCGATGAAATGAGTAATTTTTTTATATGAAAAATAAATATGTATGTTAAAAACGATATGAAATTATTTGATAAAAATAATTTAAAAAAAATATATATAAAAATAATATTTTATTTTAAATTGTATATTTTTTCATTAGATATAATATTTTTTTTCGTTTCAATTCAATATATTTTTTTAATTATTTTTGTTTGTCTAGCTTTTTTTTTTAATATTTTTTAAAAAATAATATTATTAAATTTTATCTCAATACAAATATATTATTACACATTCAACAATTATAATTTTCATTCAGTGCAATTTCCACTCTATTTATTTATTTATAAAATATTATTTAGATTAAAATTTTAAATTTTAAATTAAAAAAATGTAACTATTTTCTTGAATCATAATTAATTTATACATTCAATCTTAATTCAAACAATTTCAAATTGAAAATAAGTAAAAATAAAAGAAAATCGAAACTTGTTTTGAACATCGCTAAAGCCCAAATATTCAAAATAAAAAATTAAGCCCTAATCGAATTTACCTCACCAGACCATTGCTGTTCGTCTTCTACTTCCTCCGATTTCGTCGTCCTCACCAGAACTCCGTCGTCTCCAACTGCCTTCGATTACCGTCTCCGACCGCCGCATCAGTACTGTAAGAGGAAATCTTAAGTTCACTTCTTATATGGCTGAAAAGCTAACCAAGCGTGGACGTCTCCTTCCACCATTTGCCGGAATTCCGAATCGCCGACCAATTCCGATTTGTATCAGCCGATTCGGTGAACTATGATTCCGAGACTTCCATGGAGAACAAACGTCGCCGCCGGTTGTTCGAACATTTCTATTAAACCCTAATCCGGCTTGAAAAAAATCTCCTCGCAAAATGAGGCCACCAAATCGAACCCTAATTTCCCTCTCCAAACGGAGGCCTAACGCCCCTCCGAAAGACGACGACGAAAGCTTCTTAGCAATGCTAAACGACGTTGTCCGGGGGAATAAGAGCTGGGCTGCGGCTCTCCGGGAACCGTCGATTTCCTCCCGCCTCAACCACCATCACATCGAGCGATTCATCCTCCGAAATCTCCACGACTCCAGGTTAGTCCTCCGCTTCTTCAACTTTCTAGGTTTGCGCACCGGATTTCGACACTCCACGGCGTCCTTCTGCTTGATGGTTCACTCCTTAGTCCAATCGAAGTTTTATTGGCCGGCTTCTTCGCTCTTGCAGACGCTCTTGGAAAGGAAGGAGAATCCGAGTTCAATTTTCCGGGATTTCATCGGTTCTTATAGAAGGTTTGGTTTCAATTCAGCTTATGGATTCGATTTGCTGGTTCAAACCTATGTTCAAAACGGTAGGGTTCTGGATTCCGTTGTGATTCTTAAGGCAATGAAGGAGTGTGATTTTTTTCCTGAAGTGCGAACGATTAGTGCTGTTTTGCATTCCCTTATTAGAATCAGGAGATTCGAAATGGTCCTTGTCTTGTTCGATGATCTGTTTTCGAATTCGAAGCTTAAACCCGATGTCTTTGTTTACACTGCTGTTGTTAAGAGCTTATGCGAGTCGAAGGATTACGACCGAGCCAAGAAAATGGTCGAATCTGTCGAGAAGAATGGGGAATGTAAATTGAATTTGGTTACATATAATGTGTTGATTCATGGGCTATGTAAAGGTGGGAGAGTCGACGAGGCTGTCGAAATTAACAAATCGTTGGCGGCTAAGGGTTTGGCACCGGACGTGGTGACATATTGCACGTTGATTCTTGGATTGTGTAAAGTCGAGAACTTTGAGGTTGCGCGCGATTTTGTCATTGAGATGGTCGAGCGTAGAATTATTCCTAGTGTAGAGGCGCTATCGGGTGTCGTAGACGGGTTGCGGAGGAAAGGGGAAGTCGGAAGTGCGTACGATTTAGTAGATAAAGTCGGGAGGCTTGGGGAGATACCTAATCTGTACGTGTGTAATGCGATGATCGGCGCGTTGTGCAAGGACGAGGCGTTCGAAGAAGCAGAATTGCTTTTCTCGAAGATGGAGGAGAAAGGGATGTTGATAAACGACATGACGTATAATATGATAATCAATTCGTTGTGCAAGAGAGGGAAGGTGGACGACGGCGTCGTTTATCTCGGGAGAATGCTCGATGCGGGAATTAAGCCGACCGTTTATCCGTACAACATTTTGATTAGCGGGCGATGCAAGCTCGGGGAAATGGACGCAGCCGAGGCTTTGTTCGACGAGATGAGAAGGAACGGATTGAGCACGACCTTTGTGACGTACACGTGTTTGATCGATGGGTATAGCAAGATAAAGAAAGTGGATAAGGCGCTCGAGTTATATCGTTCGATGAAAAGTGACGGGATTTCTCCGAATGCTCATACCTTCACGGCGCTTATCGACGGACTTTTTAGCGTGAATCGGGCGGTCGAAGCATGCGAATTATTCGACGAAATGATCGGACGGAACGTTGCTCCGAGCGAGGTAACGTACAACGTTGTGATAGACGGATATTGTCGAGTCGGTAACGTTACGAAGGCGTTCGATTTGTTCGACGAGATGGTTAAGAAGGGGCTTGTTCCCGATACGTACACCTATCGAGCTTTAATTACCGGACTTTGTTCGACGGGAAGGGTATCCGAAGCGAAGTCGTTTGTTGACAATGTTTATAAACAAAACCGTAAATTGAACGAGATGTGTTATTCGGCGCTCTTAAATGGGTATTGCAAGGAAGGGAGATTGAGCAACGCATTAATCGCTCATCGAGAGATGCAAGAACGAGGAATTGAAACAGATCTCGTATGCTACGCGATAATTATCGGAGGAATTCTTGAGCAAAATGACGCAAAATTATCGATCGAGTATTTGAAAGAGATTCACGACCGCGGTCTACATCCCGACACAATCTTGTACACCGATATCATCGATAAGTATGCGAAATCCGGCGATCTTAACACGGCTATTGCACATTGGGATCTTATGGTCGACGAAGGTTTATCTCCGAACGTAACGACGTACACCGTAATGATCGATTGCCTATGCAAGGCCGGGTTATTCGAAAAGGCAGAGATTTTATCGAAACAAATGCTGATCGACGGTGTGATCCCGAATTCAACAACGTACGGATGCTTTCTCGATTGTCTCGTCAAAGACGGCCGTATCGACGAGGCTATTCGATTACATGACGCAATGCTCAACGCGGCTCTCGCGAATACAGTGACGTACAACATTTTGATAAACGGGTTTTGCAAGTCGGGCCGGGTCGAGGAAGCATTGCGGGCCCTCGACGAGATGCGGCGCGGTGGAGTAACGCCGGATTGTGTGAGTTATTCGACGATTATGTTCGAATATTGCAGGAGAGGTGATTTGCCGGCAGCTTTAAGGTTGTGGAAGACGATGGTAAGACGGGACGTTAGGCCTGACGGGATAGCTTATAATTTTATGGTGTACGTTTGTTGTGTTTCTGGGGAAGTTGGAAAGGCTCATGAATTGGTCGACGGTATGGTGAAAACTGGGCTGAAATTAACACGTGCCACACGTGCTTGTCTTCTGTGCCATGGACCTTCGGCGTTACCGTTACAGCCGTGTTGATGTAGAAGAGGGGAATAGGAATTGGATTTGAGAGTAACTTTGTATTTTTTCAGGGGTAAAATTGTAATTTTGTAAAGTTGGTAATATAATAATTTTTTGCATTAACCGGTTACAAAGAATTTTCAGGGGTAAAATTGTAATTTTGTAGGGTTGGTAATATAATAATTTTTGCATTAACCGGTTACAAAGAATGTTCTGATACTTTGGTATAGAACAAAAGCAGACCAAAGTTTATTGAGATGAGAGACGGAGAAAGTATTATATTTAAATATTGTTTTGATATTATAATTGTACAATTGAAATATTATACTCCCTCTTGTCTCTACAAGAGATGTCTTGTTGGGAAAATTAAAGAATAATAATATTTAATTGAAAGTTAATATAACGTAGAATGTAAAATATAAAATATTTTTATTTTTTTGAATAATTTTAAAAAGCAATAATTAAATATAATTTTAAAAAATAAGAATAATTTTATTTTAAAGTGAAACCACTGCTACTAAACAAGAAAACATTGAGAATTGTTTTGAGTATATACAAATTGTCTTCTCTTCACGTCAATACAAATGTTAAGAATTTCATTACTGAAAATAGATATATTTGGGACCAGAAGATTCAATGGCAGATACACACATCATATATATATAAATATACAAAGAAGACAATTTTGCATTATAAAAAATCTAAGTTGGGTGTAAATTATATATTGTGTTATATTTTATGAACATATTTACTATATTTAAATTATAATACTTCCTCCGTCCCGTTAAAAAAACACCGTTTATATTTTGCACGTAAATTTTTAAATATTAATATTATATTAATTTATAGTAAATGCAAAAATATCTCTATTAGTATAATGTGTTATAAAAAATAATTGTGTAATATATTGTAAATTATAAGAATATTTTTTATATTAAATAGATAATACAATTACTAAATTTAAAAAATATATAATTATATATATTGTAAATTATAAAGATATTTTTTTATATAAACGATGGTATCCAGAGGAAGTATATTGTATTACATGAACTTATATTATATACCGTCAAAATATGTATTATATAATAATATATTATTATGTATTGTCGGCAACATAGTGATTATATATACAGTGACTCAATCAAATCAACAACGTCAAAGCGAACACTTTACATACGATGTAGCAGCAAATGTAACAATGCCATAGACATTTCATGGATCAAAAATACATTTCTGCAACACAAAAGAAAACCAAACCAATGGCAGATAATGATCTCACACACAAGTCATGAAATAAATTCCAAACCAGAATAGAACAGAGCAGAGCACAACCAAAATAACACCAAGTTCTTACTAGATATATATATATATATATAGATAGATAGATAGATACAATATTACACATTAAGAGAGATTCAAGAATACCGGTATATCATCGATTGTTCCACTGCCCGCAAGCTATAAACATTTTGCCGAGAAGGGGTAGCTTAGCGCAGCGGGAGCTAGCTAGCTATCAATTTGCGCGGCTTTTGAAGACGTCGAGGCCCATCTCGGAAGGATCGGTCGCTTGCAGCTCAATCTGAATTCCATCCAATTCCCTCTTGAACCTGTCCTTGGAGCTCGCATAGATCATTTTGTTCCTCACTCTTGCGGTGTCGGGAGACCTTAGAACATGTAAAATGCAATATGAAAGCTATGGAAATGTGGAAAAAAAATACCGAATTAACAAATACCGTAATATTGGACCGAAAAATATACCAAAAATACCAAAATTTCGGTATACTAAAAAGTTTGGAATAGTATGATACTACACCGCGAACTTTTTTAACGAGATGTAATTTGACATTTTCCATACCAAAATACCAAAATGATTTCAAAATTCAGGTATCCTATACAATTTTGATATTTTGATGTGATAATTCAAAATATTAATACTAAAATAATTACTCCATCCGTCACAACTACAGTGTCAAAATTTAAAAAACGTATAATTAGTAAATAATTAAGAATATATTAGTGAAAATAATTATTATATAATAAAAATAACTTTAGATATTTAGATAAAAAATTTATAATGAAATTAAAGTGTAATTTTTTTCAGAAAAAATAAAGTGACAGAATATCCCTAAAGCTATGTAAAGTGAGGGGGGGGGGGGGGGGGGGGTTATTGTGATGTACACTCAGTGATGGGGGATTTTTACCATGCTATGAAGAAGATTCGGCTCTTTGGTACATTTCCTTCAGTCAGGAACTCGTAGTCGTAAACGGCATATCTGCACTCATCAGCTGGAAGGCATGCAGTGAAGTCCTCGTAAGCTTGAGCTGGCTCGCCGAGCTTTTCAACAATGACCTGTTTCTGCTTCTCCTCAATCTTGTAAACGATGAAGCGGTGTGTTCGTTTGGCTTTCAATTCCATAAACTTCAGTTTGCAATCGTCGTGCACAGCCATTCCTGATGCTGAATTAGCCTACGGTTATACAACAAAAAGAAAATCGCGATAATTAGGAGGCATTTATTTAATTAGCTGGTTATTCTAATCAATATTATTTCAAGAGTATAAGCACAAATGATTGGAGAAACTGTATAAATTTGTATCAACAAATAAATCTTAAGACGGCATAATTTTGATAATTCAAATGCAGATACACAGGAAATTGTAAAAATTTTCGTGAAATTATATGGCATACTTTGATCGGAGGAAATGAAAGCCTTCTGTCGATCTAACGGAGACTATGCTTTCTATCTTATTAAAACATTCGACAAAATATTTTGAATATAAGAGAAGTTTGAATTGGAATGTTAAGATCATAAAAATAGCTTCATGTGTGCTTGTTATGTTTTGAATCACATTAGTTGGTGTGTTTCTTTTCGAACTCTATACAGTTTTATACTATTTAAACTCCACATTTAAAAAATTTACAATTTTTGTTTCACAAAGCATCATGTCGAACATTATTTAAATAGAAAAACCCAAACTCCCAAACTCAATCCAGGCCAAAAATAAAAACACCCAATTGCTTTTACACTATCTTTAAAATTTTGGCTTCCATCAAATAAAAGATTATTGTAATTGTAAACCTACAATCCACGATGAATTTGCAGCAAAGTTTCCGACATTACCCTTAATCAAGTCCATGCAATAGAGAAACAAGGCACGTCATCGTGTAAACACAAGTATTTAAAATTGAGTCGCTATAAAGTATAAACGTCATTGCAAATTAAAGCCACGTCTTAAGAAAAGTGATGTTTGTTTTAGGGGGGGGGAGGTGGTGGGGAAGGCAATCATATGAATAGACATGAAATGCTTTTCATAAGTGGATTTCAAAGTGTTTCATTACATACTGACGATTAAGAACTAGTAGTTTAGTTACATAACAAGCAGATTGACATCTGACCAATTAGGCCAAAATCATTACTAAAGTGCAACAGCTGCAGATAGACGGACTCGGAAAATACAGCTGTAAGAATAAATTTGTAAACAGAGACGACACAACAGAACAAACATGCATATAAGACTTCGTAACTTAAGGGAAAGATCAAAGTTGGATATATACTTATATGTCCTATGGATAAACAACAAAGGGTTTGTTCTTTCAACATTTACATTATTCCCAAAAATTTAACCTATATTTTTTTAACACGATTTTCACAATTCCCCACAATATATTACAATAACTAATAACAAAAATCCCAATATACATGCTCCTAACTGTTTTCATCTCAAATATTTCCAAAATCTTTTCAGAGTAGAATCCATTCATAATCTTCTATTGCTATATCTCCTAAAAAATCTATTTTTTATAGAACTAATGTATACTAATAGTTTATATGTATAATATATATATATTTACACATTTGTATTTTTATTATATGTCCATATTTTATGTATGATTTTGAAGACACTTAAAATATACATTTTGAATTATTGTTAATCAAATATATATTACATTATAATCCAACCATTAACCTTAATTTCAACAATAACCAACAGTGGATGTGTTTGTTTGTGGATATGATTTTGGAATAGTAAAATCTTAAATTTGAAAAGTTGTTAGATGCATAGAGGTTGATGTGATATTTGAATGTCAAATTAAATTTTAATATTATATTTTACATTTTAATATAATATTAAAAAAAAAAATTATTTGATAGTATGATATTTTGGGAGAAAAAAGTAAAATCAGTCCATCAGAGCTTGAAAAAATTCAAATAAAAAACATATAGTTTTCATTTTTATATTACATTTTACGTTCAAACCAAGACATAAAATCTATTTATATTACATTAAACAAAATTTCAAATCAAAATTTTACCAATCAAAACCCAAAACTCAAAACTCCCAAGCCTACCACCAAACAAACAAGAATTTGGAATCCTTCACCATTAAAAAACCAAGCTCACAAACATTAAACTCAGTTAAGATGTATATATATATACACACACACAATTATATATGTATATATATATATCTACCATTGACAGACAGATCAACCGTTACTGGAAACAACAATCACACGCATCGGCCTAGTTTAACACTGCTAACTGATTCAGATTCCAACATAAATCATCAGCACAATATAAATCAGATCTAGCAAGCTTCCAAAAAAAAAAAATTACAAAATAAAAAATCAAATGCAGGTAAGAAAGATCAAAGGCTCTGACTCCCATCCATTAACTACCCACACTTCAAATCGAGCTCCAAGAGTCAATAGAAGATAATCAGAGTAGAAAACTAGTCGATCTCACATGAAATTTACTAGAACAGCACAAAGATAATCAACGTATAAAGGAAAGAAAGAAATGATAATTACCATGGTAGCGAGGTTTGATCGGAGAAGATCGAGGGCTTTTTCCGAGGAGAAATTCTAGGGCTGGGAACACGCGCTGTGCCTGTGCCGCTGTTTTTGCTTGCCAGATTTTTTTAGAGAGAGAGAGAGAGAGAAAACGCGTGAGAAGTGATGACTACTGCGGTGTGTTAATTTAAAAGATTCTCTTCTATTTCTATCGGTAACTATAAATTTTTATATTATGTTAAAATAATATTTTACAAATATTAAATAAACATTTATTTATATTATATTATATAATTATTTTATTTCAAATTCTTTATTATTTAAATTTTAATTCAAAATTATCAAACAAAAAAATATATAGTGTTTTAAAAAAAAATTAGTTTAAAATGACTATTAGATACAGCAAATAAATAGCTTATATAAAAATAAAATTTTATTTTTAAAATTTTTATTTTTTATAAATTTAAAAATAATATTATTTCTGTTCAAAAAACGTAAATATTTACTTTTTATATAGAATAAATAAAAATACTAGTATTTTAATTATAATTGTAGTTAAAGGTAATGTAAAGATAATTTTATCTTTGTGTTTTTTATGTAAAATAATAATGATGTGATAGTAAAATAAAGATATTTATAGAAAGAAAATATAATATTTTTTAAATAGTTATTTTGTAATTAGACAATTCAAAATAGAAATGTCTATATATATATTTCGTAAATATGAACATGGAAAACAATACTCCGTTCGTCCCAAAAGATTTGTCTTGTTTTTCCATTTTCGTCTGTCTCAAAACAATTGTCTTGTTTCCTTATTTAGTAGTCGTGGTCCCCACTTTATAACAAAATTATTCATATTTTTCCATACTACCCCTTATTATTACTCTAAGGGTGTGTTTGTTTGGGGGATTGAATTTACTTTTCACTATTCATCCAATTTTTTTCCCCAAAAACATCAAATCAAACACCAATTTTTCATTTTTTTATATTATACTAAAAATCAATTTTACATTCAAAACATCGTATCAACACCTATTTATATCACATTATACAACTATTCAAATTCAAAATTTTTACTATTCAAATCTCAATTCAAAATCCAAACCGCCAAACGTTTATACTCTTTAAAATCAACAAGGATATTTTAGTCATTTACATTCTACTTTATATCCACTTTCAATTAAATACTACTATTTCTTAATTCCCGTGCCAACGACACTTCTTTTGGGACGGAGGAAGTATTTTATTATTTAGTTGAAATATATAAAATCTGTCTCATGTGTACAAACTCCTTGTCCCTATAGAGTGGATTGATGACATGTCTTTTATGCAGATACGTGTTCTGCGTTTGGGCACATTACATATGGTATCAGAGCGGACTTTGACGGTGGTGACAATCAAAGAAAACCGTTCGAGGGTGCGCCTCTACGGGAGAGCATGATTTTGATATTTTTATTTTTGTACTTTATGTACAAATTAATTGTATATGTAATAATATGTTTGTAATATATGTAAAAATTAAATAGTATTTTGGTATAAATATACGTATAAATACATTTGAATGAGACGAACGAAAATAATAATAAAAAAAACTACTTTTAATTTAAAGGGACGGTATATATTGCATGAGTATGTATATATATATATTATAGACAAAAAAAAAAATCGTGTTAATTTTATAAACACAAAATTTTCTACAAATTATATATAATTTAAATCAATATTTATCCTATTATTTAAATGGATTTTTTTTTTCGGGTTGATTTTATTTTTCAACTCGACTACGAAGACTTCTTTGAAAGACTTTAGTATATTTGATATTCAATCTAGCTTTTTGGATGAATTTAATCTTTGATTTGATTTTTTCGACTTTTGGAAGATTTGATCTATATGTGTGTGAATTTGATCATTGGTTTTGACTTTGAATATTCCTTTTTGATTGATTTAATGATTTTGTGAAAAACGCCCTAAATTTTTGGGAAGAATTTTGAAGATTTTTTTTTATTTTATTTTTTTTTTTTAGATTCTTAACGAATTTTGAAATTTTGATTTTTTCTCTGACTTTGACATAAAAACGTTAATTTCATCGATTTATCAATCAATATTCGATTATTTGTTCAAATTGGTGATTTTTCGACGAAAAATACTTCGGAACACGTGAAGAACAATGCAGATAGTTTAGAGAGAGTTACCTCTATTCGAGGCTTCGAATTAACTCCGATGTTCAAATGAATTGACCAAAATCTCTGATTATAGGGAGGGGTAACTTCAGCTTTCTTTCCAAATGATGCCACTTGATTGCGTTGGAATTGACATATGAAAAAATTTTATAATCACTTATTTTTCGTTTGATGTTGTTTTTTATTTTTTTAAAAAATTTAATTGTGTTATCTCGTTTAAAAACTTTATATCATTTTTTAAAGATATTAATTATAATACATTTTTAATTAACGATATTCTATGTAATTTATTGCCAAAATTGCAAGGACTCTATATATCTGTATGATATTTTTTTATTATACAAAATAAAAAATATATACATTTCATATATTAATTTTATTGGGATATTAATTTTCCCAAAATATATAATATTTAATTGTATGCAAATTTATTTATTTTCAATACCTACATATATATGTCATTTTTTTTATATTCCATCGTCCAATTGTGTGCTCAAATATGTCAATATAAATTTTAATAAAAATGAATAATAATTAATTACTTTTTATTTTTATAGAAAAAATACAAAAATGTAATAGTAGTTTTTTTTTTTTGGATAAAAAAAATGTATTTTTTTAATGATAATTCAAATTTATTCTCACTCTCATCATTTAAATTTATTCTATTTTTTTAGTAAATAAATACAATTTTTTTAAGTAATTTTTTTTTTTATCTATATTTTAAAATTCGTTATCATTGGGAAGGAGACTTTTGTTTTGTTTTTATTTAAAATTAGAATGATATTGTTTTTGTGAAAATAATAAATAATAAATAATAAAATTACGAACAAAATAAAAGAAATTTTGTTTGAAAAATAAAAAAAACAAACAAACACACCTGAGTTTGTTTTTCTGTTATTTCTAAAAAAATACATTTTTTAAAAAAATAAATAATATATTATATATATTTATTATATATTTCTAAATTTTATATTTCTAATTTATAGATAAATTGATGGTTTGGTTTTTGGGTATTTGCAAGATTTATTTTTTATTGTTAAGATGTGTTTTCTCCGTTCGTCTTTAAGAGTTACTATTGGAACTTAAAATTCAGAGGTTTCAAGATCGTTCGTCGGTGTAGGTTCCGAAAATACTCCAAAGAACTTGTTCGTCGTCGGATTAGAGGCGGCTCCTTCGGTGGAGCCTGCACGACTTCGAGCCTAAACGATCGATTTCGATGTATTTAAACTAGCATCTACTAAAACTCGGATAAATCTACTAGAAAGCGGATAAAAAACATGTAATTCGAATTAAAATGCATAAAACGAAACTAAAACATGAAAAGAAAATAGAGAAAAATACGATTTCAGATCGTGTTTTGCATAATTCTTTCTTATTATATAGTATACTCAAGCTTGTTACGCACATGAAACGACTGCTCGGAGCCTCCTAGCGGATGGGGCCTAAACGGCGAATTAGAATATCATATGATAAGAACATACTTCTCAGAACCTGTCGGCATTTGGGCACATTACATATAGTATCATAGTGGACTTTGACGGTGGTGACAATCAAAGAAAACCGTTCGAGGGTGCTATGCGGGATAGCATGATTTTGATATTTTTATTTTTGTACTTTATGTACAAATTAATTGTATATGTAGTAATACGTTTGTAAGAAAATACTCCAAAGAGCTTGTTCGTTGTCGGATTAGAGGCGACTCTTTTGGTGAAGCCTGCACGGCTTCGAGCCTAAACGATCGATTTCGATGTATTTAAACTAACATCTACTGAAATTCGGATAAATCTACTGGAAAGCGAATAAAAAAACATGTAATTTGAATTAAAATGCATAAAACGAAACTAAAACATGAAAAGAAAATAGAGAAAAATACGATTTCATCTTCTTGTGCGTGTGTGTGATGTGTTTTTCCGTATTTTTAATCCTAAAATAGAATAACCGCATCTTCCCATTAAAAGAGGCAATTTCAATTATTCCTCACCACTCTCAATCGTCTGGTAACCTCATTCCATCATCTTCCAACCACATGGTAACCTCCTTCCGTCAACCACCTAGTAAACTCCTTCCATCAACCATCTGGTAACCTCATTCCATCAACCACCTGCCAACTTCCTTCTATTAGCTCACAACCGCTTTCATTACCTCTGGACCGAGTTCCACTTGCTCTAAACTTCTTCCACTGCCTCTAGACCAGATATGTCGCTTACTCCGACGTGTTTCCATCGTACTCCTAGCTAGTCAACGAGGATGTGTCTTCAACAGCCTCGAGTACATGGAATCTTCAGTTTTTCTCTTATCGACTTGTTCCATTGAGTTTTTAGAATAAAATATGAAAGTGAATAGGCCCTCCACTAATGTACAGTATGAAATTATTAACCCAGGGCCAATTGAGGTAGTTATCCTATTATTTGTGGAAGCTGTTGCTTTCTATCTTGTGGAGACAACCTTCATCTGCTTTGTGGAAATACCGCAGTCCAATGGAAGTAGTTGTTTTCAACCCAATTGAGACAGCAATTTCTGACCTTATGGAAACATTGTTCCGGGATGGAGGCGCCATAGTCCGAGGAGTTGCTGCCCTAAGGTCCATGAAGACTGTTGCTTTTCGACCCTGTGGAAGCACCACAATTCAATAGAAATTGTTGTCTTCGGCTCTGTGGAGGCAGGAGTCTTTGGCTCCAAAGCATGAAGTTCCATTGCTGTTCAGCGGCTCCGTGGCCAAGGAGCTCTGGCTCCACTTTTGTCTTTGAGTCTCCTTCATGTTCAGGTGCTTTTGGACTCATGTCCAACAGTTACATTTTCATTTTGTGTCGTTATGCTTAACATAAAAAAAGAATATCCTTAAATTCGTATATATTTTTTTTACAAATATCATTCATCATATAAGTATTATAAAACAAGTGTTTTTGTCATTTTTCACTTATTTGCTCTATATTTTTTTATATAATAATTAATATTCAAATATCAACGCACAAAAAGTAAATGTGGTCTTAGAGTCGGATAGAGGTAGTATTATATTTGTTGGTATTTATAAAAATTATTTGAAGAGTATTTTGGTTAATTATTTTGATTTTTGATCGTACTAATAATTTTTTTGGTTATAGTTCAAAATAAAAAATTAAAATGAAGGTGTTAATTTAAAATTTTATTTGAACAGTATTTTTATATAATATTTTATAGAAAATAATATATTTTAATTAGTAATCATATATGGTGGATAAAGTCGTCTTTAATTTGAAAAAAAAATGCAATTAATGATAAAAAAAAATTAGATTGAACAATTTTGATTAATTTAATAAAGATATATTTATTCCGTCCGTCAAATTTATTCTGTATATGAAATTAAGTATTTAATATTAAAAAATATTATTATATTTATATAATTTGTTTTTACAAATATTTTTCTATTAGTATTATACTAATATAAATATTTTTATTCTTTTCTTTTTAATTTGAATTATATTTTGATATAATAATTAATATTTAAAAATTCAACACGTAAAGAATAAATATAACCCAGACAATGATAATATATATTTTGATAAAATAAAAAAAAATTAAAAAAAAAAAAAAGGAGGAAAACAAAAACGATGTCAAAAAGTTTGTAGGTCTGATTGGGTTATGAAGCCATCTTTTATAATGATTGTTGTAAGTGGATGAAACAATTATTGTTGTTTATTGATGATTAATGGTCCAATTCTTTGCTGTATACTCTTCCTGTTGCCTTTCATTATTCCAAGGAATGAAATATTTGCCTTTCAAAAAGCATAGTCAAAATTCAAAATCATGATCGAAGCATACGTAGAAAATTGATATCCACAAAACAAACAAACCACAATTCAAGAATACATTTCCAAAATATAATTTCCCAAATCGATGATTGTGTACCCGCCACAACAATCCATCCAAACCACAGAAACTTCGATCGAAAATAATGCGATTCGATCGAAAGAGACGACGAAAACCAATCGAATACTACACAGATATAAAAGCTTCAACAACAGATGAATATCAATCAATCATACCAAATAGTCGATCGAGTACCATAGTTTCAACAAGCTACCCAAAGTAATTCTCAAACAAAGGCAGCAAGCTAACCTCGAGATTTTTATTTTTAATTTGCGCGGCTTTTGAAGACGTCGAGACCCATCTCAGATGGATCCGTCGCCTGCAACTCCACCTGGATACCGTCTAGTTCCCTCTTGAACCTGTCCTTGGAGCTCGCATAGATCATCTTGCTCCTCACCCTTGCAGTGTCGGGAGACCTTAAAAGAAACGAGGAATTTTTTCAAATTTTCAAAAAATGTACGGCTCGGTTAAAACAAAAATGTTAGAAAGGGCCCGACTAAGAATGGAAAAGATACCAAGCAATGAAAAAGATCCTGCTTTTAGGGACATTCTCCTCTGTCATGAAATCAAAGTCGTAAACAGCATATCGGCATTCTTCAGCAGGAAGATTGGAAGTGAAATCCTCGTAAGAATCGGCAGGTTCGCCGAGTTTCTCCACGATGACCTCCTTTTGCTTCTCCTCGATCTTGAATATAATGAAGCGATGCGTTCGTTTAGTTTTCAACTCCATAAACTTCAGCTTGCACTCGTCGTGCACCGCCATTCCTGATGCTGCATTAGCCTGTGAACCAGAATAAATGTTGTGATCTACATAAATGGCGATAAATAACAATTGTTGAGGTAAAATTTATCACGTCATGCCGGTTAACATCAGATATCTATCCAAATTATATTAGCAACGAGATCACGGAGTATCATTGGCAACTGCATAGCTAAATTTAGTCTGAGAACTACAAGACCAAGAAAGTACATCTGCATTTGTGTACCTTCATCTCGGAGACAATGTGGCATTCGTTTGCGAAAAGCACAGGATATGCTTTCCCAAGGTAGTTGTATTTCAAAGTTAGAACATATCTCGAATGGAAAATTTGCCAAATATATGTTTAACTGATATGTTAAGTTCAAATTAATCGAGAAACAGAAAATATGATGATATATCTTTAATAAATGGATAATATTGCATTCCATATTAGGAAGATTGAAATCGTGATTAACAGCTACTACTCCAAAATACTCTGTATGCCGATTATGAAGATTTGTTAGTTTGATTGCCACAACCTTTGTATTTTCTTCGACTAAAGATACAATCAAGGAACGCAAAGAATTTTTAGACAGTGAAATGCACTGACATTTGAATAAATTGGATTTTGAGGTTACAATCACAAGAATAATTCCAAACAGCTCGAAGACACCAGGTTGACTCTAACGACAAAAGAAGAAAAAACAAAAATATCTAACAATTGTTTCAACAAATTTTCAAAATTCAAGTATATCATAGAAGACAGACTCGAACAACGAGACTCGACAAGTAATCCAAAAGTAAATCGCATTAACGTAAAAAAATCAGTTCGATTAATAAATCACTAAAATCAAACCTATATTATGAACAAACCAACCAAGCACCTGGAAATCTCACGTAATGAGAATCAAATTTCTCAAAAAACAATACAACAGTAAATCAAACCACAACAAACATTTCCGATACGCATATATAGTCACGCAGCGGAACCATTCAAGATCGGCCTAAAATCAGTATCTATCAATCCAGCCAAACGCCAATTTCCAATACAAAACTCTAAAAAAACGATCAGAACTACACAAAATCAGATCTAAAAACTTGAGAAAACGGACAATAGAACCAAAATTCAGCTACTAAAGAAGCAGTGCCATCCAATTTACAATATAAATAAGATTCTGAATCCGACAATTTTTATCTTCCCCTAACAAAGCACAACAAAAGGAATCTCTACCATGGTAGCGCGGTTTGATCGGAGACGATCGAGGAGATTTGGACTGCAATCCCGCCGAGAAGGAGAGAATTTAGGGCTGAGAATGAGAAAAGGAAACGCACACGTACAACTTTGAGCGATTTGAGTCAAATGGGTTGCGTTGGACTGAAGCGCGAATATATGTAATATGGGTTGTAAAGGTGAAGTAAAATGAAATGTCAAATATACCCCTCACACGCCAATACGTAGTCTAGGGTGTAAAGGGCATTCGTATTAGTTACGGAAATGATTGAAAACGGTGGGTGTAATAATAATGGGAATGTTTACTCGACAGAATTATTTTGACATATTTTTTTAATTAATACTCCGTATCATTATCTTAAATTTATTAATATTAAATATAGTTCATAAATATAAATTAATTTAATTAAAATTTTAATATTTATAAATAAATTTACTTTATTTATTTTAAATTAATTTAATTAAATTTTAGCTCTGGATGAGGCCACTCAATTTTTTTTATATATTTTATTTTAATAAATAAATATTTTTATTTTTATTTAAAAATTTTATTTTTATATAAAATTAAATTATGTAAATTATAAATAAAACTATAAATATATATTTTATATTTCTTTAAATGATATAATAATTTTAATTTTAAAAATATCAGCAATATCATCACATAAAAAATAATATAAAAATTTATTATATTAACTTATTAAACTATATTTTCTTAAATATAGTATCACCGATCAAAGCGTTAACTATTATAGTTATTATAAAATACAATATACTTGTCTCGTCTGAATTTTTAATATCATATTGTCCTTATAAAAAATTAAAAATAATAATAATATTTTATTATAAAAAATAAAATATATAAAAAAATAATTAGGAGTATTGTGATAAATTTATTATGAAAAAAAAATACCATAATTATTCCAAACGAAAAGTATATAATATATTTATAAAATAATAAAATAAACACACTTTTACAGAGTATTATTTATAATAATGAAAATAATATATAAATGAGCACATTCTAAGGTGTGTTTGGATTAGAATTATTGGTATTGTATAACAAAAAATTTAGAATACCTCACTCTCGTACCAAAATTATAGTATCGAAAATTTGAATATATATGATCAGCAGAATATTTGAAATTGTATATTGATACCATATCAAAAATGTCGAAACACTAAGATTGTGTGTTTTTGTGGGTTTTAACTTTTAACACATATTCTTTCTTTCCTTAAAAAGAAATATCAAATTAAATAATTATTTATTTTCTTCATGTTAAATTATTAATTTATTTTACATTAAAATCACGTCAACGTCTATTTATATCGAATCAAATAACTATTCAAATTCAATTTTTTTACTATTCATAACTCCAAATCCACAGACAAACACACCCCAAATATTCGGGTAAATACAATATTTCTTGGTACTACAAGTTTTGTATATCAAAGTTTATCCAAATTATAGCTATGTACAATTTGACACTAATCAAGCATTGCATTGCTTCATCGCCAACTTTGCATAAATTGTTAAAAATATACATAATTAATTAGTTCCATAAAAATTTAAAATAAATCAAAATATTGAACTAAAGAGCTTTAACACATCCTTAACAACTTCTTTCTCTCTCATGGTCTAATTCCCAAAACTTTTATACTAATCAAATTCAAAATTTCGACATACTCTAAAAGTAACTACATTTTCAAAATTAGTTGCATTTCAATTTATTAGTATTTTTTACTATTCAATCCCTCGGGATTTTTCAATAACATCAAATCCAACAACTATTTCACCTGAAAAATATAGTACAACAAAAAACACAAAAAATAACACCAAAAGAACACACTAATGTGTTGCTAGTCGAGTCTTGAAATACTTCACATCAAAATTTCCTTTTCTGCAACCGATTGCCGAATAGAATTCTTTTGAACATATACTAACCAAAATCGAACTTTTGTGTTCTTTAGGATACAATAGACAATGCTAGACCCGATCGAGTTGCTTTTCCTTCCTCTGGGCACGGCGTACGCGAATCGTCCTACCTTCCAAAGCCTACCATAAAAAAGCCAAAATTATTGTAAGACTATATAATATGTAATTAAAAATGTATTCAGAATGTGAAGTCCCGTATTTGAGTCCCCACTGTGTTGGATTAAAAATCCAATTATGGGTTAAATGTAACTATTTGGGCCATCAAGTTAGATTAAGCCTATATTAAGTGATATATTAATGTATTGGGCTTAAACGTGTTTAGTAAGTATGGGCCTCCAATATACTGAAATCCGGTAACTTATTAATTGGGTGATGAGGTCAATTAATAACAAGCAATATAAATAGGGTTGTGATCCCAGGTCTACACGCAACAACCATTACGTTCCATATCTCATCGTGGGAGTAACAACAGAAACCCTAGCGGTTTTCTCAGGAAGGGTTGAGCCATAGGCTTGAAGAACACAAAACTTTCTATCAATTTGCAGATCTGAATCCGACTATGATGAGGAATAAGGTTAGATTTATTTCGCTTTATTCTTAGCTCAATTATTACAACACGGTGGATCCTGGGGCCTAGGGTTAAATTCTGATGAGTTCCAACACACTGCGCTCTTTAGTGAAAAATCTCCACGTGCGACTTTAAATTCTTAGATGCAATGATCATTTAATAAAAACAAAATAACAGTTACAATGGTTATGTGATGTACAATGCAATATATATTTACACACATACCTGACCATCCATTTTTTCCATTGCTTCACTTGCGGCCTCCTCGGAAGAATAATGCACGAATCCGTATCCTCTTGATTTTCCGCTGGCCCGATCACATATTACTTTAGCTGATATGGATATGAACAAGCCATCTTAATCCCAATACATAATATATATATATATATATATAAATGTTCGATTCACGAAAAAAAAAAAAAAAAATAAAAGTGTCGAATTTTGATGAAGCTATATAGTCTAGTTCCCACCTTCAATTACTTCACCATGTTCCTTGAAAGCATCCTTGAGAACAACTTCATTTGTATCAAAAGAAAGCCCTTTGGATACACAAAGCTACCGTAATTAGTCGGTCGAAAAATAACATGAAATTTTGAAATGTACACTTAATTATCTACTGTGAAATGTGAATCCATGGAATACAAATGAAATGACTTCCAAGACCATGATTTTTTAAAAATATTATTAAAAAAATATAATATATAATATACAATATGAACAAAATAATAAAAAATTAACAAAAACACATCAAATATATTTTCTATAATACTTTCACAGTTACTAGTGCCACACAACAAACAAGCAAAATTCAACAAAATTATACAAAACATCATTTCCAAAAATATTTTTGCAATTTCTTGTACCTCATAAAAAAAAAACATCTAAATATATAAACACTAAACAAACATGACTAACTAAATATATATACAAAAGCACTTAAAACATCATCTCCAATAATATTTCACCATTACTCATACTCCATAACAAAAAACATCAAAATCTATAAATACTAAACAAGCACAATCAATATATATATATATATATGCATATACACATATAAGTGTGTGAATTCTTCTACATGGGAGGCTAAGAAGTGTGTTTTTTTCATTGGGACATTTCGTCGAACAGATTGCGTGCGTTAAGTTAGGTATTTTAAAGACACATAACAAGCAAAGAGAGGGAGACCTCCGACGAACAAATTAGAGTGGGAACGCCGCCATAAGAGCATTGAACTGTGGAGTGGAGTTGTAATGGCGGAAGGTAGTCTGCTGGAGCAATACATCCCTGAAGAATCTTCAACCCGGCACAGAAAAATCAAAGCTGTTAGGATTTTAGTTACTATGATGCAGCAACAATTGGGAAATCGAAAACCGTCATAGAGAATAGGTATCAAATGATGCTGATTGAGTTCTACTCGGGAATACCACAGGCAATCGAATTGCGAACTCGTATTATGATCGTATTAAAATTGGCTCCGTTGGCTTGGATTTTGTACGGTACATTTTTAAAATGAAAAACTTGTTGAATATAAATACAAAGGATGTGTTTCTTGAGGCAATGTTTGGTTCGAGTTACGGTAATTTTTTATTTTTCATTAATGACGTGGAATCCAGCCGTTCCCCAAAAGTGCGCATTGGATAAACCTCAAGTCGAATCTAATACCCTGCAAGTTAGGCCCGATGAGAAAGTCACACTAGGCACCTGAAACGTCGGGGATTTGAACTCAGACCCGATGAGAAAGTCACATTAGGCACCTGAAACGTCGGGGGTTTGAACTCATGACCTCACGGTCACAATATAATTTAAGTATGAATATATATATATATATTTATCTGTATTATAAAAAAAAATTATTAGAATTAGTCTACTGCGTTCACAATATAATTTAAGTATGAATATATATATATATTTGTATTATAAAAATATTTATTGGAATTAGTTCACTTCTTGGGCACTCAATTTAAAAGATATCGTGTCATGTAGTTAATTAGTTAATATAATAAAATGTTATACACCTTCAATCTCACCAAATTAGTTAGCTTTTTTTTATACTAGAAAATTATTATCAGTTTTTTTTTTTTAAAAAAAAACAGACTATACGTGTTCTTATATTATAAATATAATATTAAAAAAATACTAATATTTTATCAGAATAAATATGTATTACAATTATCTCTATTTTTAATTATAAATACATTATTATCGTGTCATTCCGGTGAAGATAAACTAGATATTTATATTTATTTTTAATTTTAATTTTTAAATTTCAAATATTTTTTGCAAAAATCGTAAATTTGGATCTTGATTTTATATATATGTTTATTTTATGTAAAAAATATATGATTAATAACAAATATAAATTAAAATAATTTGATATACTTAATGATAATAAAATAAAAAATATTAATATACAAAAATAGTATCATGTAAAAATATTTTTATGTTATTAATAATTATAAAAAAAATATTTATTAAATAATATTAGATGAATTTTCAATCAAATATGAAACTTAAAATTTTCCGCATTTTGACAAGGAAGACGAAAATTCACAAATAACGAAAACTAATGTATGCAAAAATAAATATTGCTAATACTATGTAAAAAATGAGACCCTAATATAATAGATATAAAAATGATGAAAATGAAGATAATAATAATAGTTTATTTTTTAAAATTAAAATTTATTTACATTTTTATTTTAATCATTTGAATTTTTTTTAAAAAAATATCTACTTGTGTGTTTTATATAAATTTATATAATTATTATATAAATCAATAAAAAAATATTTTACAATCTTATCAAATTCATATAAATTCATAAGTAATCAATGAAAATTCATCTAAATCAATTAATAAAATTCACTGAACTGTGCATGGACTCTGTAGATTTAGAAAATCCATACAAATTCTAGATTTTTTAAAAATCCAATAAAATCCTATAAAATATTAAATGAATACACCCCCTAATTTTACAAAAGATGAAAAATTTTAAATAGTATAGACAAAAAAGGAAAAAATGTCACGGGGACGGAGGGAGTATTATGCCATAAAAACATTTGCAACGATATATTCAATTTATATAAAATAAATATTGTTTATTTATGGGTTTGAATTTTTTAATAATAAAAATTTAAAGTTGAATAGTTGTATGATATAATATAAATAAATTTGTTATGCTATTTTGAATGTAAAATCAATTTACAGTATAATAAAAAAAAGAAAAATAACACTACCAAAACTTCTTTAACTAGCCTCGAAAAATTTGTCTCGAAATTTAAAAGGGTTCCGAGGCAAATTAATTTTGGCTTCGGATTTTGTTTCGAAATTACACTCGAAGAGAAAAACTCGTTGCCATTTTTATTGCTTCGGAATTTCCGAAGCAATTTTGAAAAGCTTCAAAATTTCCGAAGCATCGGTTGGTTTAATAGTCTTCGAACTTCCGAAGCAATTTCCGAGACTATTAAGCCCACGCTCCAGTAATATATTGAATTTTAAATATATTTATATTTCAAATTGTTTCAAAATTTTCGAGGCAAATATTCTTTTATTTTTAAAAATGTAAATATATAATTATACTATGTACGTTCCTCCGCCGCTGCCCGCCGCCGGAGAATGAAATGAAGGAGGAGGCGGAAGCTCCGTTATTAGAGAAATTTTTTTGGTAAATAGTAAAATTTTGGATAAAATCTTTCAAAATAATATACTCAATAAATATTTATATTAATTAATTATATTATGATTACTATTGATTTTGTCTATTTTAACTATATCAACTATTTTAAATTCAAAATAACTTTTTATAAAAAAAAATTAAAAAATAAAATAAAATTTTAGACTAAAACAGAAATGTACACGGCCGTATATAATTGTATATGACCATGCATGTATAATTATACACTCAAATATACATGACTGTGTAACAACATAGTTGTGTATAATTGTATATTGTCGTGTACTTTTCACGTCACCTCCGTTATGTCCACGTCAGCAATTTCTGTTAATTTTTTAACGATGGAATCAAAATTGATTGAAATTATTTACGATGAAACCAAAATTAATCGAAACTGTTATAATATAACTAAAATTAATAAATTTTTTATATTGGTACAAAAATTAATTTTTTTTTTCAAAAATAAATGCATGTATTTGAACCTGACAGCAGGAGTATTAATTACATCTACTACTGGGTCTGACGCTTAACCTGCAAGGCTATTTTAAATGAGAGCCCAATTGTGAAGTTAATACATATATACATATATATATATATATATATTTTTTTTATAATATGAAAATTCGAACTCTCTATTCTTTTAGGTGTGTTCTTCATAAATTTTTGTTGGAATATAATAATATTTAAATTAAGTTCAATAATACAAGTGATAAGCAAATTATGTATGACAAACAAATTTAAAAAATTCACATTGTATTGAAATTTTTATCCATTTACAAATAAAAATAAAAGGTGTTTGGTGTTATAATTTTTTTTTAAAAGTTTTTCATATAAAATTTATTATTTATTTATTTATATTGTTTAATATAAAATCCTTATATATATTAATATTTTCAAATATTTTTAAATTTAATTATATGTTATACTGAATTATAAAAGTAACACAATATTCACAGTAAATATTATAAAGATATACTTCCTCCATCCCAGAAGAAATGTCTTGTTGGGAATTGCCATGAAAATTAAGGAATAATAGTATTTAATTGAAAGTGAATATAAAGTAGGATATAAAAAACTATAATGCCCTTGCTTTTTTAAGGATTTTAAAAAATAGATTAGAGTAATAATGATGGGTAATTTGAAAAAGTATGAATAATTTTGTTATAAAATAGGGACCACGTTTACTAAATAAGAAAACAACACAATTGTTTTGGGACGGACGAAAATAAAAAAATATGACAAGTCTTTTGAGACGGAGAGAATATGACATAATATAAGAATTCATCATACTATAATATAACGCAATATAAACTTTTATTTAGAGCATATTGTATGTATATATTCAGTAAAATAATGATTATAGTAATATTATTTACTATTTAAGCATATTTTGTAAATTTTCAAATAAAATCTTTAATTGATTTTTATTTTTTTTTTATTTAAATAAAAGTATGCGATGTTTTATGAAATTAAAATAAATTATAAAAAATTAGATAGTATAGAAAATAAAAAATAAAATTTGACAAATAAATATGGATGTGCTTGCCTATGATATTTTGATTTTAGTTTTACTATTCTAAAATTTTTTTTCCAAAAAATATAAAATATAAAATGACACACCATTTTTTCTTTTATTATATTATAGTACTAAAAATTATTTTTATATTCAAAATATCATATAAATACATATTTATATTATATCAAATAATTATTACAATCTAATAGTTTATTTTTCAAAACCAAAATCCCATATAAATAAACACATTAGTTTTTTTTCACTTTCTCTCTCTCTCTTTTTTTTTTTTTTTAACAATGAATTCGGGAAGACTTGAGACACAACCCAAATTCGACCCATTATATTGAATTTGGTCTAATTATTCGGATATTTTGTTAAATATAAATATGATGTTATATACTTTTTTCGTTTTAGAATTATAATTTTAATTGGGTTGGACATGAGATTTAATAAATATTGATATTATATGTGTATATGGTAAAATGTATGGATAAAAGACTTGTTTGCCCTTGTGAGTGTATTAGTGTAAAAAGCAGTGACAATTGTGTAATAAAAATGAAAAAATAAGAGTAATTTTATGGTGATACGGTTATTTATGAAAATAAAACTATTGTTTTGGGACATACAAAAATGGTAAACAAGACTGTTGTATTGGGACGAAGGGAGCACCATAATTGACTTGGATCAATTCTTGGATTCAATGGTGAATCCGGACTCGATTTGAACCCGTTTAATATATTAATAATACTCTCTCAATCCCATAATAAATTATCCATTTTTTTCATTTTAGTCCGTCACATAACAAAGTATTTATTTCATTTTTTAGTAACTCTACTATCTACCTAACATTACAAATACCCTTACAATTTAATATATATTACAAAAATATCATTATCTTTATATCACTCAATACTAATAAGGTTATTTTAGTAATTTATACTTTATTTATATTAAATCCAAATATAATATTAATATTTCTAAAACTTCATGCAAAATGAAATAAATACCTAATTATTAGACGAAGAAAGTATAAAAAATATATTTAAATTTAACAATATACTTATATTAAAAGTATTTTTTTTATTTGATTTATTTATTTATTATAGTTTTATTATAATTTTTTTAATAAAATATTTTATTTTGATACTTCGAGCATGTCTTATCAAGTAAAGTCTAACCTATGTATATTCATATCCAGTCGGATCTGATCCATATCCAATTCATTGTTATTCCAACTAGTATTTATATACTTCTTTCGTTAACAGTAGTCTTATTTATTACTTTTGTTTATCTCAAAACAATAGTTTCATTCCCATAAACAATCATATCACAGTAAAATTATATTTATTTTTTCATTATTATTACACAATTGCCACTAGTTTTTACATTAATATACTCACAATGACAAAAAAAATCATTTATTCTTATATTTTACGTCCTACCAATATAATTGTTGATGTAATTTTTCAACAAAAATAAAGTAAAATTCAAAAGATATAGAAAATATCCTTAAACTTGATTAATTAGTGCCTGAGATTAGGAATCTCTAAACACTGTATGGTATAGAAAATAAACTGGAAAATAAAAGACTGAAATTTAAAGTGGTGATCCCCAAATCTGACTTTGCTTTGTTGAAGTTGATTGAAGATGCCTTGCCAAATGATGATCCAAATCCTTAAATATTCTTTGAAAAAAACGTTCAGAACCGTCGTCTGGTCAGTTACCATAACCGTTGTTAACCGCCCCAAAAGTTCTCTTCTATTGACACGTGTGTCAACCGTTCTACTACGTCGGACCTTCAAAAAACCGTTCGCCAGTTGCAACTTCCTCTAACCGCCCCAGAACTGCTCTCTCACCCGACCTGCACATGCTACTTCACTTGGTCCGAACTTCGTATCACGTCCTGACCTCAATGCCCGACCTGCTTCTTCGCCCGACATCATTTGGGCCGACCTCCGCATCAGCCGCCCTCCGTCTTTGACCGACTTTAATTGGTCCGACCATGGACCAACCAAATGTGGTCCCGACCACGGACCAACCGACCGGCTCTATTTGCCTTATCTCTTTAGAAGGACAGACTGTCCTCTGGACAGACTTCCGCATCTGTCCGTACCTCTTCCTTGCCCGACCTTTCTCTTGACAAATCTTCGCGTCTGCCCGACTTCGTCTTTCACCCGATCTACGGTTTACCCGACTTGGGTACACCTTTTTTCAGACTCCGCCCGACCTTTCTTCCTTCCCGATCCTTGCATCTGTCCGATTGCACCCTACTTCTGGGTCATTTAACTTATATCCAGACCCGTCCAGAATCCCACTGCCATTATTTATTTTTATTATTTTTTGTGCTTAACAATAATATTAATATTACTTAAATCTCGTCTCCAGCACAATAGAACTATATTTTTTGGACGGAGGAAGTATTTTTTTCAAATAAAAACATAATGTAAAAAGCAATCTATTTATCAAATTTGAATTCTCGGGCAAAAGATGAACCTATTTTTATTTATCAATTCCTATTATTTCGGTGACAAACAATACCCCAAGGTGCGTTTGTTTGGACAATTTCTCCTAATTTTTACTATTTATTATTATTATTTTTAAAATATCAAATCAAATATTTAATTTTTAATTTTTTTATATTACATTAAAAGTTATTTTTACATTCAAAATATCACATCAACCCTTATTTATATTACATCATACAACTATTTCAATTTAAAATTCTTATTATTCAAATATCAACTCCAAAATTCAAACTAAAAAACAAACACATCCTAAAAAAATCATATCGGTCTTTTATTTATTTATTTATTTATTTTACTATTTTGACTATGAATTTATTATAAAAATAGTTCATTTGTCCTTTAATATTTTTATTTATCTCATTTTAAAGTATTCAATTTTTTATTTTTTTTAAAAATTAATCATACTTTAATGCCAAAATATCTTTAATTTTTACTTAAATTACAAATTTACTATTAAACATACAATTACTTTATACATGAAATCAAAGTGCAGCACCAACCAATAAAATATTATTAACTTTTAATTTATTACAAAATCCTAAAAGCAGCACCAACCAATAAAATATTATTAACTTTTAATTTATTACAAAATCCTAAAAGCCCTATTGAATTGGAACGAAGGGAGGAAGGGAGGGAGGAGTACATTTTTTTTTTTCTTTCACAAAATATTTTAACACCAAACTTAACTAAGAATATATTATTTTTTTATATAGTTTAAAATTTTTTAACTTGAGTTTAATATTAAAATAATGTATAATAAAATATTTTGTGAGAAAATTTTTTTTTGACAAACACAAAATCATTTTTCTCAAACAAACAAAAAAAAAGAAAAGAAATACACGTAATAAAATAATAATAATATGAAAAATCTAAGCCCACCGACCTAAATAAATACGGCAAAATATAAGAGGAGCAGTAGTGGACAGTGTGGGTGGGTTCAGTCGTAGCAAAAGCAAACGCATTCAGAAACGCTTCTGCCATGGACACCGAAAACCCCCGCCACAACTCCGTCCTCGTGCCCTACGTCCGCCGCCGCCGCCGTCTCATGGTGGTGCCGTCCCCCGCCCCCTCCTCCCCCTCCCCTACCCCTTCCCCTCACCCTTCCCCTTCACCCTCACCCTCCCCTTCCCCCTCCCGCTCCCTCTCTCTCTCCCCCTCTCGGTTCAGCGTCCCCCGCGGCTGGGGAGTCAAGGAGGTGCCCCGCCGGAATAGCTCTCACTGCGATAGGGTATGTCCGCCGAACGAATTTTTTCTTCAATTGTTTATGTTTTTCGGTAATTGAAAATCTGGATTTCAGATAATGCCCCTGTGCTCCCAATTTTGATTGATGCTCGGAGTCAAATTGATGTTTCGATTCCTTTTTTATTGTGTGTGTGTTTTTGCAGTATTATTATGAGCCTGGAACGGGGAGGAAATTCAGGTCGATTAGAGAAGTTCAGAGGTATCTGAAGGGGGGAGAATTCCCTTGTCGATCATCGTCCAGGCAGTTGACGATACGGAACAGGGTTGAGTGCTTCTTCTATTAATTAATGATTTGTTTCTGTTTCTAGTGATTTCAATTTTAGATCTGCTTTTGATTCGCTCATAAGTTAATTTTTGTTATGATTCCTGCAGAGCTCTGGTTATGAGAGAAAATTCCTCTCTCTTCGGAAGGTATTCTTTTCTTCCTATGTTCTGTTGAAAATTTGCCTTTGTTGCTTTGGTAATCATAACCCTAGGAAATACTTTAGTTGATTAGAAGTTTCTGCAGTTGATATGCATACATTTATATACATCAATATGTGTGTCTGTGGGCTGGATGCATTTGCAATTTGCTGATTATGATTGGTTAATGAAAGCGTCTGATTTGTCTGCTATTCATGTCGACAGGCTCCGCGAAAGTTGGTTGTTTCTGATGGAAAGGTTAGCTTTTAGTTCTACTTGTCTTTTGCTTGAGATTTACTTTGCTTTTCTTTACTTTGGTGTAATTTGTATGATAAGAGTTGGGGACAATGTTCTTCTGAATTTCAGTTTGTCCTGCGATAAATCTTCCGGCGATTTGTCGTATGCAATTTGATTGGTCTAGATGTAATTCGAAAAGATCAAAGAGGCATAAGCTGCCATGATTTCTTTTCCGAATCTGCTGGCGATTTATTGTTATGTTGGAATTATAACGGTAACCGTCTTATGAATTTGATCGGTATAGATGTAATTCGAAAAGATCAAAGAGGCATAAGCTGCCATGATTTTTATAACGAATATGCAGGCTATTTATTGTTACAATGGAGTTATAACGGTAATTGTCTTATGGAATTTGATTGCTATAGATGTAATTCGAAAAGATCAAAGAGGCATAAGCTGCCATGATTTTTATTCCGAATCTGCAGGCTATTTATTGTTACGATGGAGTTATAACGGTAATTGTCTTATGGAATGGAATAATATCAGTAATTGTCTTATGGAATTTGATTGGCATAGATGTGATTCGAAAAGATCAAAGAGGCATAAGCTGCCATGATTTTTATTCTGAATCTGCTGGCGATTTCTTGTTATGATGGAATTATAACGGTAACCGTTTTATGAATTTGATCGGTATAGATGTAATTTAAAAAAATCAAAGAGGCATAAGCTGCCATGATTTTTATTCTTAATCTGCAGTCTATTTATTGTTATGATGGAGTTATAACGGTAATTGTCTTATGGAATTTGATTGGTATAGATGTAATTCAAAAAGATCAAAGAGGCATAAGCTGCCATGAATTTTATTCCGAATCTGCCTGCGATTTATTGTTAGGATAGAGTTATAACGGTAACCGTCTTATGGAATTTGATTGGTATAGATGAAATTCGGAAAGATCAAAGAGGCAAAGCTGCCATGATTTTTATTCCTAATCTGCAGGCTATTTATTGTTATAATGGAATTATAACGGTAACTGTCGATTGGTATAGAAGTATTTCTAAAAGATCAAAGAGGCATAAGCCATGATTATTTTTCCGAATCTGCAGGCGATTTTATTGTTATGATTGACTTATAACGGTAACTGTCTTATGGAATTTGGTATAGATGTAATTCAAAAAGATCAAAGCGGCATTAGCTACCATGATTTTTATTCCAAATCTGCCAGCGATTTATTGTTATAATAGAATTATAACGGTAACCATCTTATGGACTTTGATCGGTATAGATGTCATTCAAAAAGATCAAAGAGGCCTAAGCTACCATGATTTTTATTTCGAATGGATCTATAGATGTGTTAATATGGTTAAGCATGGATAGTTTAATCTAGATTCATTTTATAGTTGGGGTTTGAATTTGTGTTCTGTTTCAGACTGTGTTTCTCTTCTTCTCAATATTATTGATTTTGACAAATTGCTGCTATGTGTCCGTGGCCCTTTGCTCGTTTTGTAGTTTTGGTTGCTGTCAAAACTTATGTGAGATATAAATATTTTTTAGGTTTCGAAATGTGTTTCTTTAATCCATTAAATGTTGTTGATAAAATTGTTGCCACAGCTGTTGCATTTGGACGGCGAACAAAGCCGTTCGGAGGATCGTAATGCACCATACGTTCTTCCAGATGGTTGGATCGTGGAAGAGGTGCCCCGCAGACGGTCCAGCTTCATCGACAGGGTAATTCCGATCTTTACGATATCTTCTTCCTTTTCTGCTCCATGTTTTTAATTCCTTTCAAGCCAATCTTACCTTTTATGCATCAGTTTTCATCATGGTAATTTTTATTATTTTTTTTCAATTGAGAAAAGGACAAAAATCTTCGGATATCTTAATTGTACAATTTTCGGGCACTCAATAACCAATGTAAGTGCAAATTACCTTCCTTTGCAGTATTACTACGAACCCGGGACTGGACAGAAGTTTCGGTCTCTGGCTGCCGTCGAGAGGCACCTGGTGGAGATGGACGAGGACAATGTCCCGTTATCGAAAACCTTGGAAGACATCAAGGAAAACAAGCCCCTGGCGAAGATATTTAAGCTCGAAAGCCGGTCCAAGGTTCGCGGCTAAATTAGCGATTTCTTACATTTTTGTAGATCAAAAAAAATCTAAAATGTGCACTCGTCTTTCACATTTCCTAGAGCTCGGTTCTGCGGAATAAAAATCTATTCGGAGAGAAAAAGCAGGCTCCGTTGTTCAGTGAGCCCCCGAGTAAAGTCAGCTGGATCATCTCGAGCGCGCAAGGAGACGCGTGGAACCCGTACGTCACCGAGACGTTGGTTTCCGACGCGATCAAGCAGCAGTGGAAGGACAGATTCATGCTGCTGATGAACGAAGAGACCAGCGACATCCCGAGCTCTTGACTGGATTGAGGTAATGATGCTAGAAAATCGAAGTAAGTTTCCTCGGGTCATTCCCAATGCTGTCGTGTACTGATTTACTGATTTATAATCGTCTTAAAACTCGCAGCTGGCGACTGATTATAGTTCCGGACAAAGGGTATGCGACGTTGGAAGCTGTCATGTAGTGACGAGTGAATGAACAGTGTTAAGCTTTCTCCGCTACCGACCATATGTTTTGTACATCCGGTACGCTTCTTACCGTTGGATTATTGTGACTGTATTACTTATGCTTATGCTTATGCTTATGCTGAGATTTGTCTCGACTGTGGAGCTTCCGATCTTTGCAATATATTTTGTAGCTGTAATTGTTTATGGTTCTGCGTTTTTCATAGGCTACAAAATTTTCTTCGTGCTCATGTTCAAATTGCATTTCAATTTTTTTTTTTTTGAGAAATTTGTCGATAGGTTCATCGAATAGTTAAGCTCTTGTTCATTGGCCATGCATTATGTTGTTGATCAAAAATTAAACCACGCCTAAAATGTGGAGTCATAGTTTTTTAACCGGGCTAATGGGTTTTTTTGTTAAAGTCGAAAGTTCAAAGTTTTACTTTTACTTTTACTTATCTCCGTCGCTATTCGACGAGTGCACTTTGGGTGGGGAGGGTTTCGGTATTGATTTTGGTGTGAGACTATATCATATATTGTTAGTGTATTTTATCAATATAAATGATGTTGTCAATAATAATACCGTATGTGGTGTTTAAATCCATGACCTTACGGGACAATGAGCCCGAAAATTCGGACATTATTGTTTTGAGCTATTGATGATAAAAAAACAAATTATCTTGTGTATGTGTAAAGATTTTTTGTTTGAAGGATTTTAATTAATTTACATTATTTATACAAATTTTTTCATTCAAAAATATTAAATTAAATATTTATTTTTTTAAAATTTTTTATATTATATTAAAAATATAATATTAATATTTATTTATATTATATTATACAAATTATTTTGATTCAAATTTTTAAACAACCACACCCTTTGAATCTGACCAAAACAAGTAGCCAATTTAATTGGTAATATAGTCGACGGTCGTGGTGGAAGCAATGGCTCGGAGATGTAGTTCTGTCACTTATAAAAAAATGCACAGTCAAAGAGGTATAGAAGTTCAATAATCACCTAGAATTGCTCCAACATAAAGTGTGATTGTTTGGAGGATTGTTATTCATTCCATTTTTTTTTTCAAAAAAATATCAAATTAAACATTTATTTTTTATTTTTTATATTATACTAAAAATCAATTTTACATTCAAAATATCACATCAACACCTATTTATATAACATCATACAATTATTCAAATTCAAATTTTTTTTGATTATTCAAAACTTGCTTTGATATATTAAGAATTTGAGCTAAAATAGTAATTTGAGCATAGCTCGTTAGACTCAATTTCAAATTTAAGCTCGGCTCGCAAGACTTGAACTTGAGTTTGAGTTATGCTTGAATTTTATACATATTTTGTATATTTTTTAATATATAAGTTAAATATATTTAATTTTTTCATAATTATTATAATAAAAATTTTAAATTTTATTAATAAATACAAGAGAAAATAGTAATAAATATCTCATATTTATAGTTAATTATCATTTTTATTTTTTAATTATCTAGCAAAATATATTCTACATGTGTCATTTTTTTGCAATTTTTCGTCCTCCATAGCACAATCTCAATCGCACCGGTTACTGTCATGAATTCGACGCGCGGCCAGAGGATAAAAATTACAAAAATGTGATACATGCGAGATATGTTTTGCCAGAGTAACAATTTAATGACAAAATTGATAATTTTCCAATTTTGAATCTAAAAATTAGTTTATATTTCTTAGTGTTTCGACTTTTTTGGGCTTTAAACAATTTCGGACTAATAAAACATTTCGTAGGTTGGTTTGTATGCTCGTTTCGGACGAATTGAGCAAATTTTATTTAATTTTTTTGTCTAAAAATTGACATATTTTTTTTAGTATTTAGATTTTGTTAGGGCCTAAAATAATTTCAGATTGACAAAAAAATATTGCTAGTTCATTTATTTGGTCATTTCGGATGAACAAAACAAATTTCTTCTAACTGCGAGTCTAAAATTGGGTTTATGTTTCGTTTAGTCATTTTGGATAAACTGTGCAAATTCTGTTCAATTTATATTATAAAAATAAATTTACATTTTTTATTATTTTTTTTGGTTTGGGGTTTTTAGGGCCCTAAACCACGATGAACAAAAAAATTCGTTGTTAGTTCGTTTGGTTGTTTTGAGTGAAACATTGCGAGTTTTGTGTAATTTTGAATTTAAAAATATATATACATTTTTTAGTTTTAGAGTTTTGTGGCCCTAATTGACTTTGATGGATAAAACACTATCATTGGTTGGTTTGTTGGTTTGTTTGATCATTTTGGATGAATTGTATTTTCTCAAATCTGAATCTAAAAACAAACTTGATATATCTCATATATGTCACTTTTCACAATTTTCATCCTTGTAGCACAATTCCACTCCACATGAGATTGTATCTATCTTAAATTTGATGTGCGGCCAAAGAACGAAAATTACGAAAAAAAATTACACGTGAGATATATTTTGTCAAAGTGACAATTATACGAAAAAAATGATAATTGGCCGTAGAAAATATTTATTGCAATTTCCCCATAAATACCAATTTTGATATAAAAAAATAATATATATTAATACGTTTGGTTTGTAGGATAGAATTATAATATTATATATATTATTTTAATAGATTATATAATCATTCTATAAACTAATTCAATGTTTACTATATTGAATTGTTGTATAAAATTATTAATTTGGTCTAAAATAGTAAGTTATATATTAATGATAGATAAAATAATATTTTTACATTAATTATACCTTAAGGGTGTGTTTGTTTGAAGGATTTTGATGAATTTTGATGGATTTCTACTATTCATCTCATTTGTTTCCCCAAAAAACATCAAATCAAACACTTATTTTACATTTTTTATATTATATTAAAAATTAATTTTACATTCAAAACATCACATCAACGTCTATTTATATATCATATCGTACAACTATTCAAATTCAAAATTTTTACTATTCAAATCTTAACTCAAAATCCAAATCCCCAGACAAACACACCCTAATATTACTTAATACCACCTATAAAATAAGGAATAATAATAATAATTGATTATAGTATTATTATACCGAGCTTTCGAGTTATAGTAATGCATAGTAAATCTATGATTAAATTTGAATAAAATAATATTATCCACTCTAATAATACAAAATAAACACATTATTTATATATAAAATAATATAAATATATCATCACTAATGAACCAGATGAACTATTTGTGAGCTGAGCTCAAGCTCAACTCATTTATAAAAATATAATTTTTGAACACAAACTCGACTCAGTTTCTCTCTACAAACAATTTGAACCAAATTGTTAAAAAGTCGGAATTGAGCTTGGCTCGCCACTAATTCCTTTTAACATGTAGTCTTAGGGTGCGCTTGTTTGTGAGTTTGGGATTTTGAGTTTGAATTTTTTATTATAATATTATTATATTCTTTACTTAATGTCAAGTTATAGGAATGCATAGTAAACAAATGATTATGTTTGATAAAATAATACTATTCATCCTAATCATACAAATTAAACATAACCAAAATATATAAGATAATATAAATATATCATTATTGCCTAATTGAGCTATTCGTAAGCTGAGCTTATTTATAAAAGTAATAATTTTCGAACACAAACTCGACTTGTTTATCTCTGCAACCAAGCCGAATCAAATGTTAAAAAGCCGAATTGAGCTTGGCTCACCACTAATTTGTTTAGAAGGTAGTCTTAAATTCTACTTTTTCAGTGTAATACACTGTACATCAATTTTAGGATAAATTGCACAAAATTTACATGTGGGTTTCACGAAATTGTACGAAATCTCTGTACTTTTAAAAATGCATCAAACTTTATTATGTCATCGTAAACTCTGCGTCTAACCCCTCAACCCTCCTTATTTAACACTGTTTTCCAGAATCTTCATTTCTAAACTTTTAAAATTACTCATTATAAAACCGTTCTTTAAGATTAAATATAAGATAAATGAATATATTTATAACTTTAGAAAGTTAGAAATGAGTATTCTGAAATTATTCGCAATTCGGACGCATGTAAGTAAAAATACTGATAAATAAGGATGGCCAAAAGCTTAGGCTTAGAATTTACAACAGGAAGTTGACGCGTAAAAAATTTTGTAATTTTGTAAAACCACATCCAATTTAGCCAATTAGCCATAATTTTATTTAAATCTTCACAATCTTCAAAATAACATCAGAAAAACACCCCCATCAACCTCAACGTCAATTGAAATAAGAAACCATTCTGTCCAAACATGAAATCAAATCAACTATGAATTTACATCCAAATCTTAAACCCAAAAATTTAAAAAAAAAAAAAAAAAAAAAAAACAAAAAACATTAGTCTAGACAGCCATCCCCAACCTGTAGTACTTGTTCTACGATCATCATCATCATCATCCTCATCCTCATCCTCATCCCATCCCAGATTAAGAACACAACACAACCTCAAGCTACCTACCAGAAATATACATACACAGTTTATCCCTCAAAATCGACCCGATTTTGTCGACGGAATCGCACACGTCCTGCCGGTATCCCCGATCGTGGTACAGCGATATCGGCACGTCGTCGAGAAGCTCGTCTTCCATATCGATCACAATATTATGAAGAATACAGCAGGCGAGGATAAACCGCGGCAGCTTATGCTTGTCGGGTCTCCACATGTCGCGTTGGATCATCTTCCAAACGTCCTTCAGCATCGCCAACGCTCGTCGCGCGACAGCGTGGGTCGCGAGGAGCCTTTTATTGAAATCGGATTCCGTCTCCGAAAGATCCTTCTTTTGGTACGGCGTCATTAGCCACGGCAGCAACGGGAATCCCGAATTCCCGACGATGTATTCGGGAATCTCCGTCGCCGTGTCGTCAGGGAAACAGGTCTTGCTGCTGTTCAGCTTCTCCCCCTTTTGGCACTGCTTGAAGAAGTTGGAGCTCTGGAGGACTGACGCGTCGTTCATTTTCCCGGGCCAGCCGGTGACGATGCTCCGGAATTTGAGATCGGGACCGACGACGGCTTGTAGGATCATGCTGTGGTTGTCCTTGCAGTCAAGCCAGGCGTCGGCGTCGGGATCGGACGACGTCAGCTGCATTGTGATGTGGGTTGTGTCGATCACGCCGCAGCAGTTCGGGAGGCCGCGGATTTTCTCGAACTTGTGCTTGATCTTGGCCATTTCCGGGTCGGTGGACGGCCATTGGAGGTGGCGAAGACCGTTTTCTTCGATCGCTTCGACGAATCGCCATGTGACTTGGGAGACGGTGGAATGGTGAGCTCCGAACGAGTCCCCGATCGAGATCAACGAATTCCCGGACCCGAGACGGGTGAGCGCTAACGCGACTTGGTCATTCAGCGACATCGGTTTGCCATTTGTGAAAGTGAAATGTGTCTTGGCCATCATGTGATCCTTCACCAGTAAACATATGTAGTCGAATGTTTTCCGGGACACTCGATACGTCGATTTGAACCTGTCCAAGAGCTTAGATGACGACGGGTTGCCTGCGAAATACAGAACTACGATTTTGAGAAGATCGGAATAAAGTCAACAATGAATAAGCAAGAAATGCAGATTATAGTAATGAATTATGCTAGAGAAAATCGAAGAATTATATGCAGTCTGTAGTAAAAAATAAAAATGTTTTTGACTATCCAAAAACATGATTTTTAACACCTAAACTTAAGATATACAAAACATTACTTGCAACTGATGTTTTCTACTCTAAAAAAATTAAAATCCAAAATAATCCGAAACACCAAAAAAGACAAAGTCACAACATACAAATAAACTAAAGGCTTCTTCATTCAGAGGAAAAAAAAAAAAAAATAGCTTCTCATAATCAAGTATGAATAACTATAGTAAAATCTTGAGTTGCATCACAAGGAAAGTACGAAGATTATATGTAATCAAGCAGCCTAAACAAAATATATATATATATATATATATTTGAAGGGAAATAGAACTATATAGAACACTAGATTATATGTAATCAAGCAGCCTAAACAAACTATATATATATATATATATTTGAAGGGAAATAGAACTATATAGAACACTAGATCATCTTACCCCATGTAACTATATAGCTGTATCACTCCACGATCGCAACTACGTGAACCAAATAGACATGATAGAGGAATTTTTCGACTACAATCTTATTAGACTAAATACATCAGGAACATTGATACAGTGACTGAGTGCTTCCGGATGTAAAAGGGTAGTCAACATGAAGATCTATTCAAAAGGTTCACAAAATTAAGGTTCTATTTACATGCATTTCAAAAAACTTTTGGCATTACTCATCCGGAATATATTTTCCATAAAAGATCACATCATATACTTATTTTTATTTAAATTATTACATCAAAAGACATATTTTTTATGCAAAACAGCACATCGAAATACTTTTTTTTTTTTTATTCAACTTCTCATATTCAAAACTCTTAAAACATATCTAAACATAACCTTAAGTATTTTACTTAAAACATGTAAGGCCAATAGTTTATCACATGCAAATATAGGTACGACAAAGAGTTGATTATAATGATGTGAAAAAACTATTTGATCTAAGACGTGGTACCTGGATAGTTCATTTAAATAGATGAATGTCTCGTGACAGTTTGAAATCCAAAATTAAACGTCAACTTTAGATCCTTCCATTTATCTTGCCCTTGGTTTGTTAGATATCTATGAACTTATTGCCTGTATTCACCAGTCTCTGTTAAACCTTAACAAAATTTATCTTTTCACCTACATACCCATCTCTCTCTCTCTTTATATATATATGTATGTGTGTGTACAGTTTAGTATACATAGAAATTCAAATAATCTAGAAATATCTTTCTTTCTTTCTTTCTTTCTATTGTATTTTCCAGCCAAGTTTCAGTGATTATACATTTATTGATGTTATTGAGACATGTAATCACAGTATCTTTAGATATATTGCTTAAAGAAATATTATAACATATTGGAGTAGGATAGTCTTGCAGAACCTATCTTTGAATTGATACATATGATTTTCAGTATAAGTTTCTTCAAATATCACACATGAAGTGAATTTTTACATGGTACACACTAATGCTTTCTTATATAATTTTCATCATGATATGAGAAAGAAATATGACCTAACATAAAATGAACGTATTAATTCATCAAATCAAGCTTAAACCAACTATTATCATCTAATCATATACTTAGCTTAAGCAAGATTCTATAAGACATGCATACCAATTTCTACAAGATAATTAAAGATGATGAAGACAATACAGGTATGTTCAGTGTTAATAGAGTCCAGGTACAAATTAGAATTATGCACGTATAAGTTATAATTAGTTATTAAAGAAATTATTATTACTGGTCAATATTTTTATTTCTACTGTTATTACTTCCTTCGAATTAACCCAACATTTTCCCAAATCATGATTGAAAATTGCAGAAAACAAAATAAAAATACTAATGATTTATCTCCTTATGAAACAAAAGGCCTTGCAGGGTGGGAAACAATAATAACAAATCCATAGGCCATGTTAAACCAACATTGGCAATTCGTAGTACACATACAATTCCATTTCTACAACTAAATAAACAGAGATTTTGAACTGATGCATACTAAAAACATCACATGTTAACATTTTTCATTAATATCTATAGTCATGCTATTTAGCTCGACAGAATGTTAGTGTGTTACAACCGTCAATGTAAATAAATGTGTGTGTAAGTTCTAAAATTATCTTGTTGAATTGCAATTTGAAGAAGTTTATATTAAGGTTGATTAATGGTGATTCTTGTTGTAGACAGCATCATAGAGATCATTCTACCATTGGTTATGCATTTTAAATTTGAAAGTAAATTATCATACTCTATCACTTAGCTTTTGTAATGTGGTTTTCACACGTGAAATAAGTTTTAAAAATATTGTTGAAAGTGTTCCGTGAGTATATGATCTTAAAAAAATCAAGAGATTATTGATTTCTTAAAGTGTTTTGGTAAATATTTTGGAAATATTCCAACTTCCGGTGTGTTCTTACAAACAAAAATACCCAACATATTTTCTCAAAAATATTAATATATTATATACTCATTATTTTTATATACTAACACAATTCCCTATACCTCATATCAAAAAAATTACTTCAAACCAAAACACAAAACAAACAAACCCAAGCTTCCACAATAAGGTGCCAAGATTCATATAAGTCTTCAAATAGATTATGAAATTCCTTTCTAAATATATCATTCAAGGATATAGGCATATTCTTTACTTCTGTGATTAATTATTTTGTTGTGCCATTTTCATTCTTCCATTACCAAATTTCTTTTTATCATGCACAAATTTTAGCACAGCAAGAAAGAATGGTGGAAAGAGCAGCTTGTTGATTTAGAGTAAAGTTTGGTTAAGTTTAACTTGGGTAAAGGACTAAAGATTTAAAAGATGCCATTGGAACACAACATGAATTTCATAGAGAATTATGGAAACTCTTCCATATGATTTATTATGTCTATAGTTGTGAACTGAGCATCCATAGTGGATTGCAAATGCAGGTTAGGTTTTCAAGCTTCTAATCAAAATGTTGCCTAACTTCTACACTTAACAAATAGTACTAAAAACAAAATGTGTAAGCGTAGCTGTTTCTTAACACAATGGTTCGACTAGTAATCCCTTTCAGTAGATACTAAAAAAAAAACTCAGTCTTAAAACAGCCACCGTCGGCTTCCAGACATCAGAAATACATACAAATACTTATTTAGAATGTGAAAAATAGAATACATGGTAAGTATGTATGTATTGATTATAATTCTCAACCCCAACAAGGAAAACTATCTGAAAAGAAGCCTAAGGAATGAGCTTTATTGAGAAACTCAATAATCAACAAAAGTCCAGGAATCTGCAAGTAACCATTAACCAAATTACCTTCTTATTCAATGTATGTGAGGATTTATAATTCGAATGTACATCGTAGTTCCTAGCATCAGTAGACAATACATTCCATTCTCTGCTAAATATGGAATCTAAAGTGGGTAAAACTTATGACTTCCAGGATCTCACTTGAAGAATAACAAAAATACTAAAATAATAATCTTCATATTGCAAAAGGTTACCCTTTGTAGAACCGAAAGTAAAACATATCAAAAGAATCTAGAATGTACTATATCACTCCCATAAAACATCTCAAGCATGTATGACAGCACCAAACACTATATTATAGCTATATATTATAGGATTTTGAAAATGGAAAAAAATTAGTGTGTTCAACATTACCGGAAATTGTCTTTGATAGAGCATCCCACCAGTCAGAGGAGCCCTCCTCTGAAGATCCTGATACTAAAGAGTTCTCTTCACTTTTTGTATCCACTTTCCTTTTCTTTTTATTACCTCTGATAGGTCCCATTATTGAATCAAAATTTCAAAATACACCTACCACCAACAAAAGCCAAAAATCAATCATAACACTCCTTTTACTTGTTTTGCAGACACATTGGGTGATATATAAGTTTAAAAAAAAAAAAGAATGGAGATCCGAACATACAAATGTATCTATTCGACTTGAATATCCATGGAAATAGCTATAGTGAGTAAACTGGCACATGCATTGGTGTTTCCATAGCATAAAGAAATTCACAAAATACTACAATATACATGGAAACACACACCAATGCTTTATAACATAGCATGATGAATATGATCACTTTGTGCAGACACTTCTTGAAAACAGACCTACACGAAAACACACTTTTGAATGTATAAGACACATTTGTGTAGTTTGGTTCAAGAAAAATCTGATGAAAAATCCTATATAATTGGCACCGGCAATGGTGAAGACCTAAAACAATACTTACATGGTTAGTGAACATACTTACACAAGCAGAAAGAAGAGAACTTCTACATGTACAGTTCGGTTATAAGATGCACTATTGATGAGTAGAATTTTCAACAGCATTTGAACTAAAAACACAAAATTTAAAATGCTACACCTAAAATTCCTCAACGCAGCCACAAATCAATCCATCAATCACAAGATATATGCATCCCACAACAGAATAGTAAAGTAATTCAACAGCATTTATCAAAAGACAGGATGAAAAGCACGCGATTCAAATGGAGAAGAACATTAAGTTCATCCATCGAAGAACCGACGATCTCAAACAGAGAGATCTTATCATCCATTCCATTGTCCACACCAATTTCGACGCTCGCCATCAACAATCACCAATCGCACACAGACAGACACAGCCACAGCCACATCACCGAACCAAAACCAACCGCCACCGAACCGAAGTCCTCCCCGTTCCAACCAAACCTCCGAACGAATTACGAATCCAGTTCTTCCATTAATGATAAATCTCTCCGTGCAAAAGCAAAGAAATAGAGCAGAAACGTCATCATTCAGCCGACTTCTGCCGCCATTTCAATAGCGTAAAAAAGGAAATTCAAAGGCGTACGGTACACAGTAACAAACGCAGACTGAACCGCGCAAAAACGACCAGTAATCGAGACGAGGTTAGGCAGATAAAGACATTAAAAGCTGCAGTGAGGAATGAGATAATCTCACCTGAGAAAGAGAAGACGATAGTGATTGCGTGCCTGCAATGGAAGAGAGATTGAAGATTCAGAGAGACGACGCAGTGCACTGGTGCTGCAGCTCCTTCTTCTTCTTCTTCTGCTGCGGTCTCCTATTTTTCACCGAAGCTCTCTGCCTTTCTTCGTTGCCTTGCCTATGAATATTAATATTAATATTATTAATATAATAATAATAATAATAATAATATAGAAATATAGAATGCACAAATTGCAAACTCACCAAAGCCTCGTCGCTGTGTTTGTTTGTATTTTAGATTTAGTTCGTATTATCCGAAAATTCAAATTATAAATATATAAAAAATTGTTTATATTGTTAAAATGTATGTTGTTTTTTGTTTGTTTGTGACTAAAATTAAAATTTTTTTAAAATAATTCATTTATAATTTTTTATTTTTAATTATCTTTCATATACTGAAAAAATAAGAGGATTGGAATTTACAGAGAGTGAAAAAAAAAATATATTCCTTCCATTTTACTTAATTTATCAATTTTTTTAATTTGTCAATCCACATTATTTGTCTTTTTTTTGAAATATTAATTTATATTTTTTTTATTTTAATTAAATTAATTAATCATTTTAATTTTAATTTATAATTATTATTAAATTATAATTATTTTTACTGATATATTTTTTAATTATTTACTAATTATATAATATTGTACCTAAACAAATTAAGTTAGACGGAATAAGTAATTTTTACTTTTTTTATGAATTTGTATTTATCTTTTTATTTTTCTTTTATCATTTATTCTTTCAAATCTTTTCATTCATCTTCAATGCCTTCATCACACCACCCGTTGAAGGGTCTACATATAACTACTATTATTATTATTATTATTATTATTATTATTATTATTACTATTATTTACATTTCTTTCAATTAAAATTTTTATTTTATCAATACAAATAATCAATTCTTATTTTTTTTCTACTATTTAATTATTTGTTATCATATTATTCTTAGTATCACTAGAGTTGGCAATGAGTCGATTTGTGTCAGGTTCGTGTCGGGTTGAATACTTTGAACGGGTTAAATTACTCAACTCTAACCCAACCTGTTTATTATCGTGTCGGATTCGTGTTGACCCGTTTATTATCGTATCGGGTTCGGGTTGACTCGTATACATAATTAAGTCGAATTTCTTGATTCAAATTAAATAATTTTTTGTTGTGTTGTCGTGTTATGTTAGTTTTTATTGGTTTGAGCAAATTAGGTTGAATTATTTAAAATTGAACTTAGTTTAAATTAATTTATGAGAAGATTAATAAATTATGATTATTTTACATATATAATAAGTATATTAATCAATATTAATATATTATGATCGGATTGTCGTGTTGGATTTGAGTTGAGAGTCTCAACCCTAACCCGGCTCGTTTATTATCGTGTCGGGTTCATGTCAACCCATATACATAATCGGATTGAAATATTTGACCTAAACCCAATTATTTCATGTCGAATCGTATCGAATTATTGTGTCTTGATCAATTTTTGTCAGCTCTAGATATGACAAGTATGTAGGTCATACTAGGCAAATTTGTGTACAGTCAAAATCCCTAAGTTATGGACTCGTGGCCTTATAATCACAATTCATCCCACAAACACACTAAAAATATATATATTTTTATATAATACTTATATCGTATCCAATAATTATTTTATAAAAATTAACTTGAATACGCATTTTATTTTAAAAACAATTTGAATAATATTGTAAAAAATTAAATAGTACAAAAATTAAAACATAAATTGACAAATAAATAAGAAAAATAAACATTTATATTTCTCAACTTCTATTTCTTTATACTAAACACATAAATGTGTCTGCGTAATTTTAATTTTAAATAGTAAAATTTTGAATTTAAATAATTATTTAATATAATTTTCAATGTGAAATTAAATGCGTAATATAATAAATAAAAAATAATTATTTTGATTTGATATTTTTGCAAAAAGGAAAAAAATTCTTAGAAAAATAAAACTTAATCTAAAATTCCACAAACAAATAACATACAATGAGTATTTGATTTGACTGGAGGTTTACTCAGAGTGCATTCGATGAGTAACGATTTCGAATTTTCACATTATAGATTCTCTTCGTACTTTTTTTTTTTTTTGTCTACGTACAAGAGATACAATCTTTATTTAATAATTAACTAATCTATTATTCATTATACATATCTTTTCAATTACACATATTACACTCACAAAGGCGAAGTTGTCGTTTAATACTACACAAACTATCGTTAAGATAAAATATTTTTAATATTCGTGCAAAAAATAGAAATAAAACTCTTGTCGACAGACGGAAAAAGTATAATACATGCATTTGACAATTAAAGTAAACGCAAATAACATCATTATTTTAAATTTTTTATACTTACACGGAAATTTATAGATACTATTAACAGATTTTTATTGAAAAAATTAGGGGGGAGGAACCAATATATAGATATTATGCTCAATCGAATTTTCATCAGTGTATACTTAAAAAGTAATGACATTTAATTTCTATATCATGAAAATTTGATGAAAAGTGTGTTTACTTGTAACTTTTTATTTAAATAATATTTTAATATAATATATTATTAAAAAAAAAATTATTTGAAATTATGGAAATTAAAAAGTAAAAAAAAATTGTAAAAATATGTTTGTGTTGAGTTAAGATCAATGATTTCGGATGTCCATATTATAAAGATTCGATAAAAGTCCATAGGTGTGTTCATTTTGACTTTTTTTATTTATTTTAATTTAATGATATTTTAATATTTCTTCCATCTATTTTTTTTTTTAATTCGTTTCGTTCAATTTATTTTATTATTAATTTTGACAATATTAATAAAAATCAATATTTAATTATTATTATACATGAGTAGTTATTTACCATAAATATTATTATATTTATTACATTCTTTTTTTATTATTTTTAAAATTTTTAATTAAATCTTTATAAATATTCTCAATTATTTTTTTTACTTTTATTATTTTATCAAAGTAATTTTTTACTTTTTAAGAACTCAAATATTCTAAATTTATTGGATGAAAGAACACGATAATTTTGTAAAAAAAAAAAAGTACAATAAAGTCACGTGCTCCATAAAGGTCTATTCAGTGCATTTAATTTTTCAATATTTATTTCTACTACATTTTAAATATAATACTAATATTTCTAAAAGAAATATAAAAAATACTCCCTCCGTCCCCGGCTCAAATGGCTACTTTGGAAGTTTTATAATAGATTAAGAAATAACAATTTTTTATTAGTTAGTTGAAGTGTGTGATAGATTTTGATACTTTGTCTTTTTGATTTTATATACAAAGTAATTATATGCCTAATGAAGTAAAAATTATGGGTATTTTAGTATTGATGTATGATGACTTGTTTTAAAATAGTAAATTGATACTTTAGAGTAAGACAAATGAAAATGGTAAAAATAGTATTTTGAGTTAGAACGAGGATGTAGTATTTATGTTGACCGGTAACTTTTTGTTAGAGAAATATACATATTATATATATTGAAAATCATGACAATAAAAATATTGATTAGACACACAAATTCATTATTTCTTTTCATAAAATATCACATTAAAAAAATAATAATACTTAAACAACAAATAAAATAAAAAACTTAGGTTGCTTCTTCTGTGAGTTTTTCACAACTTTTTTCTTTCAAAAATATTATATCAAATAATTATTTTTATTTTTTATATTATATTAAAATCAATTTTACATTCAAATAATGTTTGCTTGCTAATCCATATGTACTTCAATTCTTAACTAAAACCTCTGAATTTGGCACGGAAAATTTCTTTGCAACGGAAAACATTTCCTTACAACGGTCATATTGTAATATTCATACGATGTGAAACTTCCCGTCGCAAAACCTTGTCCGTATCAATACGACGGAAGCTCTACATATATAAGTTTGTATAAGTTTCTCTTTTCCCCGAACACATCGTGTGTATGTATGTTCTACAATATAATTCGTATTCTAATGACCAAACTACGGCAATTCTAACTGTTTCTACAATCACTCGTCAATGTTATTTCTAATGGCCACTTGACATCAACATCCGATTCTGATTACCGAAGAGATTGCGGTTCAAGTGATCGAACACCATTGTCACATCCAATCCTATTTTCGATAGTTACTATAATCCCAATTATAATTACTTAACAGTCAAATTATCAAGAATCGACTATTTAAACTAATAGTCATTTTTTCAAAAGTAACATGTTCTAAAAATTCATACTTATATTTCTTATGACAGCATAACATCCTTCTAGTTATTATTCATTAACCAGCTACAAGATTGGAGAAAAACCAGAAAAAAGAAAAATTCGAGACAAGGAATAGGACTAACCTGTCGAAGCACAAAACAACTCTCGATCCATGTCGCCGTTGGAAGCATCAAACAGCATTTCCTGAAGTATTCGACGCCATTATTCTCAAAACGTATAGATGAGTGGATAACCATTGAGTGTCGTCGTCGTCGTTGTCCTCATCTATTACTCTTATTTATGTAAGCTATAGCTTTTTAATCAGTAAGAAAGCGCACCCATCGATCACTTCTTTGTAGCCGTCCTCCGGATGCCATATCTTTCATTGCCTTTTCTACTTTGATCCGCCATATTCTTATCACTTCTTCGTTTGATTTGGGATCTTCGTTGTCGGGACCATCAGCCTTGGATGCAGGCTGCATTTCATATCGAAGTAAATCATCAAAATCAATAAGCTTGTTTGAATTCTTGGGAGTGACGGCAGCAGCTTCAGGGATAGAACTTTCGCCCTGCGATTCTGAGACACTCTTTTGAATGTAAGGCTCCGGCATTTTATACGTATACGGCCTTGTGTTATTACCACCAAAAAACCATTCTTGGGCGTGGCCACGCTCATCTCCAATCGTAGAAAAATGTTTGAAAAAACCATGCTCATAGAACAGAAATCGATCATTATCTTCCAGGTTGGAAGATCCTCCTCTATCCTGTGAATGCAAATTCACCAAACTAGTGAAATACCGAACAAACCTTCCAACTGATCGAAGTTAAACTATTCGACACATAATGGTTTCAAAATTAATGATCTACAATTATGTGATTCACAAATAGCATCCATACAGCATATTCATCTCAATTTCTTCTTTTCAAGCTTCTTTTCTTCCGATTGATCAAAGTTAAAAACTATTCGACACATAATGGTCTCAAAACTTAATGATCTACAATTTTGTAATTCACAAATAGCATTCATACAGCATATTCATCTCAATTTCTTCTTTTCAAGCTTCTTTTCTTCCGATTGATCAAAGTTAAAAACTATTCGACACATAATGGTCTCAAAACTAATGATCTACAATTTTGTAATTCACAAACAGCATCCATACAGCATATTCATTTCGATTTCTTCTTCTCAAACTACTAAAATACTGAGCAAACCTTCCGATTGATCAAAGTTAAAACGAATCGACACATAATGCAATCAAAATTAATGATCTACAACTATGTAATACAGATATAGTATTCATACAGCATATTCATTTCAATTTCTTCTTCTCAAACTACTAAAATGCAGAACAAACCTTCCGATCGATCAATGCTAAACTACCCTAGACATAATGTTTTAAAAATTAATGATCTATAATTACATAATTCACAAATAGCAGTCATACAACATTTTGATTTCAATTTCTTCTTCTCACACTACTACAACGCAGAACAAACCTTCCCATTGTTTGAAGTTAAACTATCCTACACATAATGGTTTCAAAATTAATGATCTACAATTATGTCATTCACGCATAGCATATTCATCTCAATTTCTTCTTCACAAACTACCAATAAATTTCTAAAAATACACTGTTAAATTCTAAACGCAATACCTTTTTCTATTCGCAGATTCAGTAATGCGAAACCATCTAAAACTTATATATGACTAACAATCACATATTAACGGGCGATACAGTGTAAATGTGGCGGGGAAAAACAAAATCAGCCTAATGTGATAAATCAAAAACAACAATAACAGTAGCAGCGGAATTAGGAAAACCACATACAGATTGACAACCGCAAAATCGTAACGAAGAACGAGTACGGAAAACTACGTACCATATCTAACAACAACTGCGGTTACACTTTTTTCGAAATTGCGTGAATATTCTGCAGCGAGTCGAGCAGCGAAGGAAATCACACACACACGATGAATCGCGTAAGATTAATAATGATTTTATATAAAAATAATTATATCTAAAATAACTGAAAATATTTTAAATAATCTAAAAATAAAAAGTATGTTTCAGAAAAAATAAAAAATTAAAAAAAAAATCGAAGGTTGCTTTGATTATAGGTTGAGATTGAGTTTTTGAATGAGACGGTTCTTCGAAGTTATTTATTTACTTAATATTTATATATATAATTAAAAAAATAAAATATTTTTAGTTATTTAATAACCATACTTTAATAAAATATGTACATAATATAAATATTGTTTTCTATAAAATAAAAATTTATATAATATAAATAAATAAAATTTATAAATATTTATTTATAATTTTTTTGAATTGATTTTGAATAAATCTCATATAATATAAGTGATGTTTACTATTTTTGTCCATCCCAAGTAATAATCTCATTTTCATAATTAATCATATCATTATAAAATTATTTTTACTTTTTCATTATTATTATACAATTGTCACTACTTTTTACACTAATATACTTACAATGACAAAAAAGTCTTTTACCCGTATTTTTTATCAACTACCATTATAATATTAATATTTCTTAAAATTTGTGTCAGCACTGCCCAGACTAATTCTGGGAAGAAGGGAGTAATATTTTAGAAAAAAATAGAAATAGAGTGCCAACAAAAATTGAAAAAATATATATATTTTATTATCATGCACATTATATTAAAAAGTATCAAATTCTTTTAGTACGGTGACACAATATAATGACATTTTTATTATATACTTGTGTATAGTGAAAATTCAGTATATTATTTTGATATTTAATATTATATTTTTATGTACTACTAATTCCTTATATTAATATCAAAAGTATTCATGTAAATTTTTTCTTAAAATTCAAAAATGATTTTTAATTTTATCATTCGATGCAAAATATAATTATTGATACAATATTATTTATATTTGTTGCACCGAATTTTTAATATAGAGTGTGTTTGTTTGAGAATTTAGATTTTGAGTTTTGAATAGTAAAAAATTTTTGAATTAAAATAATTATATAATGTGATATAAATAGGTGTTGATGTGATGTTTTGAATGTAAAATTGTTTTTTAATATAATATAAAATATAAAAAATAAAAAATAAATATTTGATTTGATGTTTTTAAAGAGAAAAAAATTGCTAATAGCAAAAATTTTGAAAAATCCTCCCAACAAACACACCCTATATAAATTTTTGTATATACTTAATTTTCTGTATATCATATTTTTTTAACATACTATAATAAATCATCCCTAAACCATTCTATGTATATTTAATTTATTATTTACATTTAATTAATAATTAATAATATTTTATAGGAGTATTTAATGGATAGTGTATAAATAGTTAAAAAGACTAACTGTAAGGGCCTACATTTATATTGAAAATGTCCTAGTCCTGTAAAGGATGATGACAACACATATACAATACACAATATGCGTTAATATAACACAAATGCGACATATATTTAGTCTCCCATAATATATACTCCCTCTGTTCCATAACAAGGTATCCATTTAAAAATATTTTTATATTTGTATAAATTTTTTATACAAATGTCATTATATTAGTATTATAAGACACTAATAGAAATATTTTTGCAATTTTTTCTTGATTTGTAATATATAATAATTAATATTCAAATATCAACACGCAAAAAGTAAATGAATACTTAGTTATGAATCGGAGGGAGTACAATAATTGATTTTTAACCCATGACATATTCTTGTACAAAATTACAAACAGTACATACTTTTATTACAAACATACGCTTTATTTAATAAAGACATACATTGTTTCTGTATTTTATTTCCGAAAATTTGACTTACTTTACTATATAAACATAGAGGGCCTTCATACTCAATTTCACAAAATTTCTCATAACAATCCATATTCCAAACAAAATATATACAAAATAAAAAAAAAAAAAAATGCACACATAAAAGAAAATTAATTGCACAAAAGATGAATATTCAAATTCCGAATTCAAAGTATCATAATAAGTAAATAAGATAGCAAAAACATCCTAAATGAGCTTGTCACACCAAATTGTAATGACAAAATCACTTTTTAAACCAACCTTAAAAAACAAAAGAAAGCAAAATTATGAACATACCTTGTGACAAACCTTAGAACAATTCTGTAGGATCTTCACTTCAACTGAGGAGGCCATGGAACGAATCTACAATGAAGAAAAACACTCACATTAGGACCACAAACGAAAAATTCGACGACAATCGACGGCGACGCTCGCCTACCTTTCCAAGCTCGAAACGCCTCTTGATTAATGGGACAGCCCGCGACAATCTGAATGGCATCAAACAGCATTTCCCGCGGGATGGATTTGAGTTCCTGAACGATTTGATGCATGCTCTTGCCATTCTCTAATCGTATGCGATCGTTGGGATGACTCGTCTTGCAGCCGGCATGGCGCTCGAATTCATAAGCATTGAGAATCTACACGATGACCATGAACAAAATTATACATCAAGTTTTTAACGATATTGTCACAAAGAAGAATAGAAAAGTCGAAATGAACGCTTACTTTAGAGAAGTTACAAGAATTGCATCCGCAAATATAGCCCTGTTCCGAAATCACCCCTGGAAGCTGTCAACGACAGTGAAATAAATTAGCGCGACTATAATCAGGTAGTGTAAATGGTAAAGAAGAAGAGTCGTAAAATAGAGTTTACCTCAACTGACGAAGAAACATACCGGACAAGTATCTCGTTGAAGATACCGGTCTGGAGTAAAACTTTAACATTGGTTGGGAAACTTTGCAGTTCTTTCCGAACCGAGTTTTTTGGAGTGGATTTAGATACCTCAAAATCTTGAAACAAATTGTATTCGTAAAGTAAGCTGTAGCTACTAACGGGTAAGGACAGCACGTTCATCAGTTCTTCGTTACTGCCCCACAAGACGCCATTAGATTCGCTGCTATTATCTTGCGGACATATTGGGATTTTAACTTTGTCCCTGCCTTCCCCGATTTGATTCGGGGCATTTTTCTCGGCTGTAGGCATCGACAGATTTCCACCAAGATTAACCAAAGGATTGGTCTTGGACAGATCAATGCTCGAATCTGGGGTGGTAACAGGAACATCGATAACTTGCATTTCACATGGGATTAGATCGTCAAGATCGACAAGCTGGCTTGGAATATAAGGTTCTGGCATTTTAGATGAATTTGACACAGTGTCGTCAAGGCCAAACAACAGGTCTCGGCCTTGGTGATACTCATCTCCAATTATGGCTGAGGGATCGAAAAAACCATGCTCATCAAACGCAGGTTGATCATCCTGGAGTGCAAATACAACAAATTACTGAAATAGAAAACAACTATTTCGATTTCTTACGAGTTCCTCACATGGAATGGCTACGAATTTATTAAACAATCCTAAAAGGAAGAACAAATTCAGTTTCTCCCATAAACTGGCAATAAATTTATTGAACAATCCTAAATCGAAGAACAGATTCTTCACAATTGTTTCGCAATTATGATCTAGCCTACATGTAACTAACAAACATCATTTGTACAGCATATTAGTTTCAATTTCTTCTTCCCAAACATCATTGTTAAATTCTGAAACCTTGTTCGGTTCGGCTGTTCGAAGATTCTCTAAACTTCAGGATATGACTCAAAATTTTCAATCGGACAAACTAAGATACACTAACAATAATGTGGTGGCGAAAAAGCTAAATCCATCCCAACGCAGAACAATAATGCCAGAATTCGTCTCCGATAAAAAAAAATAAAATATAATAATGGCAGAATATGTCGAAATTGCACGGTTTTATGAACACAGAAAGGATTGATAACCTCAAAAATAGCAATCAACAACAAAAAAGCACAGGTTCACTTACCATCTCTGCTCCAGAACAGCAGTTACAATTTTTCGAAATTGCGCCAACCGTTTCAATTTTCGAAATTGCGTTAAAATTCTGCAGCCAGCCGCGAAAAAAAATCAGATCAAAGTTCAATTACGCTTAGCTTGACCATAAACTCTAACCCTTCGCTTCCACTACTCACAATCACACCATCGCAGAACCTTTTGAACTGCCCACGCCATAGAGTATTTAGAAGGGTAGGGTTTGTGGATTTAGCCCAATTGATTTCGAAATTCAAACCCCGGTCCAGACATATGACAACCTGTTTTAAACCGGTGATTTCGGTTCGAACACGAGCCACTGTGAAATAAGAGGCGAAACTGATTTTATATTAACTTAAATATAAAATTAAAATCAAAATCAAAATAAAAAAATTCAAAAAAAATATACTCCATCGGTCTCATATATTTTGGGTCTATTACTGTAAATACTAGAATTTAAATAAAATATAATTAATATATAATTAGAAAGTGTATTAATATAAATAATTATTATTTAGTAAAAGTAATTATAGGGTAAGATTAAGATAAATAAATAATTTAATTAACATAAAAAATTATAAAATTTAAAATTTAAAATGTGATTAAAGTGGATAATCATATTTTTAAAATAGAAAAAGACAAGTTATATTGGACTCACGAAAATAGAAAATAAGGACAAATCATGTGGGACGGAGGAAGTATAATTTTGATCTTACCTTTCAACCAGTCGAATGATGTTTAATCAAATAATAATAATAATTTATGATATTATTTTATTATTTTTTATACTATTCCTGTTCTGGAAGAAAGAGTGACAGTTTATTTTTATTTTTTTAAGTAGATTTTTGAATATTAGTATTATATTGGTTTAGAGTGAAAAAGACAAAAATGCCAATATTAGATTGTGTAAAATAAAAATAATGACATTTGTGTAATATATTGGAAGTTGTAAGATTATTAATTATATAGGTAGATAGTATAATTACTAAATAAAGAAATTGTATCATTGATTTGGGATAGTAAAAAATAGAAAATTGTATTATTCTTATCGAACATAGGGAGTATAATTAATAATATTGGTATTTTGATATAATCTAAGATTTATGATTAAAAAATTATAATATGTATTTAGATATTTTAAAAATTAAGTCGCAATAAAAATATATATGCAATATAGATATCATAAATTAAAATTTTATATAATACAACTAAATAAAAAAATATTTATTTATTTATATTATAAAATAATTTTATAAAAGAGACAAAATTTTAAATATAGATAAAAATATTTGTTATTTAGAAGACAAATACAAATAAGAGATTATATATATAATGTTATATATATTATGTAGTTAATTAAATTGAATTATAAATATGTTTTGTTTAATTAATTTGATTGAAAATAGAAAAATATCAAAATTGTTATATAGGATCGATAAAAATAGAAAATGTGTAAATGGGACTATATTTTTAACCGGTTTTGGGCTGGGTGGGCCAAGTCGGGCCTCAATTATATTAGTTTGGTTGGAGCCCATTTAAAGATCGAAACTCAAAATTAGGTCCGTATTTATTCTAACGGTCCAGTTATGAACCGGGTTGTAGTAGGCCGGACCGGTTGGGGACTTGATCCGGTTCAAAGTTGTGAAAGCCCAAAGGCCAAAGCCTCATGGCCGTGGGTATTTATAGAGCTCCAAACCCTAATTTTCCTCCGTGCAACTCAACTCCTGCAACATCGGCTGCCGAAACTCCGATCCACCGCAGGAACCAACGGCTTCGGCGGCGTAATCTTTCGGGTGCGTTTGTCGTTATTATTTGACAGCGCATTGTTGGAATGATCTGCTGCATCTTTGTTGTCTGTTGAATCGATTCATTCGCGTCGAAACATTTGTTGTAATAGAATCGGTTTCTCTCTTCTTGTATGATTAGGTTATCGCCTATGGTTTTGTGTCAGAATTAATGTCCTGTTTTGTTGCAAATTATGGTGCATCAGCGAATATTGTTAGATGTTAAAGGCAATTTTTATGGGACAATAGTTGTTCTTTTGATTGATTATTTCGTTTTTTTTTTTTTTTTTCTCTATCGAATCTTCGATTGTGCGTTACATTTTGTGTCTGTGGATACAAGTGTTGGTTCTTAGCTTTTTGAAATTGAAATACTTTGGGATATTGAACTTGAATATTCATTGGTTCAGTGTTTGATTTCAATATTTTTCCAAATACATGTAGCTGAAGAAATCTCTGTTTTAGGGCTGGAATTCCACTTACAATTAGATTTGGGGAGTGTAGATTTGATTTCAATATTTTTCCAAATACACGGAGCTGAAGAAAACCTCTGTTTTAGGGCTGGAATTTCACTTACAATTAGATTTGGGGAGTGTAGAAATGTCTGCGTTTTTTTTTTTTTAACTCTAATTCTTTGCATCATTCAGGCTTGAAAGATGGTTAGAGTCTCTGTCCTGAACGACGCTCTGAAGAGCATGTATAATGCTGAGAAGAGGGGAAAGAGGCAGGTCATGATCAGGCCTTCTTCGAAAGTGATAATCAAGTTTCTTCTGGTCATGCAGAAGCACGGTTCGCCCCTTTTATAACTCCAGATTTTATTGTTTTCTGAAATTGTTAATTTTGTATAATATCTTGGCCGCTTAATTTTCTGTTGCAGGATACATTGGGGAGTTCGAATACGTTGATGATCATAGATCTGGAAAAATTGTTGTTGAGTTGAATGGGAGGCTAAATAAATGTGGTGTTATTAGCCCCCGTTTTGATGTTGGTGTGAAGGAGATTGAGCCATGGACGGCTAGGCTACTCCCATCCCGACAGGTAAATCCAAATCTAAACATATATTTTGAATTCTTGCAAATGTGGATGACTTATTGTTACTCGTCATAAATATTTAACCAATTTATGAAAGGAGGATCGAAGATGGATTTTTTTATATTTAACTTCATTTACCTTGGATGCAGTTTGGGTATATTGTGCTGACCACATCTGCTGGAATTATGGATCACGAGGAAGCTCGAAGGAAAAATGTTGGTGGTAAAGTTCTCGGATTCTTCTACTAATGGCATGCTAGTTTTGGGGTTTTTACTTGTTTGATCATGTTGCGGATGCTACTGTTTTGCTTTTCTTCTCTTCTGCGCATCGACGTTTTTGTTTGAATTCGACATTGCTATTATTTATATTTGAGAATCACATGAGTTTTTATTCAGATTAATCTTTCGTAATTTTCTGGACCAAAAATTTAAAAAAGTAGATATTTAATTTGATTGTATATATATATATATATATATTTAATAAATACCTGATAATATTACTGATATTAATATGCCTCAGAGAACAAATGGTAGAGATGTTACTCTAATTGAACCTACAATTTGAAGCATAAATAGGTATAATTTCTTTTATAAAGAATTTCGATAGGTACATAATAAAAAATTAAAACCAACATTTTGGAATAATAATATTGAATTATTTTTAAATTAAATTATTTGAACATAAGTTATATAAGTTGTGTTGGTTTGTGATTTTTTTTTTTATATAGATCTGTCATTCATAATTTTTTCTTAAATACTATAAAAACATATATTTATTTTTAATATTATATTAAAAATAAATTTTATATTCAAATATCGTATTAATATTCATTTTGTTCAAATTTAAAATTTACAATTAAAAATCCAAATTCTCAAACAAATATTTTAATTTATATTTTGAGTTTGAGATCAATAAGTATTAAAAATAAAATAATATTTGATTTAATAAATTAAATAGAAACATTTTTTTGTATGATTATTATAATAAAATTTTAAATTAAAATTATCTTTCATATAATATTTTATATGAAAGAAATCAAAATTTTAATAACACAGAATTCACAACTAGTATTTTTCTAGCGCATATCACATCAATTTTCTATCAAATTTAATAGCTTCTCTTTCAATTACTATTTTACTATTGTTCTTGTTCACACTTAAAAATATGATTTAAATATATTTAAGTGTGTATGATTTGGGTATTTTATCCGAAATTTTATTTTCACTAATTTTTTTGTAAAAGTATCTAATAATATATTTATTTTTTTATATTATACTAAATATTAATTTTGCATTCAAAATATTATATCAATACATATTTATATCACGTTATACAATTATTCAAATTTAAATTTTTTATCACATTTTGGTTTTGATATAAAAAAATTGTATAAATATTTTATTAAGTTAACTCTTTTTCTCATTTTACTATATAAATATATACTCTTTTCGTCCCGAAATTAAATATCCATTTTTTTTTACATAATTTTAGAAATATTAATATTATATTGGGATATAATATGAATAAAGTAGAAATGACTAAAATAATCTTATTAGTATATGTGATATAAATGTAATGGTATTTGAGTAATATATTGTAAATTGTAAAAGTATTTGCAATGTTAGATAGATAGTACAGTTACTAAAAAATAAAATAGATACTTTGTTATAGAACGAACTAAAATGGAAAAATGGATACTTTGTTATGGGACGGAGGGAGTATATTTTTTAAAAAATTATATCAATTCTTTCAAACAATCCATATTTGTATTCCAATACTTTTTAATTATCTAAGAATGAGGAGAGCACTCTTTAATATATATATACATAAAAGTCAAAGTACAAAATTGATAATTAAGATCGATTATACTAAATAGTTTATATATTGATATCTTAAAATATTCTTAATATTTTTACAAGCCCTGTACAATACTAATATAGGCAAAGAAAATTAAATAATTATGTTTAAAACAATTTATTTGGTTTTTACTAAGTTTTTGACAAATTTTCTAAGAAATCGTTGGATTCGAAAAAAAAAAAAAATTACTATTAAAAAAAAAGTTAGTTGATTTAGAAAAAAAATAATAACATTTTGTCTTAAATATTCTAATCATTTCTTATTTATTGGATACACGATAAATTTTTTTTGTTTATTGTCTTAAAAAAATCCATATTCTCAACTATTTTTTTGTTTCTTATCTAAAAATCTCTATTCCTAAATATAAATTTAAGTTCTTTATAGATCTTTTTGAAAGTAATTTTTCAAAAATAAATTAAAAATATATAAAGTTTAAATGTTTTTAATTATAACCGAACAAAATAATTTATTATATAATATTTTATATTAAAATCTAAAAAATCAAAACGCTAAACCCAAAAAATTTAGGTTATTTAACAACTATATCAAAAAATTTTATAAATATTTTAGTAAGTTATTTCTTATTGAAATGTTTTAGAATTATATTTTCTTATATTATATTATATGAAAAAAAATATATTAGTTCTTTCCATATTTGTATTCAATATTTTTTTTTTGATGATTTACATTTAAGAGGAGCACTGTTATATATATAAATCAAATATAAAATGGACAATCAAGATCAGTTATCTTTAATATTCCTGACATTCTTATGTGTTTGTTTGAAGGATTTGTGAGATTTTCACTATTCATTCCATTTTTTCTCAAATTAAATACTTATTTTTTATTTTTTATATTATACTAAAAATTAATTTTACATTCGAAATATCACATCAACACCTATTTATATCACATCATACAACCATTCAAATTCAAATTTTTTACTATTCTAATCTCAACTCAAAATCCAAACACCCAAACAAACACACCCTAAATACTCAACCATTTTACAAATTTCTATAAAATACCAAAATAGACAAAGATAACTAAATAATTATGTCTAAAAAATAAATATATTTCTTTGTTATCATATTACTATATCATTAACCAATAAAAATATTAAATATTTTTACCGTTGATCATTATTTTATATATTGTATTTAATATCAATATATATATGTGTGTGCAGCGTGTATATATGTACACGTGTGTAGTGGTTATGTATGTGTATAAGGAATGGTTACCGTGTTGATTTAGAAAATTCAACCTCGTGTTAATATATATGCAAACAATACATGTTCTTATTACACACAACACATGTTGTACATGATAAAGGCTGTTCATTATATACATATTGTATAAGAGTATGTCATGTGCTAAAATTAATTGTTGTGTTTGTTGTATGAGATTATAATATACGATGTTAGTTCAATTCATGTACTACATTTGTATTATATTAACATAAAAAATATTGATGAGTTGAACCATTCATCAGCCTATCCAAAATTGTCGATTAATTTACTCTTATAATTATTGTTCGTATTTTATTATTATTTATAATAGAATATATTTTTATATAATAATAAATAAACAGAACTAATTTATTTTTATTTTTTCCAAAATTCCAAAGAGCTCAAGGATATATCTATTAACACAAGATGTAGATTCACAAAAACATAAATCAATGGAAATTTTTGTCTAAATCTCACCTTAATTGATTAATTACTTTATTTATTTTTTAGATTTAGTGTGTTATTTTGTATTAAAAATTTTAGAGATGATAATAGTTGAATACTAAAGTATTGAATATGATATTTTTCAAAAAAAAAAGAAGAAAAAAACATATGCATGAACATTTGAATAATAAGCATAGTTTAAATCATTTAACTTTTTATCATCGTTGATTTAAGTGCAAAGAAAACACTTAAATTCTCCAAAAACCCGTCCTATCACCTTCTTAATAGTAATAATAATAAAGTTTTATGATAACTAAATACCGACAAAAATCTAAAATACCCATAGACTTCGGCCACACATTAAAACCCCAAACGAGCGTATTAGGGCTAAAACGGAAGAAACAATGGATGATCATCGACCAACAATGGGTGACAATGATCATCGTTTACCCAATAGGGATTAGGACAAGTTATTGCCATTGTTTGACTCGGATTTTCTTGTTCCGACATCTCAATATCTCTCCATATTTCATCCATGGAATAGCACATTTCGTCACCATAAAAAAGGGTTTTGTTTTGCATAGAAGAGTTCGCATCATGATTGTGTCCCGTCTCCTCAAGATTATCGCTTGTGATAGCTTTTTTTATGCCGGTGGAAGAAAAAGAAGATGACGATGATGAAGACAACGACGACAGAGATAATGAGGGAGAAACACGTGTTTTCACATTTTTCCTCGCGTGAGCCCTCCAAAAGTTCTTGATCTCATTGTCCGTACGTCCAGGTAAGTTTTGAGCAATTCTTGACCATCTATTAATATAACGACAGAATGTGCGACTATTATATAATTTTTAAATTTTTAGAGTAAATTATATAATATTTTTTGCATTCTAGTAAAAATGAACAAAATAGACCAAATATCAACTTCGGAAGAATAAATCATTTTGTGCATAATTTAATTTAATATACGATGATTTAATGCAATAAATAAAATACAATGAAAATTATGCAAATTGACTTTTTTTTTTTTTTTAATTGTATTAAATAAATCAAACTCAAATGTAATAAAATTCGAAGTTAAAGTTATGTTATTGTATATGTACTTTATAAAAATAGATTTATTATAACTTTAATGTGAAAAACGAGCAACCTTTTGACAATATTAGTTCATACAATTTAGTTCAAATATGTTATATATATATATATATATAGTATTTCGATACTAAAAAATTCAAAAACATTAATTTATAAAATATTTTTTTAAACCAATAAACAATTGCTAAATAATCTTTCTTCAAAATTTGACTTCGACCACTAAACTTTCATTTACTACTTCTAAGTCCAACAATAACGTCAAATCATGACTTTAACAAGTAACCGTACAAATTTTCTAACTGGCGTAAACATGTACCTGTTTCACCCGGAACTGCTTAACTTCAAATCATCACCATTCACTTTGCTCGAATCAATAAAAATATTATCTTTTTTTTTTCCAAAATATTATATGAAAAATACTATTTAAACAAAAATTCAAAACAAACTTAAATTCAGATCAAATATTGCTGCGCTCGCTCGCGATTAAAGTAGTAAATGGTTACCTATTTCCCCATTTATCATGCAATTCAATAACAAGGCGTTCTTCGCGAGGGGTCATCTTGTCCCTCTTGAGGCCCGGGTGAAGATAATTAACCCAACGAAGCCGGCAACTCTTGCCCGTTCTTCTCAAACCTACAAACGAACCAAAAATTGAGGCCGTTACAAATAGGGGCCGTGGGAGTATACGATCCATGCCCAAAACAAGCCTACCTAAGGCGCATATTATCTCCCGCCACCGTCAAACCTGACACTTTGGCGATGAAATCCCACCGGCGATCACCAAATAAGTTGACATACAGCACCAGCTGACTATCTTCTTGCTCGGTCCATGGCCCCTTTCTCACTTCTTCCATCTTCGGGTTTTCGAGGTTTTCGTCTTGAGATTTTGAGCATGCTATAGATATATATATATATATATATATGTATGTATAAGTGTGTGTACGATTGTAGTGATTGACACTATAACTGTTAGTACATATATATTATACTCACTCCATCTGAGTCATATGTATTTCTATGATTTTTTACGTAGATTTAGATATATTAATATTATATATATATAAAAGTTTTTTTTTTTTTTTAATCTTTGATATTAGCGTTATTGAAAGAATATTGACAAAAAATGTGAGTATTTTAATTAAAAAATATTTTTGATAAAAAAAAAGAAGAAAAGAAAACATACATAAGATTTGGACATATGAATTTTTTTAAAAAAATGAATACATATACTCAGACCGAGAAAATATATATTATTGTATAATTATGTATACATTGATATTGACCATTTCGCCCCTATATGTGTCTATATATATGTGTGTGTTAATTTTTGGAATGGAATGCCACTTTTTCCTCCACCAAATTCATCATGGCATCAATGCTCATGTATATTTGTACAAAATAAGGGTAATATGGTCAATATTAATATATAAATAAGTATACAATAATATATATATATATATATATATATACTAACAATGATGAGGGCTACTATTACATCATACAATTTTGTACTACTTTTGGAATAAGATTATGGTATGATATGTTTATTTTTTAAAATAGTAAAAAATTAAAAAAAAAAAAAAAAAACTTAACATGATATTTTGTCAAGAAAATATATATATATATATATTTTTATTTAATATCTTAAATGAATGATAGATATTCAAAGTAAGGAGTATTTAAAATATACTCCCTTCCCGCAAGAGTAAGGTTTTTATTTTATTTTTGCACATCTATAAACATAAATTAGTATTTTATAGATATATAATGTAATAAAATAGTATAAGTAATATTAAAAATAAAAAGTAAAGGTATTTTAGTATTTAGTTGAAAAAAAAAAATCTAAAAAAAATATAGAAATAATGAATTTTGATTTGGACGGGTGTGTGTATATATATATATTTATTTATTTTATAATGTAAAAATTCACAGTCGCTACTCACGAAGTACACTCTGGATAAATTATCGGTCGAACCTAATACTCTGTAATTTAAGTCCAATAAAACACTTATATTAGATAAACTATATGTGACAGGTGGACCCAGACGAATAATATTTATATTGATGAATAGTATTATAAGTGATTTGAAAGAATAGGTATTGTCAACCATGGATTAATTATGTTTGAAACGTGTATATGGTTTGATAGGGCAAAATATATTTATATATATATATATATATATATATATAGAAAAATATATATAAGTGGTTGATATGTTAGTGCGAGTTTCAGCAAAAATGGCTGTCCATTTTTGGATCTACTAATCTCTCATCATCATCATCTTCACCCTGTTCACTCATAATGCTTTCATTTTATTATTTTATTATCATTTTTTTTTTCACTATACGACACTGTTATATATATATATATATTTAAGATTATTTATTGACAGTTAATCTTCTCAAAAAATAAATAAAAATTGAGGGTATGTTTTTTTTTAGAAAAATTTTGTTTAAATTTAATATTAAAATAATATAAAATGAGATATTTTGTGAATATATATAGAGAGTTGAAGTTTTTATTAAGATTTTTTACCATTCATTTATGAAAATTTCTTTTCGAATAAAAATATCAAATCAAATTTTTATTCGAAAATGTAAAATTTAATTGACAAATGCACTCATAAGTCTTGTCCTTTTCTATAAGTTACAGTAGCATTTTATATTTATATAATTTAGTCAATATGAAATGAGGATTCCTTTATCATATTTTCAATTCCTCGTGTATATATATATATATATATACACATTTATATTATCACAAAGCAAAAAAAAAATTGCAACCTACTTTGCATGTTATAAATCAAAATTTCTATTCCTAAACTGAATACTTAGGTTCAGATCAAATAACTATTTCTTATTCAATTTTCAGTATTCGTAGAACATTCTCTATTCGAATTCGCAACCAAAACTAAAGCGCGCCCACAAATATATACATTGTATTTCTTTAAATCGATGTCCGAGCTAGGCCAACAGCCAAACCTAAAGATTTCTATAAGCAAAAATAACGACGACAAAAATAACGAAACAAAGAGGTGATCGCAACCATACCGTCCATTGGAGACGCGCTTAAACACTAAACGTCGTGGTCGATATAAGTTCCCCATTGGAGACAAAGCTGCAAGACCACATACTTCTTACTAACAAACAGTACAATACTTATTGGTGGTTCATCTACACAATCCACTGGCCAAAAAAAAGGGAAACCACTGTTCTAGCAAAAAAACGAAATAACTTCGCAAGATCCGACCAAGTTCGAGAAATGTGCGATACATACTATCGTGGATTCGTCGCACAGTTTACTGTCCAACAGTAGACAAATAAAAAGGATAAAATTACTCGTAATCTCACCAGTGGTTTGAAAATTTCGCACGACTCTTCAAACATGATTTAGAAACGGCGTGAAACCCCTTCGTATTTTAGAAAATATTGTATAAAATCACTTTTCAAGGGTTTTTGTGCAATATTTTTGAAAATATTGAGCAATTTTTAGGGAATTTTGTGTAGTATTTTTTAAAAATATATTTTGTCTGTTCCAGTTAATTTGTCTATTTTAGCTTAGGCACGAGTCTTAGGTATTGTATAACGAGTAAGTAATTAAGATCTGTATTAGTAAAAATAATTTTGATTTAATACAAATAATTATAAATTAAGATTAAGATGACTAAATAGTTTAATTAGAATAAATATACATAATATGAATTTTAAAATGTGATTATAATGTATAATGTGATTATAAGTGGAACGAAAGGAGAAAGAAAGTTTCGTGCATTTCTTAAATCACAGGAGAGAATGGTGCAGACTTTACAAGTGAGTTATAAACAATTTTGCCGAGATGAAAAAAAAATGCCAAAACTACCCAATATTTTCTTGTGATTTCGAAACTCAACATAAATCTCCATTTATTTTAAAAATTGCATCTCGTCCCCTTATACTTTAAAAACATTGCATGAAACTCCTCTGTGGTTTTGAAACTCAGCGTAAATCTCTATTTTACTTTAAAATTTGCACGTCGCTCTTTTATACTTTAAAAAATGTTGCATAAAAACCCCCGCATGCAAAAAATATAAATAGGAAATTATCTTCTCGAGGTTTTATGGGGTATAGTTTCATACAAATGTTTTTGAAGATATAAGTAGGTGCCATGCAATTGTAAACTAAAAACTTTAACGCTGAATTTCAAAATTACGAGGGAATTATGAGCAATTTTACCTTAAAAAAAATACTCGTTTATTCTAGTATATATTGTCACGAGGGAGACAATGGCGGGGAAGACACGGGGAATTTAAATTATCACAAACATAATGTGCCATTGCAAAGTAGTTTCTGGAAAATACAACACATTTCTATTTGATTCAGCCATTTATGGATCTGATAAGTGCAGCAATTTCATTTCTTTAAAAGTCATCTTCCACAAATATAGATAGATAGACAGCACTAAATTATGTCTTAAGGACTCTATGTTTATTGTCTCTGTATTACTACCACTAAACAGCAGGCACTTATCGATATTACATCCCACAACTATATGTTATTGCAACTAGTTTAGTGGACACAAATGGGGTGATGCATAGGGGAATTATGGGACATATCGATTAGCCACTTTTTTTTTCTTCTTTTTTTTTTTTTTTTTACATATATAGAAACAAACTATTAGGGTGTGTTCGTTTGAAAGATTTTCCAGAATTTCTACTACCTAGTTAAATGTTTATTGTTCAAGAATATTAAATCAAATACTTATCTTTTATTTTTTATATTATAATAAAAAAAATTAATTTTATATTCAAAACATCAAATCAATGTATCACATACCATTATTCGAATTCAAATTTTTTACTATTCAAATTACAACTCAAAATCCCAACCCTCAAACAAACACACCCTAAACGTGTTTCTATAGGAAGAGTTACAATGTTGGTTATTAGGGATGTCAAATGGGACGGGTTAGCCCCGAACCCGATCTTAATAGGGCGGGTTGGATCTAAAAATTTGGATTGGGGCGGGTTACGGGTTTTACTAAAAATAAGCTCCTTCCCGGACCCGAACTCGAATATTTTAATAATTATTATAATTTATTTATATTTTTATACAATATAAATCATATTATTTATTTATTTAAAAAACTTTAAACATAAAATAGAACTTTAATTATGAATCAAATTTGTTTTCGCATTTGTTTCTTCTACCATTTTCTTTATAATCGAGTTACTGCTGACCGCCCATCACTACGGACTATTATCAATATTTGATTGTTCTTATTTTTAGAACTATATTTTAGGTACTTTGACGCACATTTTTTTTAGTAATAAATTATATTTAAAAAATTATATTTTGTTTTTTTTTAAAAAAAACAAACGGGTTTGTCGCGTTGGCCCCAAACCCGAAATGTTCGGGGTGAAATGCATCCTGGGGCTGGGTTGAAACGGGGCGGAACAGGTCTTGGATCATGATATTTTCTAGCAAAGCGGGTCTCGGGGCCTGCAAAACCCGTCTTGAACCCGCTCCATTGACATCCCTATTGATTATCTTTGATAAGCATAGATTGTCAAAATGTGTCGTCTTCTTCTAATTTATATGTACGTTGTCTTAACATATTTTTACTGAAATTAATTGTAACATGTGCTGTATAAACTATTGCCCTATGGAGTTATGCTTTATGTGCTAATTAATTACCGTCAAGACAATAGCAACAACCTTTTATCATTACTATCTTTCTAGAATGCAATCCTTTGTTATCGCATCTAGCTTAGTGATTGGTCGCATCAATAGCAGACATTCTAGTTTCACCCACCCTAAACATTCTTTTCGCACTATACAATTTACTGTAAAAAGTTTCATGCCCGGGTTTTAGTTTTTGAAGTTGAATTTTTTAATAGTAAAAAATTAAATTTGAACAGTGATTTAATGTGATATAAATAAAGATTGACGTGATGTTTTGAATGTAAAATAAATTTGTAGTATAATATTAAAAATAATAATAATTGTTTGATGTGATATTTTAGAAGGAAAAAAAGAAATTAAATAGAAAAAATTTCTGGTAAAATTCACAAATGAACACAATTTTACAGGTAGAGCTATAAACGATCCGAGCCGAGCCAAATTTTAAGTGTTCGTTAATATTCGCGAACAAGGCTCGTGTTCGTTCGTTAAGCTTTCGAGCTCGTTTGTAGTGTTCAAGTTCGGCTCATTAAAAATTTTTGTTATTTGAGCTCGTGTTCGTGTTCGGCTCGTTTAAACTCAATTAAGCTTGTTCGAGCTCGTTTGTCTTAATTTTTTAAAATTTATATATAAATTATAAAGAAAATTTAAAATTATTTTATTTATTTATAAATTATAGATTTATATGTATATATAATATTTATAATAAATATATTATTTAAACGAACGTTCGCAAATAAAGTTCGGACTCGTTCATTAATCAAACGAGCCTGTTTATGTTGTTCGACTCGGCTCGTTAACATTCACGAACGAACTTTAACCGAGCCGAGTTCACGAACGGCTCGGTTCGTATAACAGCTCTATTTACAGGTTCTTAATCTTTATCCAAAAATTTGAACATTTATTCCATTGTCATTTCTATAATGAGGCTTAAGCTAAATATCATTTGTAATTGAAAAGATTAAGATTCATATTGAGATGATATGGATAAGAATTTGGTAATTTTTTGTACCAAGGCATAGAAGAATCAATTGAAATGAAATGGAATACTGAGAATAAAAATATAGAAATTATCCATAAATATATTAGTGACATACAATACTTGGCACTAGACCTGGAAATTGGTCGAGTCGAGTCGGGTTTAGTACTTAGTTATGCTAGTTTTTGTCGGTACTTAGTTATGCTAGTTTTTGTCGGCTCTAGTGTAATGTGTATAGTGAATTAGCTTAGATTATTTTAAATTAAATTTAGTTTAAATTAATACGTAGATTAATTATCAAATTAAAATTATTTTACATATATAATAAATATATTAATTAATATTAATATATTATAATCAGATTGTCGAGTGGTTTGAGTTGAGAGCTTCAAACCCTACCCTTTTATTATCGTATCGAGTCGTATCAACCTGTATGCATAATCGAATCAAAATCCTTGATCCAACCCCAATTATTTCGTGTCGGATTATTGTGTCGTGTCGGTTTTTTGCCGACTCTACTTGGCACATTAGATCCTCATTATATTTTACAAATATTCTTTTACATACACAAGTTTATTTTCCTTAAATTTAACAAGTTGAAATAGGCTAGCATTACAAGATATTTTGCTTCGATGTATTAGAGATCTTCGGACATAAAAACAAAGATAATTATCTATATGTGTGTATACATATATATTTGTCACATACTTATTCTTGTTACATTTTTAACACACACACACACACATCTTCTTTCACATTTTTTTTCCTTTAATCATTCATATATTTTAAATAATTTCACATCTTCACAAGAATATAAAATTTTCGACTAAATTACCTTTAATAACAGCAAACCTATCATAACTATATCCTCACTAATGCATTAAACTAAAAAGATTCACATATCACAAATATTCTGCTAGAAAATTAGCTCATATCAAAATAGTAAAATTGTACAAAGATCACAAATGGGCTTCTAACAAAACATAGCTGACTTCCTATCATTTCTCAAAACATTATCTCAATACTAAGAAGATTGTTCATATGTTTTCACTAACCTCTTTTTTCCGATTTGGTATCCGTCAACTTGCACAGCTATATAACTTGAGCCAATAGCGGCTTGAATTTGTCGCCGCTCAATGCTTTCTCTGCAAATCATTAAATATTTACATATAGTCAAAAAGTTGAGCTGATGAAGTGAAAATTGAGTAACAAGGTCAGTTTATAAAAGTTGTAGATCAATAAGTTAACACAGCAAAACTCCGGCTAGATCCATGAATCTCAAATTTTCGAACACTAAAGGATCCCTCTGATTTGCGAATGTATTGTGCATATTATTGTATTAAGGTTCAAGTTCATATGAGATTGAAAAGTAATCACAGTAATAAATGCAGTCGAATCAAGTCGCAAGTTTCAAATGAGGGTAAAAAGTAGAAGATATGTAAGAACTATGAGCATACCTTGTGTTTCTTGAATTTTTTTTTTCCTCGAGTACTAGCATCATTAAAGCTGGTTGATTGATCGGCCATGCTATCCTCCATTGGTAATGATTTTATCTCATCGTAGAAACTTTCCGTCAAATCATTCAACCTAATACAAATATAGAGAAAGAATCAAGCATAAATCTACAGACGATGCACTAGTTTATATGGGAAAGGAACATTGTGTCGTTTTGTTCTTAGGGGGCTTACCCATTTCTGGACCTCTTCAATAATTTCATCTTCTTTCTCTCGTCTTTAGTCAGAGGTGCACGAGTAAAAAGTTCTTCCTCTTGTCGAGCTCGCTCTTCCATCTTTGAAATGTATTTCTTCACTTCCCCACTCTCGGATACTATATTATCTCTAATCTGCAATTTGTTTTTCATTGTAAAAGATTAAAAATAAAAAATAAAAAAAAAATATAGACTTTACTTGATTTCATGGGGTAATAAGGAAACTATAAATGTACCTCTTCAGGTCGTCCCTCAAGATCATTTAGCAACTCTTGTACGTAAGTACTTTGCTTGGCTCGTCGCAGAGTTTCTTTTTCTTTTCTCATGGCATTTCTCTCGTGTCTCGATATCTTTTCTTCATCCATCAAAGATGGTGCAAATTTCGGTGGTCGATATACACCAGAGCCATCCTGCGCAACAATTTCACTTATTTTTTCAGAAATCAACAAAAGAAAAGATTGGTAATAGCATATGAGTCGCCACCATATATAATTACAGATAACAATTTCTTCCCGACTGCTGTCCAATCACCTCTGAAGCTGCATTTGTTTTGCTAACAAGCAATTCAGGATTTGGACGATATTGTAGCATGTCCTCCTTTCCCTGGGCTTCATCCGTCTCTTTCACGGCCAATCCTGGTTTCTCCATTGATGTTGCAGTCCTGGTTAGCTTCTGAACTTGGTATTCAAGCTTCTTGTCGACTGGACGAATCTGCATACAATCAAATGACAAGAAATAATAAAAATAATTAAAATGATTGCCACAAAGCAGCACTACGTATATATGATTGCATCTCCATAGTAGATACCTTCTCTAAAAACAATCTTATCTCAACAAGGCTCCTAACAACCGGATGCCCCTGAATTGACGACCCTTTTGCCTTCCGAAGCAAATAATAGACCAGTGATTGGCAATAGCTCAGAAGCAGCAAGTGTTTAGCCTCAAGATAGCTTATTCCATCTGACGTGGGGAAGCTATTTGCTTTCACCTGTTCATAAGATTAATCGAATTAAAGAGGAGAAATAAAATGAACGTTTATTCCTTTTCTTAAGACTGATGTACAAACTATAGTTAGCTTCAACAACACAGGTAACTCGGAATTACGAGCAAGTGCCACAAATATCATATAATGTCCATTTACCAGAGCAATTATGTTCAAAATTAAGTGTCTAGGACAAAATGTCGAGCCGTTATTTCCATTTTCCACTAATAATGTGTATAGTAATATGTGATGCATTTGAGGTCATGTAAAATTAAATGGTAGGTGGAAACAAGAAATAGCAATGAACCAAATCGAATTAGTTTATTGGGAATAACATCAATTACTAAAATTTACCAAAGTTTCCGGATAACTCAAAAACTATTAACACAAATGTCACGGGTTGAAATTTTACCAAAGCATACCTTGGCAGTTAAAGCCTGGATTTTGCTCCGGACAGTATCTAAACCCTCTTTCATTTCTTTCAAGACACCAACCAGCTGTGGTGCTTCTCTGAGCCAATCAATTTTTATTTAAACAAAAATTTGAGTTTCTCACAACTGAAAAAATATCTCTAAACAATTATTCACGTAACATCATAATAAGACTTACTTTTCAATTCTCTCATTGGAGAGGGGCTGTGCAGGATTAATGGACTCCGCCATATATTTCTTCGAAGAATTTTCCAACTGTGAATGAACAAGTGTGCAAGCTGGACCCAAAATAAAAACACATAATCAATCATAGAAGCAGTAGAATACCATAAATTCTATAGTCGTAAAAAAGATCACACACTCCCACTGCTATATAAATTAGTACACATCACAGATAAGTAAATTTCCCACTGCTATAAAAAATTAGTATTAATCACAAATGCAAAAATTTCCCACTGGTATAGATATTAATCAAAATACATTACTTTTGCGGTATTAGTATTTACATACGAGTTTGGTGGCAAATCTTAAGGTACATCTAGGCTATGTTCTTTTGGAGTTTAATTTCAATTTTCTTTTTTATTATGCAATTCTCGTAATTCTCTGTAAAATAAAACTATTTCTTCTCACCACAACCAAACACTATTCAAACCAAAACCTAAAACCAAATTCTTAAATAAGACATCCATAATCTTATTTTTTCAACTGCATCTTGTATGGTAAAGAAGAAATGGATAAAAAGTGCAGTGGCCATCTATTAGAAGTGCAGTATTGTCTTAAGACATGTTTTCTGTCACCATCTTTACGCTATTAAATCCTCACCATGATTCCTAAACATCTTAGAAGAACCCCTAACGGTTCCCGTTTGAAAAAAAAAAAAAAATCCCTAAAAATTTATAACGATATACAATACAAACCCCTGAATTCAATCAGTATCTCAGTGTCAAGTTATGAATTCACCGCCATGTCTCGAAAATACAAAAATACAGGAAGCAAATTGAAACGGCAAAAACTCAGAAAAGAATTAAAAACAAGAAAAAAAAAAGACCTAGAACATCAACAAGAGTAGCAGGGAAAAACAAGGGCTTAAGATATAAAATACTTCAATGCAGGAAATACTATTTTCATTCGATGCTCATCAGTACAAAGTTTGCAGTTTAATATATAAGGGTTCAAATAGCCATTGGTTGGAGGGTTCACAATTGCTTGAAATATTCTCACAATTTCTTCTCTTTGTATGCATAAAAGAAGGGAAGGATTTAACTTACAATTTTCGCACACCTTTATCGAAGAAGAAGACGCAGTATTCCGGCCGACGATTGAAGTTGCAGGAGAAGGGAGGAGACGACCGCCGGCGGCTGGAAGAAGAAGACGACCAAAATCTAATCGCCGCTAGGGATGGTTTCAATTGACATAATTGGGCTTTGTGTTCAGCCCATTTTAATTATTATATATATATATTTATGACTTAGGAATCCGCAACCCAAGTGTCCATCGGGTAAATCCAGCCGAACCTAATCCTGTAAATTGGGTCTGACAGACAGGTTACACTAGTCAAATCATATGTGGCAGGTGATCCATCGACGGATGACCGAAGCGTCGGTGGTTTGAACTTATGACTTCACGGTCACACCTCCGATTCCTACACGAGGTTCAATTAAGTACACTATTTTTAAAATATTATTAAAAAATATTTCATCTGTTCTATATTTATTTATCTGTTTATTTTTTCACTAAATTTTAGAAATATTAGTATTATATTAAAATATATTAAAAATAAAGGTAAAAAGACCAAACTAACTTTTTGTATTATATGATATAAATGTAACGATATTGGTATAATATATTGTAAATTGAAAAGATAATCTGTAATGTTAGGCACATGGTACCTTTACTAAAAAATAAAATAGATATATAAAATGAACCAAAATAAGAAAATGAATAGATTGTCGGTAGATGGAGAGTATAATATACAAATTTTCTTAACTTATTTAAGAAAAAGTCTGGACTCTTCGCTATTAGACCATTTCCAACACTCAACTCCATTTATCCAGTTTTTTAACTCCAAATATGCAGTTTCTACGGTAATTTTATCTCAATCATAACTCCATTTTTCACTATTATTCTTCAAATATTCAATTTTTTCTATCATTTTAAACAACTTTTTATTTTTATAATTTAAAATAAAATTTTTAAAAAATAAAAATTAAATTTAAAAAACAAGTTTATAATTTTTAAAATTAAAAAAATTAATATATATATAAATAGCAACGCCAAAAATTCGCATTGCTATAGTGCAATATCAAAAGCTGGGTTGGCACAATCCACGTCAAATCCAATGCCAAAAATTAGCGTTGCTACAATACGGTTGTGCCAACCCAGCGCCATTAAAGACGCTGGATTAGAAATGCCCTTGATAAAAAAATACAATAAATGCTTAGTCGAAAATATTAAAAACTGGATAAAAGGGAAGTGAAAATTGATATAATGAGTAATAATATAATTTAATGTAAATGTAATTATAAAAAAAAAGTACTCCCTCACTCCACAAACTAACGTCCTACTTTCTTATTTGGGACGTCCAACAACTATTGTCCTATTTTTTTTTTAAACACAAATTTTACATTTTTACCCTTTATTCATTTATTACTTTTAATCTCTATCGTACAATTAAGGGTAAATTTGTCAATTCATAACAAAAAAGACAATCACTTAAAAAACCGTGCAAATATATTTTAGGACAATAGAAATTGGACGGAGGGAGTACTATATTTTAAAATTTTTAAAATATGAATGAGTAAAAATATAAATAAAAATTATTCCATCCATCACAAGTTCAACCCCTACACCATCATCAGATCATTTCTTACGGGACAAAATGAGAGATGTTTTTGAAATATTTATTTTGTAATTAAATAACTATATTTCCTCCTTCATGTAACTTTTTTTTCACGTAAATTTTTTAATATTAGTATTATATTGGTTTACAGTGAAAAAAAATAGCCTTATTTGTATTGTATAATGTAAAAAGTAATGATATTTATGTAATTTATTATAAATTGTAAAAATAATTATTATGTTAAGTAGATAGTATAATTATTAAGAAATGATATCCTTATCTTGAAACGGACAAAAATAAAAAATAAAATTCTTCTTACAAATAAATATTGAAATTAATATATTTAGGATTATATCGAAAAATTTATATAGGGTAAACTGTTTTTTTTTTTTTAGTCATGTACCTCACTTCTAGGGAGAAAAAATGAGAAGATTGTTAAGAAACAAGATAGAGTAATTTAAATACATATATTTTTACAAAAAAAAAAAAAAAAAAAGGCCGTCGGTTTGACCCGTCCGGTTTGAACCGGAGCCGCCGGTTAGGAACCGGTTCGAAACCCGATTGGGCAGCGACTCATTTTTTCTGAAAATCTCCAGTCTTGAAGGCGCATTGATTCAGCCATGGCCGGACTGCTCAACTATTATCTCTGCTTCTACAATCTCTTTCAGGCATTCGGATGGTACGAAAGCTTTCTGCAGATTTCTCTCGCTAATGGCCGGACCACAAACCAGGCTTAATCCATCCGGCGGTATGTTTTTCTCTGGTTTCCAGGTCGCTATCTCTGTTGAGGATTTTGAGCGATTTCTTCTCAACTAAGTCCGTTAATGGCGCGTATTCGTCTTCAGGAGGAATCATTTGTGAGTATCAATAGAAGGAGTAAGTGCTACTACATGCTAGGAGTATTATTTGAATGTGTTTACACTTTTTGTTTAATTTTTGTTGTCAAAGGCTTTGTGCAATCTCTGGCTTTCATGGAAGTGATTCACGGAGCCACGGGTAAGATTTGGGAGACGGATGGATTTTTGGTTGCGGTGGATGTGGTTAGGGTTTGATTTTTGGTTTTGGATTTGGATTTGTTTTGCAAGGAATTGTTTCGAGTGGTGCACTGCTTCCATTTTTGCAATGGAGTGGAAGGACTCATTATGTGCTTGCTATTGTTCGTGGTATTCCTGAGGTTTGTGCTGTGAAATTTCATACAGTTTTGGGTAAAATCAAATTCTATGCTGTTGTTGTTCTTCGATTTATTCGAATATCTTTATGCAGATACAGCAATCACCATCGGTCTTCATAACCTTCCTATCTTGGAGCTTATCTGAGGTATTGATTTCATGGATGCACAATACTTTTTGAAAATGAATTCGATATGGTGAATAACTATTTGCTTTTTATTGTGAGTTATTCAATTGCTTTGTGTGCAATGGATTGTATGGCAGCATTAGTCAAGAAATTTGATATTGTAACTCTGAGATTAATAAGAATAAGTGATATTTTACATGAAATATGAAGGAATTTGTCGATGGATGGGATACAATTTCCGATCGAGCTATTGCAGCAGTTGTAATGGTTTCAAGAAATATAACAAATGGATTCACATAACTGTGTAATTATTTGAAGTTCATCCAAGTAGGCGTCGAAGCTGAATATTTCAAGTATAACTTTCTACATTTACGCAACAATTTGTTCGAAAAGAATTATTGTTGTGTTTAGATATGTTTTTGAAGTATTTAGGAGTTTTTGGAAATTTGATAAAAAAAAAATCGACATTTGATATGATGTTTTGTATAGAAAATTGTTTTTGATATAATATCTTAAATGAAAATAGAAATATTGATGTAACCTTTTTATTTTTGAAAAAAAGTATTCTTGATTGATGAATAGTATCGAAAGCAAGTCATTCAAAATCAAATGTTCCTAAAGAACATCGAAGAACTTCATCAAATAATTGTAAATGAGTCGTCAATATCCTCATTAATCCAACGCTTACATTATATATTACTACTTTCGCTCGTACCTAATCTTCTCGAGTTATTTTACATATTTTTTTACATTATGATTTACATATTATCTTTTGCGCCGGTCGCCTAGTGATGCATAAATCATGCCTGACATTGCAGATAATAAGGTATTCGTTTTATGCGCTGAATTGTATGGGAACTTCACCAAAATGGATCACATTTATCAGGTGTGAATTCAATTATTCACACGATTGAAACTACTGATCATCGAACTAAGTAACATGGCGATATTATCATGTTGTTTTGTTAGGTACAATGCATTCATTGTTCTCTACCCTATAGGACTTTCGGGCGAAAGTAAGCCTTTTAACTACTTAAAGACTCATTTATGTGTTTGATTTATTCCTTTTGTCATAATTCGTCGCCATTTTGGACTAACACGAATACCCTTTAATGATATAGTGTGGCTCATGTACAAAGCATTACCAATCGTAAAGGATCGAAATCTCTACACAAATATGCTCCCTTTCAGCTATTACAACTTCCTCGCGGTATTTTTTGCTATAATTCAATCCTAGATACCAAATTTCCCTACTACGACGCCTATTTGGCTCGGAAAAATGCAATTTATTCTAGTTTTGAAATGAGCCCGAAATTTTTGGGTTAAAAGTTTTCAATTTTCCCCCGCAGGCTTTGCTTTTTTGCTATCCCTTTTTGTGGATGAAACTTTACCTCTATTTGTTCAAGCAACGAGCAACAAAACTTGGTAAACAACGAAAGAAGAAGTCGACATAAGGTTTGCTCACATCCTCACTTGTTATATTAGATATAAAAATCATGTCGGTATTATAAAAATTTATATTTTGTTTTGAATGGTTGACTTTGAGTGAATAATATATATTATATATATTGTGTTAATACATGTGTATATTTTATTTTTTTGTTATGTTTACTTAAGAGGATTTTGGAGTTTTGGAAAATTTTGAAAAAAATATATACATATATTACACACATTTATTATTTTTATATTATTTATCCTATTCCTTATACCTTAAATAAAATAAAATAAAATAATTTCTTTCAAACCATTTAACAAAACAAACACACTTTTAGTATTTTTGTGATTTTTTTTTATATAAATGAAATAGATATTTAATATGATATTTTTCGAGAAAGTTATTATTGAGTAATAGTTCCAAAATTTTAAAAATATGTATGCAAAAAAAATATTGTTTGCGCTTAGCATAATCTACAATGACAGGTTCATCGCTCTTGAAGTTCGCCGGATGCCATCTTGAGATAAGATTATTTCTTCATGTTCGTTCCACGCGCCTTCGCTTTAGTTACTCGTAAGTTTTTCTTTCGGGTTCATGCATCGACGTTTGTTTTTCATGTTTGATGTTGTATTGGTTATGTGAGGTACAAACTATTTTGAGTTTGTTTAGTTGTGTTTTAGAAATATTCGGAATTATTTGAAGAATAGTAAACATTTAAATGGAACGTAGATGTTGGGATGCAAAATAGTTTTTTTTTTAAAAAAAATGAAAAATATATTTTTGATTAATATGGTAGATATAAAATTGTATTTGCATGCAATGCTTTATGATAAAATTTTGTTTTTTAAAATAAATATTCCTCTGTCTCGTAACAAACTCTCAAATTTTCCATTTTAGTTAGTCTCGTAACAAAATTCATTTCATTTTTTTTAGTAACTGTACAATCTATCTAACGTTACAAATACCCTTACAACTTACAATATATTACACAAATGTCATTACATTTATATTACACAATACTAATAAATTTATTTTAGTCATTTTTACTTTATTTTATTTTCACTGTATTTCAATATAATACTAATATTTAAAAAAAAAAAAAACAAGCGCATATGTAATTATGGCCTATGGGGGAAGTATTAGAAAATATAGTTGAAAATTGAAGTAAACAATGCCTATGAAATGCAGAGTCATTTATTTATTATTTATACTCTATCCATATCCATATGTACTTTAAAAATAATAATAATATTAAATTAATTTTTTTAAGTATATTTTAAAATAATACTATATTTTATTGATTAGTAAAATTATGTAAAATAATTTTAATATTTTTGTCTTTAAAATAATATTTTTTGAATGAGATCATAAAAATAATAAAAATATTATATTAAGTTGGGTCGAAAATATTATTATTATTATTAATACTACTTTGCTACTTGATCCATTTTTTACGTGTAAATAAAAAATGTCAACTTTCAATTATAGTAAAAAGTAATAATATAAAAATTAAAACAATAAAGTAGTCTTCTTAAATAATAATTCTGGTATGTATTTATTTCAATCATTTTCAAAATTTATTATCCGGCGGGCTACTACAACCGAAATTTTGTTGAGGTAATTATGATGACCATTAAACTCAACTATTTATGATTTTTTTAAAAAAACAAAAAAAAAAGTTATTGTTAATTATGATATTTTTAAATAAAAATAATTATATGGTATGTTATTTAAATAAAAAAAAAAACATTTAATTTAATATTTTGTAAAAAAAAAAAAAAAAGAACAAATATGATTATTTTCAACTCATCATTTTTATGAATATTTTTGTTGTTTTGGAAAACCAAAAAATAAATAATAAAATTTAAATAAATTTCCAAATTTGACAATTTGGGTTGCCTTTAAACAAGGATCCTTTCGATAATATCTTTTTCCTTAGCTCAGAAAGAACTCAGATAGTATATACTTTTTTCGTCAATTTTTTAATATCTTATTTGATATTTACACGTATTTTTAGGCAATTAGAATTTTTGTTATAAAATGACAAATTTACCTATTGAAAATAAAAAAGTAAATAAAGTAAGGGTAAATGAGTAAATTTTGTGTATAAAAATACTAATGGGACAATAATTGTCGTACATTCTAAATAAGAAAGTAGGATTTTAATTTGTGGACAGAGGGAGCATATTTTTATTTTGAATTGTTTAATTATAAATTAATTATTTTAAAAATATTTTATTTCTTTTAAAGGCTGATATATCTTTATACTAATTCTAACTATTTATTATAATTAAAATGTTAATATTTTTAAAATTTCATATCAAAAATAAATAAATATATATATATTCAAGTTATACAGAGTAAGTATTGAATTTAAAGAGGGCCCATAATGTTATATAAACCCATTATATATGAAATAGAAGTATTTACACATAATACATGTATTTAGGCATAATACAAAAAAGTCAAAGCAATTAAATATAAAATATTATTTTTTATATTATCGATATAATTTCTAGTATCTTGCATAAAATACACATTCATCCCAAAATACAATAAGGACAAAATAAGAGAAATAAGATCATTTATTTATTTATTTATTTTTTTGGTATCATACACCTCCTTAGGGTATGTTTAAGTAGGTTTTATATATTATATATTTTAAAAATATTATATATTTCATTTAAAATTTACTATATTGTCTTTGATTAATCATTATAGTATTTTAAAAAATTATAATTTACTAAGTTAATACTCTCTTCGTCTCTTAACAGGCTATCCATTTTTTCATTTTGATCCGTCTCATAACAAAGTATTCATTTTTTTCTTTAAGTAATTGTATTATCTACTTAGCATTACAAATACCCTTCCAATTTACAATATATTACACAAATGTCATTACTTTTATATCATACAATATTAATATGGTTAATTTAATCTTTTTACTTTTATTTTTACTTTATCCCAATATAATATTAATATTTTTAAAATTTCGTATAAAAAGTAAATTGATATATAGATATGAGACAGAGAGAGTACTTTATTGGTCCCGTATATTTTATTTACATTACTGTATAAACGAAAATTTAGATAAATTATAATTAGCAAATAATTAATAAGTTCACTAATAAAAATAATTATTATATAATAAAAATTTAAAATATGATTAAAGTGTATCGTTATATTTTCAAAAAATGACGAATTATATTGGACGAACGAAAATAATTTTTTTTGAATATTTTATATGAAACGGAGCAAGTACTATCACTCAAAGCTAGCAAAAACTGACCCTACACGAAATAATTGAGTTTTGGTAAAAAGATTTAACCCGATTACGTATACGGGTTGACACAAACACGACACGATAACAAACATATCGGGCTATAGTTGAAGCTCTTAACTCGAATCCAACCCGACAATTCGATTATAATATATTAATATTAAATAATTTATTTATTATATATGTAAAATAATTCTAATTTGATACTTAATCCACGTATTAATTTAAACTAAGTTCAATTTTAAATATTTTAAACTAATTCACTATACATATTACATTAGACAAAAATTAACATAACAAGACAATTCTACAAAAATAATTGAATTTGAATCAAAGAATTTGACCTAATTATGTATACAAGTCAATACAAATTCAACACGAACCCGACACAATAATAAACAGGTCGGACTAAAATTGCATAATTTAATTCATTTAAAGTATTAACCCGAACGGATCGACCCGGATCTAACTAATCTACATCATACAATTATCATTTCTTAATAAAAATCTTACAATACGTATAAGTTGAGTAAGAAAAAGCAGCATGTGCCTTAGAATACGGTCCGTGCGCCATGTGTGTGGAACGAAAATTTAGTTTGAATTATTTAAATCGATTTTTATTTTTTTTATTTTAATTTGAAATTATTTTATATATATAAAAGAATAAAAACAGCAAAAAATTTATATTTGATTTTATAATAAGTTCTTTTTAAAAAATATATTAATATTGATAAATAGTGTTAAAAATTCAAAAACATTTATATAATAATTCCTATGTCCTTTAACAATCTATCTATTTTGGTTCGTTCTATAATAAAGTATTAATTTTATTTTTTTTTTAGTAATTTTACTATTTACCTAACATTACATATACCCTTCCAATTAATAATATATTATACAAATGTCATTACCTTTGTATCATACAATACTAACAGGGTTAATTTAATTTTTTTATTTTTATTTTTATTTTATTTCAATATAATATTAATATTTTTAAAATTTCGTGCAAAAAACAAATGTATGTATATATATATATATGAGAAGGAGGGAGTAACACTTTTAGAATTTTGATTTTTTAAGTTTTAAAAACAAATGATGTGAAATTAATCAAAATAAAAATAAAATTTAAAAAAAAATTGAACAATTTATATAAGACGAAAAAGCAGAAATTTTTAAACTGCCCGAAAGAAAGTGAACAAAATGCATAACATTGGAGTAATATATATATATATATATTTTTACAAAAATTTAATAAATAATTCTAAAATTTATTAAAATACATAAATAGACCTACCAAGACTTCACAGCCACGTGTCAGTCCAACAAGGACTTCCACATGACGGATACCTACTACCCATGTGCTGCCCGCCGCTCCCCTCCGACGCCCATTCAAATACTAACAAAAATAAAAATGTAAAATTATTACGTAGTTACACGGTTCACATTTATTTTTTGTATTATTATATTTAATATTAAAAATATTTTTATATTTGTATAATTTTTTGGGTGTATTTGTTTGGTAGCTTGGATTTTGAGTTGGGATTTGCATAGTAAAAATTTTGAATTTGAATAGTTGTATGATGTGATAAATAGGTGTTGATGTAACATTTTGAATGTAAAATTGATTTTTAGTATAATATAAAAAATAAAAAATAGGTATTTGATTTGATATTTTTAGAGGAAAAAAATAGGATAAATAGTAGAAATCTAATCCAATCCTTCAAACAAAGACCCTTTGTATAAATGTCATTCTATTAGTATTATAATATACCAATTGAAGTATTTTTGCAATTTTTTCTTAATTTTGTACTATATTTTGATATAATAATTAATATTCAACGATCAACACAAAAAAAAATAAATAAGATCCTTAGAGCCGGACAGATGTAGCATTTAAATTTACTTCTAATTTTACAAAATTATGTCAAATTCTTCGTACTTTTAAAATTACATAAAACCTCCAAATAATTTCATAAATATTAAGATGCAAACTCAAGTCTCATATTAAAATATTTGAAGAAAATTTAACACCTTATAAATTTGGCATAAATTCTACTCGTATAAAACATTTTAAAGAAAATTTAAAAATAAATCCGTACTGGCTCAATTCAAAACGAACAATATCATAGCTAGTGAGTTCCAGTAATGATACTAAATTATGTGGGGTCTAATGTATTTTAAAAATTTAGAAAAATTTGGCGCAAACTTTTCGAAATCACATACGGATCTTATGCAATTTTAACTTTTTTAATATCACCCATTTAAGTCTTAATGAAATAGTTTTTATCTATGAATTTGACATTTCAAATAAAATGAATTTTTTTTGCATGATTGACATTTACATACTTTCATCAAATGTGATTTTGTTAAAGAATGAGAGGGTAACATTTAAAATTATTTGATTGCATTTATCGATTATAATTATACCTTCACAATTCTAGTGA